CTGCGGCCCTGAGCTGTCCGCACTAGCAAAGTGCACGCGCTCATCGTGCCCCCAGCATGTGCAAGTGACGTTTCCGAACGGAAAACGAAAAAATATATACGAGTTTTCTTTGGACGGTCGACACGCGCTGACCACGAGTGCAGACCAACTACTGTAGAGAGTATGCCATATGGCCGATGATGTAACCAAAATCATTCCGCGGCGCTGGTCCTGAACTTCGGGTCGGATTTCATTGAGCAGCACCGTAGTTTCGCGATTGCATCCTGCTTTGATGCCAGATGTAAACTTGAGGCCACACAAACTATGCCCATAGCGAACTAGCCAAGTTCCCAAGCAGCAGCAGCACGTCCAACAAGCAGCACTCTCAGTATGTACAACACGAAGAAAAAAGAACACAGCACCAGCACCACAGGCAGCGCCAATACACAGAGGCTATGTGAACGACATCATCGGAGGTATATGCTTTGAATTGAGTGTGGTTGTGTGAGTGATATCATTCCAGATGCTGTGCATGGAATGGGGTTGTGTGAAAGACATCATTGTGTATGCCTTGCACTGCGTGGCAATACAGTGCCTTGTGATGCTGCTCTAGACAAAACACCTCAAATAACAAAGTAGTGTGAGAGTTGAATCTCAAACAAAACACAAAGTTGTTAAGATGTTTTAACGAGAAAAATCCATCATGAACTCAAGGAACGCTCCTACATTGCGATTCCTTCTCTCCTGTTCTCTAGAGAAATAGAAGGCGAGTGTGCTATGGGAGGGTCGTTAAACTCCGTGCCCGCTAAGGTAGAAAAATTGCAAACCTTTGAACTTTCAGCTCCCGCAGTAATCGTATAACCTGTACACACGTCCTCAAAACACTGACCTGGCAATCGGCATGGTTTCCATCAGCACGGACACAGCCTTGTCAACTTGCCCACTGCTTGTATAGTCGCATACTGGACGACGAAAGGAGGGCAGAAGCGCAAACACGGTTGAGCATAACACAAGAGCACGTCCCTGAATCCATGGCCAAGCAATGGTGCATGCTAACGGTTTGAAATAAATAATCACAAACTTGGGGTGTCATCGATTGGAGAATCTGGATTGAGTGCGAGCAGGCGGTGTGGTGCGAGCAACGCTGGCCCAATCGAACAAAACAAGGGTGAAGTACGCAAAATGTACGCATCTCGTACTAAGATTCTGTGAAAGCTGTCCAAAAACGCCAAAGTCCATTTCCACTCCAGCCTCTCCCGGTGTGGGGGCCGGTGTGGTCGGATTCCACTCCAAGTACACCTACTCCGGATTCGATCAGATTCGGCCAAACGATCACGCTCACTCCAAGCGCACTTGCTCGGGATTTGCCCAATCGATCATGCCCCTACTTGTTGAAGGGACTCAGCAGAACAAGTCATGTAAGTACATGTAGCACTAGATAACAACTAGTCCTTGTATTTAGAGAGAATACTATTGGAATCCTTGTATTTAGAGAGAATACTATTGGAATCCTTGTATTTAGAGAGAATACTATTGGAATCCTTGTATTTAGAGAGAATACTATTGAAATCCTTGTATTTAGAGAGAATACTATTGGAATCCTTGTATTTAGAGAGAATACTATTGGAATCCTTGTATTTAGAGAGAATACTATTGGAATCGAAAAGGACATATGGATATGAGTTAAGAGTGACTCTCCATCACTGTAACATGATACTATATACAGTCAGAAAGTGCAATAACTAGGCACAAAACTGACAGAGTAATGAGACATTCAACGTTCTGACACCTAGCTTCAACACCCCCCCCCCCCGTAGCGCTGTATATAGTATCATGTTACAGTGATGGAGAGTTACTCTTAACTCGTATCCATATGTCCTTTTCTCTTCTACATTTATTTATGGCTCAACATCCGAGTTACTATTGGAATCCTTGTATTTAGAGAGAATACTATTGGAATCCTTGTATTTAGAGAGAATACTATTGGAATCCTTGTATTTAGAGAGAATACTATTGGAATCATTGTATTTAGAGAGAATACTATTGGAATCCTTGTATTTAGAGAGAATACTATTGGAATCCTTGTATTTAGAGAGAATACTATTGGAATCCTTGTATTTAGAGAGAATACTATTGGAATCCTTGTATTTAGAGAGAATACTATTGGAATCCTTGTATTTAGAGAGAATACTATTGGAATCGCCTTGCTCTAACCAGTTTTCAAATCCATGACAGTGTCATCATCCACTCCATAGAGGTAGTCTGCAGACTGCGTTGCAAAGTAGGAAGAGTAGATCTGCTGTACCTACAGGCGGAGAATACAAAAACGTATAGGTACGGACATCAACCAGGTGAACGCACACACATGCACACGCACATGCAGCCACAGAGAGAGATTTCAGCACACATGCAGACACATCAACACCGTTGTCAGCAATCGTATGTGCAGCAGTGCTGACTACTAGTGGAACCCTGTCCTAGTGCACATCAAATCTTGATTTACACACTACTTGTACCATTATCGGCATACTAGAACTTCAAAGAAGTATCAGGACAGACCAACATTATAAGATGACCAATTAACCAACCACATTGAGGTGACCAGATAGCTAATCAACAGACCAGGTGAAGTCGTAATTTCGACACAATCGAAAGTCACATCAAACAAACCTTTCTCAAAAGTCGACCAGCATTGATGCGGTCCTTCGATACCCGGTCCAGCTCATCCTGGAATTCACCTGTGTGTAGAAGCAGTACAGATCGAGAACACAGCCACAAGCTAAGTTACTGTATTCATTCTATTTACTGTTGCGTTCAAGCCATCAGCGCTAGACCGGTACAGAGGCAATTCAAAGAGTGCAGTAGTACTCCAAGTATCTATAAAGCCAGTTCGGGTGCGGGTACATGCCATGCCCCCCCCCCCCCCCCCACGCCAAATGGGGCACTATTGACAATACCCTATTTTGCAGAATACTAGCAAAATGATCTTTGGGTTCCGTGTGATTGGTGGAATAAGACCCCATCACAAAAAAAAGAGTGCCAGCTATCCTGGAGATCAAAGACAAGGTCAACTTCCACAGCACTGCAACAAAAAGGCGTAATCTCTGCACAACAGAGAAAACACACGTTCTCACTGCCGACAAGAAGTAGACACTAAACAGGAGGAGCGAAACAATTGCAAAATGCTGCCATGCTGACAAATACCGACTTGCCATGTCCACCGGAATTACGTAGGAAACGTGACCAGGACAGGACACCTCAATGGCCAGTGGAACTGACACCATATCTGACTAAGACACACTTGCCAATAGTAATGTGCCAACGCCTGGCATCCTATGATTATGCCACCTCACGCGTACGCACCTGACCCCGCTTAGCCCTTCAAAGCCCGAGCACAAACTTTTTCCGTCGCTTGAGGAAGTAAGTAGTTGAAGTGTTTCAAGTGATGAAATGAATGAAAAATACCTAGCCACACAGACACGCGGTAGGAAAAGAAGAGTACCTGTTTCCAGACAGAACTGTAGCAGCCCAATCAGCCCTCTGGCCTTGAGGAAGTTCATGAACGGAAGTAGCAGCTTGGTGTTCAACTTGATCTCGTTGAGTGATGGGACCATCAGCTGCACATAGTGCAGATACAACACGCGCAGCAACACAATAAGACACAGGGGTGCATTCATGACGTACATGAGTGCAGAAAGGTCCTGAGAGACTTGCAGAAAAGGTCCTGGGAGACCAGCAAAGGCCATAACGACGCAGCATAATGCCAAAGCAACCACTCGCCAGGTGCGCAGCGTTAGGGTAGGCTGCCCAAATACACTGAACGATGTCGCCATCTAGCAAAGTCATTCGATCCTCTGCACTAAGTCCAGCATGAGCTGGAAACAGGACAACACTTGACTTCTCATCTGCATGGAGTACACCACTAGAACACTGCCTATCATGCTGTGCTTACCGATGGAAGACGCAGTGGCCTGGAAAATGTGTCCAGCAATGGAACAAGCTGCTCAGGAGCAGTGAGCTCCTCAACAGGCTGCACACCAACATCACACACACACGCGCACGCGCACGCGCACGCACACCCACACGCATGCACGGACACACACACACACGCACATACATACATACATACACACATACACACACATACACACATACACACACACACACATGCACACACACACAGCAGTGCAAAGAGATTCACACCGATGACACAAACGCCATGCTACCACACAGGCATGCAAGCTGCAGACACCAAAAAAAAAACATTGAGGCGAGACCCGGTGTGTAGATCGTGTAACGAGAGCAAAGGGAACAACTTCGCAATGTCACAAGATCAGATACGTATTTCATGCGTTCAACATACAGAAATTGATGTAAACCCACCCTATGGCAGTATGCGTGCCCAGTATACCGAAGTGCACGCAACTTCTGTCCGGATAACTGAGGTCTGAGTGCTATTTCTTTCCTCTGGAAACTTGCTTAGTTTAGTTTAGTTAGCACAGTTCCCCTTCCCAGGTGTGTAGATCGTGTAAAGAGAGGACAGGGAACTACTCCACAATGTCACATGATCAGATACGTATTTCATCCGTTCAACATACAGAAATTGATGTAATTCTGGAATACCGTAAAAGTCCGTAAATAAGTACGTATTTACTTTCGAATTTAGTGACCACACCCGTACTAACTTTCGGGCGGGTACTGACTTTCGGGCACGAACTAACTTTTGGACCTGACTTGTGTGTAGTGGAGAAGTCATTTTCATGTCGATGTACATGCTACGTGCTGCATGTGCGCACCGTACCGGTACTTATTTCGGGCAGTATGTTTATCGGGCTTGACTTGACTTCAACAGACAGAGCCAAAAGAATGAAGGGGGTATTTCTTTCGGGCAGGTACTTATTTACGGACTTTTACGGTACCTCAATACCAGTGAATACCACCCACTATAGACAAGAGTACACTACACCACTCCGAGGATGGCCTCTAGCAGGCAGCATTTACCGGCACTGCTCTACAGTACTCCCTGGCCTCTCACCTACAATATACCAGACTGGAAGGATTGAGGTACATGTATCCCAGTGGAATATGTCCACAACAACGTCAAGTGTATTGTACTTTAAATTTAAAAGAAGGGATGCAAGGTATGAACTGACTGACACGGCGCTTACCACGGCGGGTTCCACCAAGATGATGAGCATCTTGTTGAGAAAGTCCTGTCACAGACCATGCACACACACGCATGCACGCGCACACACACACATACATACATGTAAACAAATTTCGCTCCTGCTCTTGTAGCAGTTGAGCACTCTTGCGTGGGGTAGTGCCTTTGCTGTTTGCGTTATGCAGAGCTCACTGACTTGTCAGTTTGAGCACTCTGGCAAGGTACGTTCGGGCCTGATTGGAAATTTTTATTTCCATTGCTATCAGGTTCGGCCTCATTTCCTCTGTGCTGCGCTGACGAGTCCACAAAGGACGAAACAGTTCTGTCCGCAGATTGAGTACATGTAAACAAATATTAACATCATTCGGAAACCAAAATTATAAGGATTCAGATCCGTTCTGGTCACAGGCCTGATCCAGGCAGCTGGTCCGTACCAAATCCTTGATGCCATTACAGAGAAGCACAACATAGGGGCAGTTCAACAAAGCAAAACATGTTGCTGTTCTGTTGCCTCGTAAAAGTAGCTGTGTAACTGAATGCACGTGGTTGATAAGAATCATTACAAATTTACACTAATCTATGCTTGTTCTCTAGGGCATCTGACTTGCTGGGTCACCAACAATATCAAGACTGACTATTATATAAACTGGGTCAACATTCAACAATAGTATCAACATTTGACTTACCGGGTCAACAATCGTATCAACAGTGAGTTGTAGCAGACCAGGACCAACAATCTCTCTGAGTAGTAACTTCAAACCTCTGCAATGACAGGGAACACAGAACACAGTGGAGTGCCGGAATAGAAGTGATACTAGTGCCACATGTGCTTGCACATATGCATATGGATACACAGTGTGGGACGTGCACGCACATGCACACACACACACGCGCGCGCGCGCGCGCTTGGATATTCGCACATAGACAGTGCTACACACCTGCATTGCTGTACATCCATGGGCAGTGTGAACGGTGTGATAGCATCGGTGATACGACAGAGGTACTGCCTCTCAGCGTACGCTCCACCTCGCAGCGCTCGATGCAGTCTTGGACCGTATTCACGACAAACTGCTTCAACTAGCTCCTCTTGACTTGCACCTGGTCCAACTGATCACAGACAACAAAACCAACACTTTTCAGTTGGCAGACAAAATAGCACAAGTTGAAGCAGATGAAAACAGTATTACATTGAAAGTGGAGGAGCACAGAATTGCATTGTAGGCATACATGCACTTGTCCTATTCTGAATGCATTCTTTCATACCAAGAGTTTGTCTATACACGTCTCACTCGGGTGAGCAAGTGACCGAACCGACCACTGTATAGCTGACAAAACTAGGAGAATCTGACCCACAACAGACTAGTAAAACCCAACATACATGTACGTAACAAAAGGCTAACCCCGAGCGTCGACATTCTTCTTGCTCACCTTTCCTCTTGGCGGCGACATACATATTCATGTGGTACATAGCCGCCTGAATGAACTTGCCAGAAATGAGTTTGGCTATATCAATCTGGTAGGGTTGAACAGGAGAAAGCATCGAGTCAGGCGTGCACGAGCACACTTCACACAACAGCCATGAAGACTAAGATAGCAATACTGGTTCTAAGTTCTAACGCTAAGGAGGCGTCAAGATGAGCCTGCTGCCCTATACTTCAAACGCACGCAATACTTCATCTGCATGGTTCTAAAAAAGAGTACTAAGTTTATAGTAGCCAACACTAGGATAGTGCATGTCCTTTTAAAACACAGACGTTTCAGAACAAGAAGGACACAGAGGCCTTTGTGAAAGACAAAGCAGAACCAAAACCGTACATCTAAAAACGAAGCACATGCTCACACACACACACACACACGCATGCATGCATGCACGCACACACCCGCAGGAATCAGCACACGTATCGACGTGCCGTTCATCACAAACCTTGGACAGGCGCTGCACAAAGATAGCGGTCACATGCCGAAGACCCATGCGTAGCAAATGCTCCGCGTGCAAGTCCTCAGAGACTTCCCTAAAGCACAGGCAAGAGAATTAGGGTACAGATAGGAACTTTTAATAAATAAAAATTGAACGTAAGGTTGTACAAATTTGCGACAAAATTAACTGCCAGATGGGAAATTATTGGCCAATAAGCAAGGCAACATTTACAACGACAATCAACACCACAGTGCATGTAAAAGAGAAGTGATTTCCTTTCTCTGCAAACTTGTTTAGTGTAGTTTTAGTCAGCACAATTCTCCTTCCAAGCCAAGCAGACCTTTAGGTAGGAAAGTGCCACCGACAGCGCTTACTAACACACCCGCGCAGAACAACTTACTTGTACCAAAACGCAACATAGTTCTTCATGAGGAGTTCCATGAACTGCACATCGGAAAGCAGCAACAGACCATGCTAAATACACAATAATTCTTTGCATCTGCCATGAGGCAAGTTGAAACTCATCAGAAATACATGACAATAATTAAATACATTCATTGGTTTGAGGGAAAGATGCAAACGGGAAAAGTCTGAAAAAATTGACTGTTACCACCGGGACTCGAACTAGGGACCTTCGCTTGAGGCCACCGACGCTCTAACCACTGAGCTATGGTGTAGCTGCCATCCCAGCAGAGACCGTTTAACATGTTCTTCGGACTTCGAAATTCACGCTTCCTATGAATCCACAAAGGCGGGCGGGACGCAGCCCTCACTGTATCCCACACATTTCATGTACAAACTAGCACGCGGGGAGCCCTAAGCCATAAAATACTCATTGGTTTGAGGCAAAGAAGCAAACGGGAAAAGTCTGACAAAAATTGACTGTCACCACAAACACACACACACACACACACACACACACACACACACACACACACACACACGCACGCACACAGACACGCACGCACACACACATGCACACACACACACACACACACGCACACACAAACAAGTATGCACATACCCGTGATAGCCCCTTGTCAATTTCCTTCCGGACTTTCACTGATTCCCATGGCTATACAGCACAGACAAAGCACAGCAAAAAAACAAAATGTTCCAAAGCAGCTCACAAAATACTTTCAAACTTGCTGGTTTCACATGCCTTGTTACAACTGGCTTTTCTGGACATCAGTGTTTCGCACACCAGTACTTCATACAGTGAAGGCTCATTTCCGAACCAGGAACCGAGGAATGGAGTACTGGTAAGCATGATAATGAATATCATTATTGTTCACCGTGCCCCCCCCCCCCCCCCCCCCCTCACACACACACACACACACACACACGCACACATGCAGTCTGAAAGCATGTGTGCCCAATGCCCATGTACATTAATTTTGCTAGTACCAGTCTGAGTCCCAAAGTATGGATGAACTGCGAAGTAGGGTAGATACAGCTTCAAAAGCCTCATACAATAGCAGAGGCTAACACAGGGCAAGGATAGCACCTACCTCAAACTCAAGCCTGGACACTTCACCCCTGCAGCATGCACGCACAAACAACACAGGGCAGCAAACAAGTGAGAAAGTATACCACAGAGCTCGATTCTCTCTCTCTCTCTCTCTCTCTCTCTCTCTCTCTCTCTCTCTCTCTCGTCGAGTGTTTTAATCGATCTATTCATCATTTCTATTGCCTTCCTCATACATGTACACATGCCTCATGCACATTGCTTACTTTGGACTTGCCTGCACTGACTCACACACTACACTACATGTACATGTTTATCCTGCATGTAGGGTGAAGATCTCTAACACGCATTTTTTAGGGTAATCAGTAATCACAATCCTGATTGACCTCACTCGTTCCTCATTTCTTTAGTCCATTTGGCTTATGCGAAGGCTAGCCAAGCTTGCTTGGTGATGTCAACACGAACAAGTTGAAAACAATAATCACAATCCACGCATTGGAAGTGTAGGTAGGAAGTGCGCTGAGCAAGTTCCAACTGAAGTGATCATGCGGCCTTATCAATAAGCTATCATCCTGCGGAAGCATGCAATCCTTTCCAACCCTACCTGTGCCGTGCACACTTGTCATCACCACACACCGGACAGCCAACAACACTAGTAGCAGCGCCAGGTAGGCCGACCGCCTAAACAGAACAGGACAGAACAGCAGCAGCAGCAGCAGCAGCGGCGGCGACAGCAAACCGGCCAGATTCAAGGGCGAGAAGCAGACCAGCAGGAAGCAAGCAAACAGTAACTGGGAGCCGCAATGCTGCGAGAGTACGGGCGAGATGAGATATTTTTAAAAGAAGAAAGAGCAGCACGCAAAACGGTACAGACTACCTAAACAGTGCAGACTGCAGACTACACTGTACTAGTACCTTGGCTAACTTGTCGCGACGGGACCATAGCAGCATACTCGGCACAAGAGTCGTTCGCCTGGCACACAGCACAGCACAGCACAGCACAAACAAGACAGTGATCACCTACATCAGTACACACCACCACTGCAAGTCTACAACATGGCAAAAGCAAAGGATCAACAAATGCAAAAGGAGGGAACTCACCAGGCATGCAGCTGCAACACCAGAGAGCACAACACTGACTACCATAGACTTTCTTATTAGGTAGGATTTCTCCAGGCCAGGCAACCAACATAACAACAGGTTCCTACGTGCATCAGGCTACATGCTGGCTTTCATAGGTTCAAATTCAGGTTAGGTTCTCGTAGGACAGCGACCAATACTACAGTGTTGCTCAATGAAATCCAGCTGCGTTACTCAAGTACACGCCGGGCGTTGCGCAGCCGTAGTAGACCTGCGATCACTGGGCTGCGGACTGATGCAAGGCGCAAACTTGAGTTACTACTGTATTTGACGGACCTATTGAAGATGGCAACAAAGAATTAAAACTTGAGTGACGCGACTGTATTTCATTGAGCAGCACTGTACACTGCGGCTGTACGTGTACTTCAAGAAGTAGTTACAAGACTGAAGTGGCAGCTCACAGGGCACAACTTACATCAGCAGCGTGTAGGCAAATCCAACACCGGTGGAAAACACCCATAGAAACAGCAGAAACGAACGGTGCCTGGACAGCAAGCATAGATACGCAAGACAGCTGTACTTCAACAAAGATCAAGACTATAACAAATTAATAATACATTAGCCAGACTTTCTAACTTGAACACCTTGGGGTGCTCATAAGAAAAGCAACTTTATAGTTCCCATGTTTCAAACCTTACTCTACTCAGGCCAAACAATCGCATGATAATAGTCTCTGTGTTACAATAGTCACTCTGGGCGTCTCTAGAGTGATGATTGCAGGGCAAAGAAACCATGTGTGAGTGCCTGGACAGAGTGAAGTGATGTGTAAATGGCTGCAACGGAGTTTGCGAATCCGTAAACAAAATTCGAGGTGGGTGGTACCACCTTAACGAAGAACCTAATAACACGGACACCCACAAATCTAACCCGAACTGTCCTCGTTTTGGAGCTTGGAGTATGCAAATCTGTACCTCCTTGGGGCTGCGGGGAGAGGTGTTCTCAGCTATCCAGGTGTGTGTAAGTCTCCTGAACCATTGAACTGTGGTAAGAAGTGGACCCGGAACAACACCCTATTCCGATATGAAAATGCAAGCCACGAGCAAGAGATAATGTACAAAGTAGGGCTGAAACGATCATGGATTTTCACGTATCGATGACTCTTTAGCTTAACGATCGAGTAATCGATTATAATCGTTAGCAAATAGTGTCATAATTCTGTGCAAACATCACTCTGTTTCCACAAACTATGCCTTCATAATACCAACAAATCTGCATTAGTGAAAGGGTAGCTCCGAAACATGGCAGTTTTGAAGTCAATTTAACCTCAGAACATGAACCATACCCCTGGCAACTGCATACTCCCAGCGGAAACTGATTCAAACTTCACAAAACGAGGGTTTACAGTACTTTCTGGACAAAAAGTTAAAAAACGCAAAATAATCGTAATCGGTAATCTAAACGATTGCTCGATCGTTAGAGTTATCAAACGAGTACTCGATTATTCGGTATAATCGTTTCAGCCCTAGTACAAAGACAACCAATCTCTAACAACACTTGCAATAGACTTCGCTTCAAGTGGCTAATACTGTAGTGTCTTGTATTAAGGTATGTTTAGAATACATGTACAAGCCAGACAGACTCAAGCTGCACTGGCAACACATAAGCCTGGTTTTAGTGCTGACATAGTGTTGACAGCTCAATTCAGCCCAATTTCATTGCTAACTTGTGTAGTGCTGACATACATAGGAACAAGAATAGATAAACAAGAGTGGGCCACTCGCGGATGGGTTGGCCCATGGCGGAATTTTTCGTTGACATAATCTTTTCTACGACGCACGCGCTGCGAGTCTTTTGGGAAGTTTTGCCTCGTGCACTCGGCCGGGCTTTACATTACAAGGTCGGTACCCAGCACGTGCTCTTACACTGCTCTGCGGCGAAATGTGCATGCGTCATGTGCGGCATGTGTCATTGTTTTCTGAAAAAGGTGACGTCAACAAAAAATTCCGCCGTGGGCCGGGATATATGCAGATTGTGAAGAAGAGATGCGGAGTTGCACACTCTTGTTTATCTACTCTTGCTAGTAATACCTGGTTTGAATAGAGGCCAGAATGAATAGAAGCCTAGCACTGAAATCGGCTTCTACAGGAATAATCCCGGCTTTACTTTAGGTTAATACGCGACATTACGGTACCGGTAACCGTAAACAATATAGAAGTTCGAGAGATATTTCGTTGTATTCTGTTAATTTTTCAAATATCCTCGCGTGAATGAAGGAAACCTCGGCTGCCCGAGCCACAACAACGGGCCATGGCGTTGGCAAGAGAGAAGCGAGCCTCCAGCACGCTCACAACAATACCGGTGGCTGAGCACGGATTCTGCTTCGACGTCAAGTCAGATTTCCATGACCACGTGCGCATGCGATATTGTTGGACACTGGACAACCTGCCGGCTTCTTGCCCATGTGGAGCACGCTACTCGGTGGATCATGCACAGATTTGTAAACTCTCCGGCTTCATCCATATGCGTCACAATGATCCTACCGACCTCATGCATGAAGGAGGTGCATTGTGACGTTGAGGTGGAGCCAAAGCTCCAACCTCTCACCGGTGAGGTCCTCCAGTGACGCACCGCCAACACCGATCCGGATGCCCGCGCTGACCTGAGAGTGAGGGGGTTCTGGACGGATAGCAGAAATGCATTCTTTGATACAAGGGTGTTCTGTCCCCATGCGTCAAGCTACCGCTCCAAATCCCTCTCCTCTCTGTACCGAAGCTTTGAAGGGGAGAAGAAGCGTGCGTATGGGGAAAGAATTCTCCACGTCGAGCATGGTTCCTTCACCCCTCTGGTCTTCTCTTCCTGTGGGGGGGGGGGGAGGGGGGGGGGGGGGGGGGCCACGAAGCTGCCATCATGGTAAAGAGGCTGGCAAGTGCTTTAGCCGTGAAGAGGCATGCGCCGTACAGCCAGATGGTGTGTTGGCTCAGATGCATGCTAAGCTTTTCGCTAGCCAGATCTGCTATTCGCTGTGTCCGTGGATCACCCTCAAATCACCGCCGTCACTTTGACCATGCCCCTGTCGACCTGGTCCGAGCAGAGGCACCGCTGGTGGTCAGCTAGACAGTTGTCATCGTGTCTAGTTTCTGAGAAGTTCTCAATCTCTCATTTTCATGCAAGGCGTGAGCCAGCCCTACTACTAAATGGGTGCTCCTTTTTAGTTTTGTTTTTCTTCTCTTCTTTTTTTTATTTTGCTTTGCCCGTACAAGAGGCTTCACAACTTCAGGAAACACACATAACATGTGCTACTGGAGCATGGATATTGCACAATCTGGGCTAATGGAATTGTTTGACTCACTCATTTAACACGATGGTGATGAATATCAGTGCAGAAGCGCCAGTAAAGATCCATCGCGGCAGGCGCTGCAGAAACTCATTTTCATCGTCGTCATCCCCCATCTTGGTGTAGCAAAAGTCTACGCGGGGAGATATTTCATTTTAGAGTACAGCTAGAATAACTACCATTGTGTCGACTTCACTGAAGCCTTCAGGCCAGGTTGTGAAAGGTAAGAAACGAAGTCCTCGATAAACTATCACCAAGAGTCCATAAACTGTTTATGCACTCTTGTTGCGATCATGTCATGTCATTGTCAAGCATGCAGCAAGAAACAAAAGTTTTTTTGAAATTTCAATTTCTTCGGAGACATCGCAACATTTTAGTGCAGTTTTTCAATTATTTTTGCGCGACACCAACAATGCATGATGCCGTCACGGTACCGTGGTCAGTACGATCGTACGAGTTGTCACGGCTAAGTACAAACTACTTGTAACAAAGACACTCCGGTAGTCACCAGGTCACTAGCCATTGGCGCGATGGCACTGGCATTGGCACTGCTGTCTTTTTTTGTTCTCGATCTCATTTTCACTCACCGGGCCGGCTGAATGAATCAACCATGACCTTCATGGTGAAAGGCCATGCATGACATGGATAATTGCCTTTCAGAATTGTATAATTTTACTCATGTATTGTACTAACATGTCCTACTAGAACTAGTCAAGGTAGACCATAGTGGCTAGCGCAGAAGACTTCAGGAAGGAAGTAACTTAGTTGGTGTACATGATCTAGAAAATTGTACACTACAAAACATGTTATTGTGAACGATAGATTAAGACTGAGTGCAAGCCTGACCAAGAGCTGCATGTGGAAACTCGGGCGATCAGCGCCAAGCGGCAATTATTTCTGTGGATTGTTGAAGCTGCAGCTGCAAAGCTCTGATCTGTCAAAAAATGGCGCTGGCGTGTTGTGCCTGAGTCTGGATCACAAGTCTGCCGGCTAGATCGCTATTACACTGTGTTGGAAGGACTCAGTTGAGCTCAACACACATGCACAGCAGTGCACCTTCCATTTGCTTGCCTGTGGACTGGCCTGCGCCTTCGTGGCTGACGGTTTCATGCAGGCGTCGCTGCATGCTGCCCTCGGCTCTCTGATTTGTCATTGTGATTGACTGAACACTCCACATGGCCACTTCAGCGGAGGCAAGAACATTCCTGGTCTCCGAGGCAGATTCTGGCGGCAGTTGTAACAATGCAGGAGAAGAAACTAGCGGTGCCAGTAGTTGTGAGGATAGCCATCCACGGCCAGAAAAGAGCGGCAAGGCACTACAGAACACCCACAGGATTGCCGTATCGGATAATGGCAGCAGTCAGTGGACGCTCTACCACGTGTTGGTGTTTGCGCTGACGTTTGTGAGCTTCATGCTGGTGCACTCTGGCCGAAAAGCATTCAGTAATGTGAAGTCACTGCTGGAAAAGGAGTGGACAACTCTGGGGAATTGTGAGCAAGACCTTCCCAACACCGTAGTAAGCCAGAACCTCTACTGTCATGTAGAGCCAGCTAGTACGTGGGCAAAGCCAGCACTATTTCACAGCAATGCCGATGCCGAGCTGTTCATGGGAAGCTTGGACACGATCTTCATGTTCTTTTATGCCGTAGGTCTGTATGTGAATGGCTTTCTTGGTGACCGCCTGCCTCTGGTCTGGGTACTTTCCACAGGAATGTGCGTGTCCTCGCTAGTGACATTCGTGTTTGGATGCGTGACGGAGTGGGGGAGTTATCAGCAGCGCTGGTTCTACGGATGTCTCTGGGCCATGAACGGCCTGGCACAGTCAGCATGCTGGCCGAGTATTGTGGCAATCATGGCCAACTGGTTTGGCAAGAAGGGCCGCGGCTTCGTCTTTGGCCTGTGGAGTGCGAATGCATCGGCTGGTAACGTCCTCGGTGCTCTAGTTGTCTCTGCTGTCCTTGACTTTGGATATGATACCGCATTCTTAGTTCCATCAGTGATGCTATTTGCAGGTAGTATCATCAATATATTTTGTTTGCCCGAATCTCCACAGAAAGTGCAAGCTCTTCAACGAAAGAGCAATGCACTTCAAAACAAACCTATTCCGCTCCGTGATCGGATCATCCATGCCACTAGCGTTGATGAGCAGTCATCTGACACTGATACCGAGTCTGTAACATCGGGATTATCACCTGCACGATCTGACAAGGCAATCAGTTTCTTCGCTGCGTGGAAGATACCTGGGGTGCTCGAGTACTCCCTTGCCTATGCCTGCCTTAAGCTTGTAAACTATTCGTTATTCTTCTGGCTTCCATTCTATTTGACAGACAGTCTTCACTGGTCCCGTACGCTGGCTTCCAAACTGAGCACTCTTTATGACATTGGTGCCATAGTTGGTGGCACACTGGGCGGCATCACGTCCGATCTTATAGGCCATCGATCCCCTGTGTTGTCCCTGATGCTGATCATTGCTGTGCCATTTCTATTTATCTACCGACAATATGGAACCGGTGTCATGGGAAACTCGGTGCTAATGTTTGCCCTTGGTTTCTGGATCAGCGGGCCGGCCAACCTGCTCAGCTCAGCAATCTCTGTCGACCTTGCTCAGCAGAAGACGCTGAAGGGCAATACTAAAGCCCTGGCAACGGTAGCAGGAATTATCGACGGCACGGGCAGCGCGGGTGCTGCTGTCGGCCAGTACTTGATCAGCCTGATTGAGACTCAGTCTGGCTGGCAGAATGTAATCTATTTTCTCATGTCCATGTTGATCATGGCAACACTTTGCATGTGCCGCATGCTTGTCCATGACTGTCGGTCAATGTGGCGGACTTACGGAAGGAGGCATAGAGGGCTATAGAACGCCGAGACTCCACGGTTCTAGTAGTCGCATCAAGAGGATGATGTGCTGGAATGATGCAACGGCTTCATGGCCACATGCTGACTAGCTCGTATGTTACCCTGATCGGGCTCTAGATTACTTTCATCAACTCGTATGATAATTATTAAAATAATTTATTATGATATTTCATCCTTGATTATCTCTCCAATACCATCACAACCAAGGTCTTCCACTGCAATTGAAATTAAATTATTCACCCTTTAATATAATACTGTAGTATATAATGGCAGAAGGCCAAGATGGAGCTTGGCCGGTTAGGTCGTTGAATGTCTCTCCCAGTGTCAGGCCTGTGCTTTGGCGCACTATCTGACTGTATATTTAATACACTTGGGGTGTGCACGGGTACATGTAGTCGGGTACCCGTGAGGACCTCGGGTAGTCGGGTACAGAATAGTACCCAAAAACCCGAAGTCGCAGATGACATCATGTACAGTGCATGTGTACAAATTCATGTAATACCCTGCAGGCCTGCATGTCTACCCAGTGTGTAAGCAAGAGTACATGAAAACCGGAGTGTGCAGCTCGGATGGGTTGCTGTCACAGCAGAATTCCGTGATTACATCATTTTAGTGATGTAGTGCGTACAAGCACATTCGCAGGATTCAAGCCGGTCTCTTTCTGCACAACTGCAGCTCAGTTGTACGCACTACGCCATTTCCCGTCTCAGATCTGCGCCAAAAATGATGTAATCACGGAATTCCGCCGTGACAGACACCCATACTATGCAGAAAAGGCCCCAAGCTGCACACTCTCGTTTTCATGTACTTTTTCCTTGGTGTAAGCAAGAGTACATGAAAACCATGTACTCTTGGTGTAAGGGAAGGGGTGCATTGTGGTGTTACCATGGAAACATTACCCGATCGGTTACCCGTGGTACCCATGGAAACCTACCCGACTCGGCACTATTATTACACGTATATGGTTACCGTGGCAGACAGTTAGGTATAACTCGTACCCTTTTACAATTTGTCCTTCTTCTTGCTCTTATCCATGCCGGAATACAATAATATTATTGTGAATTGGATCACAAACCGAATAAAATAAAAAAGACTTCTTTTAACCCAAGATCGTAGCCCCCCCCCCCCCCCCCTAACCGATAGAAAACATTTATTATCATAAATATGGAAGATACTAAAAATAGAACATGATGACTGTACTTCTTACTTTGCATTGTTATGAGCAGACACCTACATTGTATAGTCTGTCCGTCCAGGAAATCATGATTTCACGGATGCAACAGATTTCGCGATTTTGGCTGCATAAACCGCGAATTCCTTCGTTTTTTTGTTTTCTGAACTTTTTTGAAACATTTTATGCACTTTTCACGCAGTGCTTTCCATGATCAGGTCGGTTGTTTGCACAGTGCGACTTGTACTACTCCCGAGCAAATCGACTTATCTACGGCGCTAATAGCAATTCTACAAATGCAACAAATGTCGTGATTTATCCCAAATCCGCAATTTTCTGCAAATATTGCCGCCAATTCCTGGCAAGTTCCGCCACATTTTTTGCTGTTTTCTACCGCAATTTCTTGCGCAAGCTTCGAGAATTTGTCTGCAAATTCCAGCAGGGACAGCCTAGTTTAATTCATCGCTATTAAGTAGTACGACTACTGTCTCCTCAGCCTCGTCGATTATTCAAATGTAGAGGAGTGTGATTAAAATAATGCACCGTGCATTAATTAATTTAGTTCGTTCAATGCGTGAACAGATGGTTCCGTAGCTTCAGTTATGCGGAATATGCATTCAATTTCATCCACCAGGATACTACACTTCCCTGACACAACTGCATGTACAGTGAAATCTGGCCAAGAAGACCACTCAAGCCAAGGGATCTTGCAAAATGCGGTCCCCGTGTACAAGTTGTATCCAGGGTAATTTGACTGGAAAAAACATCCCTTGGTCTTGGTTGTACTGGTCTTCTCGGACAGGTGGTCGGTCGCCTTGAGAGGTTTCACTGTACATGCCCTTTTTTTAAAGTGGGCACTTCACATCACTTTTACTACAAATATCATGGCAAAGTACACTGTGTACCCCGAACTAAATCTTTACTGCCACATGCGAGTTTTGCATTGATGGTGCAGCTTACCAAACATTGAGCAGACCAGCGATTGGTGAAAGCATGAAAAATTGAAACACAATCGATTCAAATACATGTTCCGGCTACTCTGGCCTTGAACAGATATTCTACCGCATGTGGACATTTCAAAAGGTCGAACCTAGCTAATAATCATTTCAGCCAGCTAATGAAGAAAAAAATTTGGTTAGTAAACAAAAAGATAACTTTCTTGGAATCAGAGAGGTTGGGAAGGAAACGTGATACGGTGACATAACCCTTCACAATAATGCGCATCAACATACGAAGAGCAGAGACATATAAACTTTCCAAGGTTATTGTTCGAAGAGGGAGTACGTGTCAGGGTTTACCTTGGAAGGAAGCTATATACTTGTACTGTAGACCACCACACCACCAGTTGAGTTACAAGTAGGCTTGCGAAACAGGAACACGAGCCTGGCACTAAAAGTCAGTAATTTGACAGCACACTCTCATACTGTGTACAGGTTTTTACTCATTGAGCTGGTTTTCGTGCTAGTGTCACGATGAGCTTGATAACCTATTAAGGCATCTGCTGGGAGACGAAGAGCAGCCTTGAATATTTTACCGATTCTCACCACAGAGTCCTTGTTCTGGAAGTCTCTAGTCCAGATAGCTAGTTTGTCTCCTTTGTTCCGTACTTGGACGACCGCTCCACAAACATCATCGGAGTCTTCACCAAATCCTTCACCGACAAGAAGGAGAAGGAGCTCCAGCCAGTAGCTGTCCAAGTTCCGATCTCGCGAGACCTTTGGAGTTTGCAGCAGCCAACGTCCACCTTGCACATTCTGCTTATCTTCCCACATGGGCTCGATCCCCTTTTTGAAAAAACTGTAATCACAAATGCTGGGCAAACCACTCACTGGTTGAACATGATTGTACAGGCCCCAAAAGTCTTCAACAGCTCCGACTTCTGCGATGAACTTTAAATTGTCGACCCAGCTACGGCTTTTGTCATTCCTGAAGAACCATAGTGCCCAAAAGTTGTTCAGGGGATGCTTCACGAAAGACTCATCTAGAGTGCTCGATGCAGCAGGAACTACACCTGATGCTGTTGCACCTTCTCCACTGTTTGAGGTCTGCTTATCCTCCTCCTCCGTAGACATACTTCCATTGGTCGGAAACAAGAAACAGAAATTGTGGTGATGGGGAGAAACAGAAATCAAAAGATACTGGTACTTGCAAAATATACTGGTACTTGCACTAAACAAAGACTTCTTTTTCTAGTTTTGTTCTAGCTTTTTGTTTCTATTTTCTGGCGACTTGCAACTTTTGAACCAACAGCCAACCGTATGCGTGCATGCGTGCACGGGCTACATGCAGCATTGGCTATCACCATAGATTTTTTCATGTGACCAATCACAAAAGCTGGCGAGGGGCCGAGTGCCCGGCGCCGGAACATGCAGAAAGTGTGGAAGCTTTCGAAGCAGGGAGTCGTAAAATACGGTATTTTACGACTCCCTGTTTCGAAGCGCCTTTGCGTGCACGTGCATGCATTGGATTTTTGAATATTTTTGCACATTGTGCACTGCATGCATGCAGTCTAGCTGCGCTGCATGATAGCTAGCATGTCCTGTGCAAACAAATAATTGTTACCTGTCCTTACACTTCACAAGCTCGGTAGATATCCTGTATTATCAACTCCGATCCGTTCTTCCTGGCCTGCATGTTGTTGGTAAAGTGCTGAATCTAAAAGTGACCAGCAGCTGATCTGAAGCACAATACAAGACCAAAGTGATTCTGTTGATTTGAAATGTACAAACTAGCATTTTTTTAGGCGAGTTTGAGCATACAACCTTGCAAGCTTGACCGAATGGACTAGACACTGTCAACGTCCAAGCTAATGCGGTAGAACCTAAGGAGCCCCTGCACGGGCTGCCAAAACTAGACTTGTATCGCTCCAAATCGACATTCTCGAATCTCAGGAGATCGCTGCTTCGACGACAGAGTGGGTGGAGGAGAGAACAAGTGGGCTATGGCCTGGGTCAGTGTCTGTTCCCGGAGCGTGCTCTTTGTTGGACTTCGCACCTCCACTGCACAACATCACCCTAATTTAGCTCTGCTGCAGTCTCGCAGCTACCTGAAATTACCAGAAATACCTCCACTTCCCGAGTCGTATGATGGGAGCATGTTCAAAGGTCCCATACCAATGGACAAAATCTCACGCCGCTTCTCCCTTAGTCAGGGTGCCGGTGGACAGTGTGTGCAAAAGACAGACAGCAAGGCATGCATCTATTTCAAACTGGACGAGGCTGACTGGCTGCCTTTGTGGATCCGAGATCGCATGCGCAGCATGTTCAAGAAAAGGATGAACAAGGATGGCGAATTTTCAATCTCCTGCGAAGAGAGCAGATCACAAGCAGGAAATCTGGAGAAAGCTCAACAGAAGCTCAAGGCGATGATCGTTGAAGCAAGCGAACTGCCAGACAAACCCTACAAGTCTACGATCAAGGCTGCCAAGCAGCATAAGAAGTCAGTGGACCGCAAGTCGGCAAGCTCGAAGCGACACCAGAAAATAAAAGAAGAGAAGTTGGCAAAGTATGCTGATGCCATTGAAGCCGCAAAGGCAGCCAAGGAGGCTGTGAAACAAGCGGAGCGAGACACTCGATTGGCAAAGCATGCCGACAAAACAAAATCAACAGAGTAAGCATCTGCACATCAACGTTGAGCTACTGCTTCCGGATGTTTCATAATAGATGCTATTTCAGGTATTCACTATTCAGTCATACTATTCACCACCCGTCAGCACAGTAAAGGATTGTTTTGGCTTCGAACTATAAAAGGAGGGTGTGCGTGTATGTTCGGCTGCTACTTTGCTTTGGGCTTTTCCTTGGTTTGAAACTGGGCATGTATTGCTTGCAGACTATCACCAGATTCTCCTGTCTTCTTTCACAAGCTGCTGGTTGTGATAAGTGATCATAGTCCTCTGAAGTTTTATTCAGTACTACTCGGACATGTTACAAGTACAATTGAAGGTGTAAACGATTGCAGTTTTTATTCATTTATTTTTTTTACAATCGGTTGACCAAGTGTGTTATCGATCCGTGACCGTTTTATTATCTTATTGATTATTTTACCTCGTTGTTATAGGCGTATTACGAGACCGTACCAGAAAGCCAAATTTCTTCGTCCAGTGAGGGTACTACTATGGATGTGGAAAGGGGAGGGGGGGGGGGGGGCTGCTGTTGCTCTGGAGCTGCAGCAGTGGACATTTTTGAGTGTGCAGTGTATCTGACAGTATGGAGAGTTCCCATGCAGGTCGATGTGCTCACTGTGAACCGCAGCATTGCTTGAGAGTTGAGGCAGTGTCGTCCATGTCATGTTTTCTTATCATTAGAGGGCATATTTTTTAATACGAAGTTAATTTTTTGGCAGCAACATAATGTAAAATAAGTCTCCCTGAGTTCTCCGCTGATGGCGCAGAATGCACGGTATACGTTCCACATGCAGTTGCAGCTAGGTCTAAAGGAAGACAATACACTAGTAAAAGAGTGTCATATGAATGACACCCCCCCCCCCCCCTTCTCGCTGCAGATGTTAGCAAGAGTCCATAACCTAATAATCCAAGTATTAAACTCTGAACATGGGGTCTGGCATGGCACACTGACAGTCAAAAATCAAAAATGCACTTTTTTTGGAAAATTCGGAAGGTTCTGTGTTATTCGCCGAGTACAGGCACTACCTTTGTACCGGTCGTGTTATCGAGAGTACCGGCGCATGCAATCAGTCATGTAGTATCTTGGTATGAAAATTAAAATCCAGCTCAAGCATCATTTCTTTTACATACTGCAAGCAATGGGCTGCACACATGATACATCCATAGGTTGGAAGATGCATATTCTTGTGGCTACGGACTTCGGATGGTAGGTAAAACCAAGAAAAAAAGACTGTCAATGCCTGTTCCAGGAAGTCGTATGAACGACTTTGGTAAGTTGGGGAAAGGCATGGCTTATTTCTCTGGAAAGTTCGTAAGTGATCTCAATGTGATATTTCTTGCTCGACAGGATCGCTACTGGTGATTGACTTATGCTCTCAGTTTCTGTACTTGATCCTGGGTTCCAGTTCTAAGGGAAAAACTCCGAAAAAGTCAATCAAAGTCTGTTCGACTTCGCTTCAGTGCTGATGCATGCTTTTTGTTTCTCAAGCGGTTCATGTTCTGCCGGTGCATGGATCGCACAATGGCCTTCTCATCTTCTACGGTGCGCTCATTCGGCAGACGGCTGGCCTCCTTGATAAGAGATTCAATTTTGGAACGCGCCTCTCTCAGATTGAAAGACTGCGTTCGCTCAGAGTCACAAGTGACTAGGAGAATGCCTTGCTTGTTCACATGCGTTTTGGCTTTAACAAGTAGTCTATGTCTGATCCATTTCGGTAGCCAGGTTGCCTCCAGCACGTTGAAGCTTAAGCACGCCTTGCTTGCTGTTTTGTTCACATGCTGCCCGCCAGCTCCACTGCTGCACACATATTCCACCTTGACTTTTTCCAGGGGTATGGGCCCTGAAAAGGTTGTTCCGTCATAATACTCCGGCATCTTCACTTTGGATGGCAGAGTAATCTGCTTCGGCGGAGTCCACTTGAAGCCTGAATGACTGCGGATAGCAACATGGCGCAACACCCCAGCCCATATCCAAGCCCGCCAAATACTATTAGGCGTAGGGCGTAGGGTCATGAAAGGATGGTGATATCCCAAGAGGAACATTCTTGCCCAAATCTAAAGGAAGCCAGCACATGAGAAATCTGAAGGATTTTCACCACACTCTCCGTTGTAGCAGAACATCTTCAAGCTTTTCGTAGCACTTCTTCTTTCTCTTGGAACGCGAAGCAAAATAATTCGAACATCCACCACCTCATCCGGGACATGCATGTACACGTGCTGACGTCTAGTATAGTGTCTTCTGACAACAGCACAACGCCGCAAAGTATTACTAAAAAGAAGTACTATACTCAGACTATGCTAGTAGTAGTATAATTCTTCTCCATGCATGCATCAAGAGTCCATGTTTATGCACTCTTGAATACATGTACACTGTATTATTTTTTGAAATTTTGTGATTGTTACCAATTATTATTTCACGGTGAAAATACCCACGCCACGTCACCCACGTGGCCGGCCATGCGCCACTCGTATAATTATCGTACTCGGCAGTCGGCACGTGACTTGTATTCGTACTCACGCATCATCATTGTGAATAAAAAATAAAAAATAATATTAAATGAATAATCATGATCATATCGCGTCGATCGATCATGTCATCGCGATACGTCACTATGTGACAGTTGTGCAGTGGTGAGTGGCGACTGATATTGACCGGTTCAAGGCATTTTGACTGCAAAGTTGGCAAACAAAAATAATTGTTTTCAGAAGACAGCTCCTCATTTAGCCAAACTGCTGTGCCATGTAGCATTAGTTGAGGCCTGTAGAAGAAAGGTCTCTCTCCTCTTCTGTCCCGTGCTTCCGATCAAAGCTGAGCTATCCCAAACATTATTTGCTGATAAAATTCACATTTGTAATACCAGTGGCAACAGTGAATATTGGCAACATTAGTGTTTCAGTGTATTGCATACAGTGGAACACTCAGCAGGCTTAGGTGTGACTGTTTCGTGGAGATATTTCCAGTAATCATGTCCGCAAAGACTGGCTTTTCCCCAAAGGCGAAGAGACGGAAGTATTCTGAACCGCCAAATGGCACAGAATCTCCTTCGGGCAGCTCCTCATCGAAAAGCTCATCACATGGTGCTTCTCCAGCTTCAATCGCTGAGCAGCGCCAATCTCTGCCTATATACAGTGGGCGCAAGCCGCTCATCAAGGCATTTCACCAACACAGGAGTATGGTGGTTATTGGAGAAACAGCCAGTGGAAAAACGACCCAAATCCCTCAGGTAAGTGACACCTTGACTTGACTCGTGTACAATGCACACATACGCATACGTGATCGGTCTACAGCTCACAACTCTCGTTTAGGATTGGTCTACATTCTACATTCACGGTTGTCATAAATATTAATTTTGTGACAAGCTGTAAAAATAAAAAAATGTACTTTGTAAGTTTGTAGTACAGTCATTTACATTGTAGGGTTGCACCAAAAGTTCAACGGTTCGATTACTATTTGCTTCTGAAACCAAAAGAAGGAACGTTGCATCGAAAGGAAAATTCGAAACCAGGTTCCTGAACGTGCATAGTCTCCAAATGTGCATTATACTCTGGAAAGGCGTGCCGAGAGCATGAAACGACAAGAATGGCAACAAAGAAGTGAAGTAGTACATGTAAATGCCTTTCCACAGGTTGCCTTCAAAGTTAGCACATTGATTATTCATGCATAGATTATTGTTCTGCATGAGATGACACGTATAGCAATGCCATGAAAGGTGCTGTGAGACGCTAAGAGGCATAATGCTCAATAGACCTTATGCCAGTTGTACAGATCCACGAAATCCCGTAGAATCCCGTAGACCCGGTTGGGTGTTCATTGTGTGCTATGCATGCGCATTTGGCCAATTTTAGCCTCATAATTTAATGGCAAACAATCGCTTTTCCAGCTTCTTCCCTTTGGTTAGAACTAATGACTAGATAGATCTTTGCCAGAAAAAGGTTTTCGTATGAAATGCCTTCAGGGCCCATTTCTTAGTGGAAATAGCAGAAAACACAATAGGGTCCTGCACATTCAACACCCAACCGGGTCTATGGGATTATACGGGATTTCGTGGATCTGTACAATGTGCATAAGAGGCCATCCGTAAAATACCGATATTTATTCCCGTAGCTATGCAGAAGACGTTACTTCAGTAACGTCTGGCGCTAGCCAGGGTCCACACAGATTTAATTTGGTGTTTGTTTGTGTGTTTGTGTCACGCCTGGCGCTATCCCGTATCTGTCCCGTACCGTACCATCAAACACAGCTGGCCACATACAGCTGGCCGCACTATTCAAATAGGGCTTTCAAACGCAAGATCATAACGTGAAGCAACTTGGAAGAATGAGTATGAATGCGAAGTGTATGGGGGAATGCATGTAGGGCGATAGTGCGGGTTCGAATCCCAGGTAATGCCTGAAAAAAATAGGAGAATTGAAAAATTTATAACATCCGTCATCCCTATTCTTTTTTTTGCCGTCATCAAGGCGGTAGATGGTGTCATATTACCCTCGACCGTACCTGTCCCGTACCGTACCGTACAATCAAAGACGGCTGGCCACAATACATACCGGTATTCAAATAGGGCTTTCCAATACAAGATCACAACGTGAAGCAACTTGGAAGAATTAGTATGTATGCGAAGTGTATCGGGGGGATGCATGCAGGGCGATAGTGCGGGTTTGAATCCCAGGTCATGTCTAAAAACAAAAGTACTTCAGTAGAAATTTATAAGAATTTATAACATCCCTATGCTTTTTTTGTTTAGGTCATCAAGGCAAAAAAGCATAGCGTAGGGCCCTGAGCTTCCAAGCTCTCTCGTTTAGAAACGAAAACTAGTCGTTTCTCTTCAAACCCCTCCCCCCTCCCTGAGAAACGAACACATACAAGCGGTACATAGAATCGATATTTTTCAGGACAGACATCGCGTCGACTCCAGAACGCCCGTGATCGGCAGAGTCAGCGCCGGTCACTAGGGGTGTGCGGATAATGCTCGAAAAGGTGGCAGATTCTGCTGCCGTTTCCTGTGACCGGGGCTGACTCTGCCGATCACGAATGTTCTGGAGTCGACGGGATCTCTCTTCCGACGTTTCCTGTTACCGGCGCTGACTCTGCCGATCACGGACGTTCTGGAGTCGACGGGATCTCTCTTCCGACGTTTCCTGTGACTGGCGCTGACTCGCCCGTTCAGGATTATTTTGGAGACGACGGGATCTCTCTTCCAAAGGTTGTTTTAGCTGACGCATCATGTCACATATTCGGCAACTAACGTCCATTCTAATTGCATTTCTTCATCTCCCTACTTCGTATTTCTTTCAAGAAAATCTCCCTAGACAGCACTGAGTCGTTTACATAATACGACTCCCTGCTATACATCTATATACGTTATAATTATTATGCTATCGGCCTACATGCGATTCCCGGGCTGGTCGACAGGCGGCCCAGCCAGCCTGCTAGTGGGATCTCGGCCTCGCACACAAATCCACACAAAATGTTACTGCACTGAATGCATTCCCCCGATACACTCCGCATATATACTCATTCTCTTGATTGTACCGTATTCTTGATGGTACGGGACAGGTACGGGATAGCGTCAGGCATGCCGATGGCACAAACAAACCAAAATATATTGTGGCCAGCTGTCTTGGCTGGTACGGTACGGTACGGTACGGGACAGATACGGGATAGCGCCAGGCGTGACACAAACAAACAAACAAACAAACAAACACCAAAAGCTGTGTGGACCCTGGCTAGCGCCAGACGTTACTGAAGTAACGTCTTCTGCATAGCTACGGGAATTAAAGCTGTGTGGACCCTGGCTAGCGCCAGCCGTTACTGAAGTAACGTCTTCTGCATAGCTACGGGAATAAATATCTATATTCATTTTCGTTTCTAAATAAATATCTATATTTACGGATGGCCCCTAAGGCTTATAGTCCTTGTTGAGAAGACTGTATTAGTATTACTAACTTCAAACTCATCTTATACACGACTTTACGTCACCCCTCTATTTTTCGCAGTACAATCGTGTACTTACTTGTACATGACGTGTTTGTTAATTAACACTGACCTGTTTGTACTGTGTGTCTTTTCCCTGTTCGTGCAGTATCTACACGAGTGTGGCTTGACGGCCCGCGGTGCCGTAGCATGCACCCAGGTCAGTCAGTACACGATGACAACGTGCCATTGTCCTTTCCCCTCGTGGATTCCTCAGCTTGTTTCACCTGGAAAAGAGCTTTCCCTTTCTTTGCGTGCTTGTTTTGTTGCCATTACAGCCTCGCTCTTTTCCTCAGTTTGTTTCACCCGGAAAAAGTTTTCCCTTTCTTTGCATGCTTGTTTCTGTTGCCATTGCAGCCTCGCAGAATAGCAGCAACCACTGTTGCACAGCGTGTTGCTGATGAAATGGGAGTGAAGCTTGGCGAAGAGGTGTGTGATGCATTATTTCTTTGTTATTATTATTAAACTGGTGTGGTGTATAATACTTCTATTATTGACATCTTCAAGAGCCAAGTGTCTCTAACACGTTTCAGCAGTTCCTGTGTTACATGTACATCTCACACCTTTCTGCAGAATTCACTGCTCCTAGTCAAGTACCTGTGCATGTCTATATGAGAGCAATGGCCACTTGAATGGCCCACTTCACATGCTTTTGTTGTTGTAGTTGTTGCTGTTTTTGTTGTTGTTGTTGTTGTTGTTGTTGTTGTTGTTGTTGTTGTTGTTGTTGTTGTCGTCGTCGTCGTCGTCGTTGTTGTTGTTGCTGTTTGAATACTTTATTCTCACGATGGCATCATCGCCAATAAGAGGTTGTTGCTGTTGCTGTTGCTGTTGTTGTTGTTGTTGTTGTTGTTGTTGTTGTTGTTGTTGTTGTTGTTGTTGTTTATTTCGTGTTAAATTCTAGAATTTCTTGTTCCTGCCACTGCTCGATATATGCGTGCAATAGTGTGTGTGTGTGTGTGTGTGTGTGTGTGTGTGTGTGTGTGTGTGTGCCCGTGTGTGTGTGTGTGTGTTTACATTAGGTCGGCTACAGCGTCCGGTTTGACGACTGCTCAACGTCGAAAACAAAGATTCGGGTAAATGCAAGCTCCCTGTGCTCATGCTTGTCTACGTGTCTGTTGTTCCAGTCAATTGATTTCTGTGGCATGTGCAGTGTAGAACATTCTCTCAGATACATCTTGGCACTGACTCACCTGAGCAACACATTTGTGCCGTGACCTATGCGTATTGCTTTGTTTTGTTTTGACCTTTTTGTTTACTGCAGTTCATGACTGATGGTATGCTGTTGCGAGAGGCAATCGTCGACCCCCTCTTAAAACGGTTAGTTCCGAGTAGCCGTAGCGAATCTATTTTTAGCCTCTATGGACATTACGTTCTTGAAGAGCTGTGATGCCTCCAGCAGCGGAAAGTTGCATAACATGCCATGTTACCCCTTTGTCTATGACTGAGCAATGATTGAGCAGTGTACAACACTGTAGGCCGTGTCTGATCAGTCATTGGCATATCACTGTCACTGTTTATAAGTAGCCAAGAATGATGTGGCCCATCGAGCACATTGTCCCTCACCAGGTTAGCGCATGGTAATCTGTGTATCTGTGTACTGTACGAGTCGTGTCGTCGTCCTTGTTATGTACTGCTCGCGGATGGATGTTGGAGCGTGGGCAGGACTGGCTGCAGGAGGGAACCAACTCGCTGTTGTGTGTGTGTGTGTGTGTGTGTGTGTGTGTGTGTGTGTGTGTGTGTGTGTGTGTGTGTGTGTGTGTTGTGCGTTCGTGCGTGTGTGTGCGTGTTTGTACGTTTTGTGTGTTCCTTATTCAGCTATTCAGTCATTGTCCTGGATGAAGCCCATGAGCGGACACTTCACACCGATATACTGTTTGGCGTCATTAAACAAGCACAGAAGCAGCGAGTCAAAAGCTCCCATGCATGTTTGAAGGTAATGCATGTACTCAGCATGCATGTTAGAAACGAGAGAGCTTGGAAGCTCAGGGCCCTACGCTATGCTTTTTTGCCTTGATGACCTAGACAAAAAAAAGCATAGGGATGTTATAAAATTCTTTAAAAAAAATCCTTTTTTTTAAGACATAACCTGGGATTCGAACCCGCACTATCGCGCCCTGCATGCATCCCCCGATACACTTCGCATACATACTACAGTGCATTTCAAAACTATAGACGCGTAGGGTTTTTGAAATATTTCAAATTTGGCTGGAACTTTTTGAGAATAGTTTTCGGAATATTGCTCAGGACCGCTCCACAATTACTCTCATATAGTTTCTAAAGGATTGGATAACAGACGCCCAATTTGGAAAAATTTATGCACAAAGTGATCACAGATTTTATGTGGTATAGATGCTGGCATAACGGTTTTGCCTAGGTACGCGTCTATAGTTTTGAAATGGACTGTAATTCTTCCAAGTTGCTTCACATTATGATCTTGCATTTGAAAGCCCTATTTGAATATGCATTGTGGCCAGCCGTCTTTGATGGTACGGTACGGTAGGGATAGGTACGGGACAGGTACGATCGAGGGTAATACGACACCGTCTCCCGCACCGTACCATCAAACACAGCTGGCCACATACAGCTGGCCGCAATATTCAAATAGGGCTTTCAAACGCAAGATCATAGCGTGAAGCAACTTGGAAGAATGGGTATGAATGCAAAGTGTATGGGGGAATGCATGTAGGGCGATAGTGCGGGTTCGAATCCCAGGATATGCCTGAAAAAAATTAGGAGAATTGAAAAATTTATAACATCCCTATGATTTTTTGCCGTCAGATACGGGATAGCGCCAGGCGTGACACAAACAAACAAACAAACACACAAATACCAAATTAAAGCTGTGTGGACCCTGGCTAGCGCCAGACGTTACTGAAGTAACGTCTTCTGCATAGCTACGGGAATAAAGTACATGTACCGTAATGTCGCGTAATGGTGCTTACGGCCGTATAAGCCGGGGTTCAAGCCATGCTTCTATTCAAGTTATGCTTCTTTTCAAGTTATGCTTCTATTCAAGTTATGCTTCTACGTCAACATCTTCGGTCTACACTGTACAGCGCATACTGTCATGCATGTGCTGTGCAAGTACAGTGTGCATGCACTGGCACGTATGCTTCCACTTCCAAGTATTGAAATCGTGCTTTTGTGTCACTGCCCGCTTCAAAATATCGGCTTTTATTCGAGTCATGCTTCTATACGCCGGGTCATGGTTTTATGCACGGCATTGCGGTACCTTATCTGGCTACCGTGCATGTCCCCGAGTAGTGTGGCCATTTGTTTGGAGGTCTTCTCTGAGTCTGTAGATTGTATCGCGGAGTGAGGACTGCACAGCCACATTGCACTTCTCATGGATATGTTATTGTGTGAGAGATCACAAGCGCACGCATGTACTGTAGCTGTTCGGGTGCTCAGCTTTGCTGCGCCTTCTCTCCTCTTCTCGGCCGTGTATTCCGTTTTTTGTTGTTGTTGTAGATCATTGTGATGTCTGCAACTCTGGATGCTGACCAATTTTCGCTGTACTTTGACTCGGCACCCGTTCTCTACATCCAAGGTCGCCAATACCCCGTGCGGGTAAGTGCCCGTGCCGTGCTTTTCTATCTCTGCATGCACATGCAATCGCCTCCACTTACATGTATAGTGAACTCGCCTGTAGCGAGTTGTTGAGATTATAGCAAGCCGTCTGTTCATGTCCGTGCGATGAACATGTACAAATTTGACCCTTTCATAGTGAAACGAAATCTCACTGCGTAGCAGAGCATATACAGTGTGGTCATGCAATGGCGCACGTGGTTTGACATACAAGTATCTACAAAGGCTGCACTTGTAGATGCTACTATGATGTATGACGTGTTGCTTCAATGGTGTGGGTGCACTTCTGTTTCATGTGTAAAGAGCTAGGAGCTGATTGTGAAACACTGTTGAGTTTATAATGTAAGTGTAAATATACATGTAGTAGAGAAATGGCGGTAAAAACACACCTGCCAAAATGGCGGTAAATACATGCCTGCCTACACAAACGCTCTCTAAGCTGCGACGTTCTGGCAAAGAGCGCTCCTTCTCTCACCACCATCATCGCTTTGTGCATAGTGCCTTGTTGATGCTTGGCTGGTGAGCCTTGTCGATGCATGGCTGGTGAGCCTTGTCGATGCATGGCTGGTGAGCCTTGTCGATGCATGGCTGGTGAGCCTTGTCGATGCATGGCTGGTGAGCCTTGTCGATGCATGGCTGGTGAGCCTTGTCCATGCTTGGCTGGTGAGCCTAGTCAGTGCTTGGCTTGTGAGCCTTGTCAATGCTTGGCTGGTGAGCCTTTCGATGCATGGCTGGTGAGCCTTGTCGATGCTTGGCTGGTGAGCCTTGTCGATGCTTGGCTGGTGAGCCTTATCGATGCTTGGCTGGTGATGTCAGCATAGCTGACTATCATTTAGCACCTGGCGCATAGACAATGACACAGAGACGACTTGGCTCGGACATTTCGCGAGGCATGTTTTACCACAATTTTGCTACTCTCTGTGTGTGTGTGTGTGTGTGTGTGTGTGTGTGTGTGTGTGTGTGTGTGTGTGTGTGTGTGTGTGTGAGAGTGACTGTGCGTGTACGTGTGTGTGTGTGCGTGCTTGTGCGTGCTCGGCTTGCGTGTGTTTGTGTGTGTGTGTGTGTGTGTGACGTCACGTGTGTATGTATGTGCATGTGCACGTGTGTGCATGTGTGTGTTCTCTCTTGTGTTTGTTTGTGTAGATGCTATATACCGCTGAGCCACAGCAGAACTACTTACGCACTTGTGTTGTCACCGTTATGCAGCTGCACCGGGATCCCGAGATTCAGTACGTACCGCTACATGTACATGTCTGCTGCTCCTGGTGACTATCTAATGCATAATTTGATGCGGAATGCACGAGCACGCTTTTATTTGCACTGACTTGAGTGCATCTAGCACGGTGAAACATCTGTCTCTTTTGGCCTTCACATACGTGTACAAGTACATGTACTTTCTTCTTAGCATTGGATGGAAAGTGTTATTTGGGGACCTGCAGCGTTGTGTTCTACTAGTATTCCAGTCAGTTCACCTCGCCTACTGGTATGTAGTGCAGTTGTTTTTGGGGGTGTTAGAGCAGAGGTATGCGTACTGTGTATGGAATGAAGTTTTACCATTGTACGCTTTCATGCCTGTGTGTGTGTGTGCGCGCGTGCGTGTGTGTGTGTGTGTGTGTGTGTGTGTGTGTGTGTGTGTGTGTGTGTACTTGCTTGGTATCCGTGCGCAGGGGAGACTTACTCATGTTCCTCACTGGGCAGGACGAAATCGAAACAATGTGCCGCTTACTTGCTGAGTGTGTGGAAGAGTTGGAACGACAGATGGCGGCTGGTGAATGTGAAGGTGAGAAATCACATTATCGCTGGAGACAGCATGAACCCCGTTTGAGCATTCTCCTTTTTGCCAACTTGTTCTGTGGCCAGTTTTCACACACCCCGTGTAATCATTGGGGGGTAATGCATGCATTGCACAAAGATAGGTGAAATCTAGTTGGCCTACATGCCATTGTGGTCTATTTGAATGATCCTCTTGTTGCAGAGTATGACAAGCTCATCATATGTCCACTCTACGCTGCGCTACCACCCGCCGGGCAAGCTGTTGCCTTCGAGCCGACACCTGCCGGCAGCAGGAAAGTGATTGTTTCAACGAACATCGCCGAAACGTCGGTCACAATACCTGGCATCCGTCACGTTATCGATCCAGGATTGGTCAAGCTAAAGTGAGTAGCATTTCTATGTTTTCCGTGTGCTATGTTCTCCGTTCTGAAAGAGGTGAAGTATTTGAGACAAGCGGGGGGGGAGTAAAGAAATTGTTAAGAGAACAGGTACTGTAGATCAATAAGATGTACCGGGAACCTAAAACAATTCAGAAGGTTTTAGTGGCATTTGCATTCTGTGTACAGCTTGGTGGAGTTGAGTTACACATACACGGGATGAGGTGCTGTTTGGGTGTGAGTTGAAGTTCACACGTGAAAGTGACCATCAGACTGTGTTGGCTTTTGTTTGTGAAACTTTTCACACTGCGTAGCTGTTTCTTTATAAAGTCACAGCGCTTGTTTGAAAGAAGTAGCGTTGTCAAGTTTTTTAACACTGCGTAGCTGTTTCTTTATAAAGTCACAGCGCTTGTTTGAAAGAAGTAGCATTGTCAAGCACACCATGATGCAGACAGGTGCAACTGTCCATCGCGCTGCTGTGAATTGATTATGTAATCCAGCGCCTTGATCCTTGAGGGCGGTGTCGTTCCTACGGATGCGGGGAAACACGGTCTAGCCGAGTCTGACGTGAACCGTGATGTTTCAGTCCAGCTAAGCTGGTGGCCATCAACAGGATCATATTTTAGCTTACCTATTTCCTACTTGCCCAGCGTGGCCAAGACCATTCGACTAGTTTCGACGGTGCACGACTGCTTGTGCTGTTGTGATTGGCTGCTGCTCTGCGTTTCTGTCCTCTGTTACAGGGTATTTGACCAGCGTGGTGGAATGGAGGTGCTGCGCGTAACGCCCGTGTCCAAGGCGCAGGCTCGGCAGCGCTCTGGCAGAGCTGGCCGAGAGGCAAGGTAGCGTGTGATGACAGTTGATTGCACATACTGTAATTTCACAAATTTTCGGTGTACTTTTATTTTCGGTACTTTCGGTGCGTCTGTTTTATACTTAAAATTTCAATACACCGAACAAACACTAACTCACATAATCCAATTGGGAACTGCTTCACTGTACCGGAAATTTCTGTTCACCTAACCTGGCCTGCTGCCCTCATACCGAAAATATTGAGCACCGAAAATTTCTGAAATTAGAGTACTGTTGTATGCTGTACTCTACTATAGTCAGTTTCAAAAAGATTAGCAATCCTGGCGATCGCCCGGGGAGTTTGCCGTCTTACCGTATGAGCGCTCGAGCGCTGCCTGGAAAAACTCACTGTGAACTCGAAGAAATATTCCGCGCGAAAGCATGAAAAATGACAACTCACTGACGTCGGTACTCGTAGTCATACATGTTCGTCTGGTTTACAACAAACGAGTTCTTCCTCGCATCGATATGGAGTCAGAGAGGACATGTCGAAAGTGTGGTAAATTTTGACGAGCGGGATGCGTCCGTTTTGTGACCAAATAGATTCTTTGAGCAACGGATGCAATTTACTCTCACGATGTGACGAAAACGGCATTGACACAGACTCATTCCCAAGGCTTTGAAGTGGCAGGGCTATCCGTGTGACTTCGACGACATTTTGAGAAAAGCAGACGCCTGTGAAAGCTGATAGAAGACGGTGTTGACTCCTAAATTCAAATAAATTGGCGATCTTCAGTTACTAAAATAATTCTCAAACAGAAATCGATCGATCGATGTGCCGGTGTATTCAACAACATGTAGCTACAGCGCAATGACGTCCGTGTTCACAACTTCAAATGGCGTGAGCCAGTCAAGTGTCAGTCAGTTCGGCAGGAAACGCGAGCTCCAACAACAAGTCGTTTGGCGCAGCCACCTTCTTTGTCTTGTACCAGCATGATCACCAAAACAATGAAAAAATCAAGAAAAAATATTTGACTTGAAGATTTGTTGGGATTTGAACTCACAAATTCATGGTCAGCAGACAGCATGCATAACCACAAGGCCAAAACGGAAGGGATAAATCGTGGGTTTTGATAACAAATCGATACTGGCTTCCAGGGCAAATTATAATCCATGGGAAAAGCCAGAAACCTGGCCGAAATACTAACTCCTTAACGGTTGGTCCAATTGTTCCGAAACCTTCACAGAGCAATTTGCCGTGCCCTAACAAGCCGTTTTATGTACTTTGTTGTCCAATTTTCCCTTATCTTCATACTTTTTAAGACCCAAACTTGATTGCTAATCTTTTTGAAACAGACTGTAGTGAGGGGATTACTTCAGTACTGATTGAGTCCTTGCAATACCTACTAGTATCCTCCAAGGCCAAGGAGCTTGTATTCATGTACATGTATACGCATAGTACAGGGAGGGGGTTGTATGGTTACCACCGGTCCAAGTAATGTCGACGACCCGCAGCACAGCCACGCTATGACTGAGGGCGATGCTTTCGAAACAAGCTATATTGTCTGTCAGCCACACTAGTATGTAACTGCATTTCTTCGCATTCGTTGATACAGTTACTCTTCTGTTTGCCATCCTTCCTGCAGTGGGCGATGCTATCGCTTATTCACCGAAGAGTCTTTTGGAGAACTCGAGGAGTGCACCATTCCAGAAGTTCGGCGGTAGGTGAAATAAACACGTGCATGCATTAAAATGATGTAGCCCTTTCTGTGCATCAAATCTTTGTGCATTTTGGCTCAGAAAGAATTTGACCATGATAACTTGAGCAACCATAAAGGCCTCGAAGATCTCAGTGGCTGTCGTTCTTCAAGCCAATATGTTTTTTTTGTTTTTTTTGTAAGGTTCCTGCTCCTCACTGGAGTTTGAACAGCCATGATTTTCATTGCAAGGTACCCTTTGGAAGTTGTTTGCTTGTGAACTAACGGATGGTGTTTGCAGTTTGCGGTTTTGGTTAGCCTTTTATTATGAAATAGGGCATGTGCATGCAGAGGCAGGGTCATGACCATTGAGACCCTACGTTCTCTTAATGTGAAGTATAATGTGGACTGTTTTGCCGACATCTCCGTGCAGATGTAACTTGACGGGCGTTGTCTTGCAGCTGCTGGCACTCGGCATCACGGATATTGTCAATTTTGACTTCATGGACCCGCCACCTAAAGAGGTATGATGCACACCTCTTACAGGAGCTCCAGTTACTGTTGTTTTGTGCCCATCTTTCAATATTACACAGCACGCATTCGCCTGTAGCAGTTACAGCTGTCGTGTGCACCGGTGTATGAACTGCTTGTCAACCATGCTTTGCTGAATCTTGAATTCTACCCGTGACTTTTTTGTCTGTTTGTTTTTTCCTCTCGATGTACTAGTACATGTGCTTGGGCCGGGGTACTTCTCCCACGGCCAGTGTGCAATAATCCTAAATGCATTATCACTTCTTTATCCTGTTTGTATGCAGTTCTTGAAACATGCCCTGGAGACCTTGCTTGTTCTGTCGGCTGTCGCAAAGACTATGAAGCTACAGGTGAGCAGCGGCAGTTAGCAGCTGAGCTGAAACAGCGATCGCTCTTAGTCTAGTCTGATAGGCAAACAGACTGTGTGCATGACCAATCCAGTCCACCGTCCACAGATTGCTCGGTGTGCTTAGCGCAAAGGAAACTAGCCGCACCAGGATGACGAAGGCAGTTGGTACGACAGGTCCCTTCGTTCTTCCGATGCACGCCCAGTTCCTTTGCTGGTGTTCACCGCGTATCACCCTGTAGCTGAGACCTAGAGTGGCATCGCAGTAGTCCGAATGTTGTGAGTGTTATATTCATCACAGTGCGGCAGCCCTCAGTGGAGAGCCTGTCAGCCATCATCGCATGCCTTCCTAGCACACACCCGTAGCTGATCCCATCCCTGCAGTGCATGCTACGAAGACGGATGAAGGAGACTACAGCCGACTCCACTTATAGCGAACTCCCATATACGGTAGCGAAGCGAACCGTTGTCCCTGTCGCTATTTGAACCCATACGCAATTGACCCTTTGTAGCAAACAGTTTTCGTTTATAACGAACTATGCTCACCTGTAAACCAGTATACTCATAGTCATGGATCACATTCAAGTCATAATGTGTTGCTTGTATGGTGTGAGTGCATTTCTGTTACATGTATCAGATCTTCGTGTAAGAAAAATCCAGGGGAGTGAACAATCACTCTCGCTATCTTCTCAAGGAGAGTGGTGGGAGAGCAGTCCCCAGCACCCCCCCCCCCCCCCCCCAAATCGCTCACCTCATCTACCCAAGGCGAGCACAAATCACAATACGGGTTTTTCAACATCTTGCCATACCCTAATCGGATTCAACACCCAATAGATGCCAAATTCATTCCGGAAAATTGCCGTACGCCCTACAAATGGAAGCTGTTCGGACCACAACTTCAGTTTCCCTTCATCAATTTTGCAATGAATCTCAGGCATTCTGGAAAGCTACTGCCCTACTGCCATCGCACTACTCCTCCTAGTCCTACTGCTTGCTAGCTAGCTACTTTAAGCCTTCAGACTGGCCTGATGCCAGCTGGGCTGCCAAAACCACGGAAAAAACTATGGAGCTGCAAAAGTCCCAACTGGCCTCTGCCTGTACAGCCTACTGCTCTTTACTTACCCACTGGATCAGCAGCAGATGCTCCTGCAGACGCTAATGCGGCCTCAGCAGTACTGCCGGGCGGCCCGGAACTTGTCGACAGGTTCCAGCTTGGCCAATAACCTTCTCGCGCTGGCTGGTGGCTCGACTTTACGGATGCATTCAAGGAAGGTGTGGAAGGATTCGTCATCACCAGTGCTTAGTGCATCGAGCAATTCCTCATTCTGCGCTGCACGGCCAGTGTTTGATGCAAATAGCTGACGCTGTGCACGCGTAATCAACTTCTTAGCCTCACACTGGCGACGCATATCACCTGGAGTTAGCGTGGAAACCAGGTCAGGCCGAAGGTCTGTGAAGACGTCACTCTCCCATGCTGTCATGTCAGAGAGCTGTTGGTCAAGAGACTCGTCTGAAAATGTTGGCACAACACACACATAGAGAAACAGAATCAGACCTTCGTGTAAGAAAAATCCATGAGAGTGAACAATCACTCTTGCTATCCTCTCAAGGAGAGTGGTGGGAGAGCAGTCCCCCCCCCCCAAAGTCGCTCACCATATCTATCCAAGGCGAGCACAATACGGGTTTTTTCAACATCTTGCCATACCCTAATCGGATTCAATACCCAATAGCTGCCAAATTCGTTCTGGAAAATCGCCGTACGCACTACAAATGAAAGCTGTTCGGACCACACCTTTAATTTTCCTTCATCAATTTGGACGATGACACGCGCAATAGGAAATTGAGCCAATTCGCATCCATGGTAATTTTGTAGTATTCATTGTGGAGCGCTACTTTCTTCTGTAGCTAACCGCTCAAGACATGTGCCTGACGTCGCACAGGTCTATGCATGCCCGGACTGTCACGCAACAGAGGGAAATCCTTTAGGTCAAAATAATAATAATTGGCACCCAAGTGCGGAAGTGAACATTTGCAACGGTACGTAAAATACCTTGCGAGTGCCGTAACTCCACTATTCGACCTCGGATCGACTTCCGATTAGTTGGAGCCGACAACTGAGAACCTTCTAATACGAATAGACCTTTCGAGTACTCGATTCCGTTCAGGGAAAGCCGAGTTACGAAATATTTGAGTGTTTGCAGAATGCACTTCACAGTGATGCGGATGCGCTCGAAATTCTCAAGGCGCGCGACGAAAAGTGCGCCCAAAAAGAAAATAAGGAGAGCGAAGGCGCGCGAGAGCGATCGCTCTCCTTTTACCAGATGGTCTGATGTATACAGAACTTCGGCTATTAAAGAACTAATTGTCCTGCACAATGGTGTTGGTTATGTCAGGTGTCAACTGTATGTGTGTACTTCAATACGTACATGATAGCATGACACCAAGAGTGCATAAACAAGAGTATGCAACTGTGGTTATGGGTCAGTGCGCGGCGCGCTGCCTTCATTACGTAACTTGCCTTCATCACGCTCTGAAAGCATGCATTCAAACTCACAATTTCTCGTACGAGCCCATCCGTTTTTGCTCGATTCGTTCCAGTACCTAAGCGATCTCTGAATTCTGGCGCGTGAACTCCAGTTCCGTACGAAAGTTCATTTCAAACCAGAGGGAAAAGTGCGGTGTTTGATTTTCCGCTGTGTGCGGACTGCAGCTGAATGATGTAATGAAGGCAGCGCGTCGCGCATCTGGCCCATAGAAAAGAGATCACAGTTGCATACTCTTGTTTATGGACTCTTGATGACACTGCTCTTGCTTTCCATTGTGTTTCTTTGATGTGTTCCTAGCTTACCCCAATGGGTGAGAACATGGCACACTTCCCTCTGGACCCCAAACTGGCTAAGATCATTCTCAAGGCTTCCGAGTTTCAATGCGGGTAAGGAGGATGTCACTTTTGCTGCAACATGACATTTAAAATAGTTGCTGTGATGGCGGTGCTTGTTACAGCAAGTTTGTTTTAGATTTCTTCAGAACATGTAGCAAAGGTCCCTGGTTTAAATCCTGGTGGTGGTGACAGTCAACTTTTTCTTCATATTTGCAACTTTTTCCCTTTTCAACACCCTCAACTGATCGATATTTAAAAGCAGTTCTAAAATTTAACTCGGATGGTGAGCCAATTAAATTATGGTGAAAAAGAGGACAAAATGTTACGATAACCGCAATCAATAAAACTAGCTGAACCGACATTTGTGTACTTTATTCACGCAATGTAAAAACGGTGGAGACGATGTGCAATAAAACGATGAAAATATGAAGAAATGGTGTAGGGAAAAATATGGATTCAAACAAGTTTTCGTACAACACTCATCGGAATCGTCGTTGTACTAAAGGACACTGAAACAAAAATTGAGCTATTATAGAAAATCTAAGTTAGAGAAATAACACTAAAGCGGGATTCACAGAAGCTTTTTTGCGATGCGACACGCGATGCGACGCGATCTGCGACGGACGCGTGCGATGCGAACTCGCGAAATACCATTCACAGAAGAAGTCAGTGATGCGACATCTTGCTGATTTGGCTACGTCACCATGATATTCGCGCGGTTTGATACAACTTGTACAAATTTATAGGCAACTCTTGCACCTTTGTACAACTTTGCTGTAGAAAAGGTCAAAATCGTACGCCAAATCGCTTGTCGCATCGCATCGCATCGCAAAAGTTGAGCCAAGCTCAACTTCTGCGATGGCCTGCGATGGCCCAGTTGCGTCAGTTGCGTAGGGTCCGCAATGGTTGCGATTTGGGGATTTCCCGGTTTCGCGGCTGTCGCATCGCGTGTCGCATCGCAAAAAAGCTTCTGTGAATCCCGCTTAAGAGCAACAGCAGTGAAATTTACAAGTGTGAATTTTAACAATCAAAGCGAGAAATGAACAAAGGAGAAAGGAAGGAAAGACAACGTGATAACACATAACAGCAGTACATTACACCTAGAACTTTTTTTGTTGTTGTTTGTAGTGTTGAAACGAGCGTATCTATAACAAACGAGCGATCAGTTCCACTAACGAGCAAGCTATCGAGCGAGCTAACGAGTTTCATTGATGTGACAAATAATCAGTTTTTGGATATTTTTTCTATTACAAAGTAGTGGTTGCGACTTCGGCGATGATTTGTAAGAAAAGGTCGTGAGTCAGTCAAGTGTCAAGTAAAGTCGGCGGAATAGCGCGAGCTCCGGTGTGGGGAGCAAACCCTTTTATCCTATTACAGTCGATTTTTTTCATCTGGTTCAAATATTAATTATCACTGCCGACATTTGGGGTTCCTGCTGCTTCACTTCGGACTGCTGTTTGGTGTCGAGATATTTTTCAGCGCCATCGTTGAGCAGCCTTTGTAAGAATACCGGTAGACTGTTTTGCAAAGATTGCAAGTAGCCTTGTTCTTCGCTGCATCGCGGGAGAACTTCCAAACGACTGAGCGTAACGTTCACTCGAATGCAGAGTTGACCGAAGCATGTCCTGCGACAGGTTAGCAGATGCGGAACAAGACATCAGTAGAGTCCACCAAAGCTGCAACGACAACTGAAACAACTCAGAGTCGTGCAGGCATCCAGTCTCTGTAACTGCGAGTGATTTTCACTTTGCCCGGGACTGGACTCTCGATCGACTGAAATGTGTACGGAGTAGATCTACGGTGTACGGTGTTCGTTAGTGCAAACGAGCTGGCCGCACAAACGAGCCGAGTTTCTGGCGAGCGAGCTAACGAGCACCCGGTGAGATCGTTTCAACACTAGTTGTTTGAATCCATATTTTTCCCCTACACCATTTCTTCATATTTTCATCGTTTTATTGCACATCGTCTCCACCGTTTTTACATTGCATGAATAAAGTACACAAATGTCGGTTCAGCTAGTTTTATTGATTGCGGTTATCAAATTATTGTCTCCTCGCCGTGTGTTTAAAAATGTTACGAGTTATGACTATGATGTTGGCGTTTCGGTTTGTCACAATTCGTCTTCGCTTAGCTTCCCCTTCTATGTTTATTACATAAACTTGAGCCTCCCAAGTTGGGTGGTCTGTTGCTTTGCGTCGTCGAGTTGTAGTAAGGCCGGTCTGTCCAATAGTCTTACTAGTTTCGTCATCATCCAGTAACTTTCGGCATTCTTTGTTGCCTGATGCGTAGCTCGTGCTCTTCTTCGTTGCGCTTTCCTTCCCCTCTTGGGCCTTTCTGGACCTGAGCCTTTGCGCCTTGGAGAAGTGTTGGAGCTAGGTGTCAGGTCGCCGAATGTCTCAGGACTCCTTTGTCAGTTTTGTGCCATTTTGTCGCACTCGCTGACTGTATAAGATCTGGTTACGTTGGTGGACAGTTAGTCATAACTCGTAACATTTTGTCCTCCTTTTTCACCAGTTCTAAAATTGTTTGGACTGGTTATGTAACCCCGTAACTGCTTTCCCCAATCAAACCAAAGCCGAGTTCCTAAGATGAATTGTGCAAAATTTGGCCTAGTTTGTTGATTCTTGAGAAACAAAGACCTGCGTCTAAAACCTTGTGTTCTCAAAGTTTATGCATGTTGAACTAAACCTTAACGTTGAATCGTTTTGTTTCATGATATTTTTCCATTTCGATGCGTGAATCATACAATCATGATACCGGTAACATAAAATTGTGGGCTCCAACAGTGTTGTTTGTGAGGAGGTTTTATTCTGTGAACTGATCATTCGGGCAAAGAGACATCTGTGAAGTGTCTTACGGTGTGGGAAGCTCTGTAAATGTGATTTCGGTGAGTCGTCTTTTCGGTGAGGCGTGCATTTCGGTGAAATGTCGTACTGTGAATCGTCGTTCGAGGTAGAGTCGTTCTGTGAACTAGTTTTCGGCAATCCGTCGTAGACCCCTGTGTTCTATGCTAAACGTTTTGCCTGTTTATTCACAGAGTTTAGTGCACTGCCTTTTTGTGCCCTGTCTGCTTGTCTAAATTGTTTTGTGCCTGTGCTGTGGATGCAGTGATGAAATTCTCACGATCGTTGCAATGCTGACGGTTGAGTCTGTACTCTACACACCACCCGGCCAGGTAAAGTATCTTCATCGTACATACATGTGGTACACCACCAGTGGCTATGAGATAGTCTGTAGTGTGAGCTGGAATCTATGACTGCAATCATTACTGGTCTTGACGGAGGGGGCATAGGGCTTGAAAGTGCTGCGTTCCTGGCATTACAATGCTACTTATTTGGATCCACTTTTATTCAGTTTTTTTTATTTGGATTTATTCACATTTGAAGCAGTCGCCTTCACAGCTGAATGAGACATCCGCTAGTAGTGCCCGGTCTGGCCTGGGGGGAGGGCTCTGCTGGTGAAGAAAACGTCACACCAGCATTCGATATGAGGGGCCGGCCATGCATCCACCAATACAAAAGCTACTGAAGAGTGGATCCAAAAGTAGGAATCCTATAGAATTTGAAAGTCACTACTGCCCCGTCGTGTTTTACATTATCATTTCCTAGCCCTTTTGAACTCGCACTCCACTGGCCTCCAGTCTGTACACTTCTTCAGTCCAGTAGCCCACCAGACTGACAGAGCCATTGCTACAGCACTGGCCAAAGAAATCCAACCTCATGAGGGAAAAAATAGCGCCGGGCACTACGCAGCCCTAGCACTACACACACTGCTCTGTGCACTCGATACAACTACAGTCAGACCTCGCTTTAACATCGGTTTCCCACCAAATTATCCGGATAGCCGAACACCGTTTATGTTGGATGCATCCCGTATGCTGTACATATGTAATCAGTTATTTTCTTCCGGATGGCGAGGGATCCGGATAAAAGAGGACCGGATAAGCGAGGTCTGACTGTACATTTTGTATATACATGAGGTCGGATTTCTCTGGCCAGAACTGTATCTGTAATACAATTCTACCACTTGAAAGCATAACAATGGTTACATGATGTACAATGTATATCTGACAACGTTCTCTCCTGACTGCCAGAACCTGTTTGGTCACTGTTAATCAACTGCGCTCCTCTCATGATTGTTTTCTCCCATTGTCAGAGGGACTCGGCTGGCTCGGCATGGAAGAAGTTTCATTCTCCGGACGGCGATCACCTGATGCTTCTGTCTATTTTCCGCGCATACCGCAAAGTCCAGGGCAATCGTGTACGTGGGTGTTTTCTTTTGTAGTAGGGGCTGTGCCCTGTTGCTAACAATGTGTGTTGTTCACGGTGCAGTGCACGTCACTTTGCAATGCAGTGAGTGCATTGTGCCCTGTTGTGTTTGTGTTCTTGGATTTTGACCGATTCTGCTGCTGGTGTGCGTGTGTGTGTGTGTGTATGGGGGGGGGGGGGGGGAGGGGGAAGGGGTAGGTGTAGAAGTTCAATGTGCAGGGTATATTTTGTGAAGCTCAGAGTGTAATAACTTATTTCTTGGTTCGCCTTGCTTTATTGACTGTGGCATCATTGCTCCAGCTCTGAGAGTGAGCGCTGTTTTTTCAACTGTGGATCTATAAGTTGATTGTTCCAACTAGGAACACACGCTTCTTGCCGAACTTGACACTTGACTGACTCACGACTGCCATCCGGAGCACACGAGGAGCACGTCGCACCTTCCACTCGGCAAACCTGTACCTGTATTGAGCAGGGAGTGGTGCTTTCTTGCAGGTTTGCCGAGTGGAAGGTGCGACGTGCTCCTCGTGTGCTCCGGATGGCAGTCGTGAGTCAGTCAAGTGTCAAGTTCGGCAAGAAGCGTGTGTTCCTAGTTGGAACAATCAACTTCATGACTATTACCGCCGAAGTCGCAACTTCTAAGTTTGTGGATCTATAACTTACTCTATACTGCTGAGCATACCAGTATGTCAACATAATTATTATGTATGATGTACATGATCTGATCTCCTTTGTGTGCTCCTCCATTTAGGCTTGGTGTAGGGAGAACTTTGTGAATGGCCGCAATGTCAAGAAGGTAGGATGCTGTGACGGCCCCCGCTGCTATAATTATATTATGTTCACTGCTGCGTGAACATCCTCGAAATTGTAATTGAGTTTTACTTGGCACTGTAGCCTTGTGGATACCTAACTCAATGAGGTCAGAGGCTTGAGCTTCTGTTATCTGTTTGGCTGTCTCTGTGCCGATCAACATGTGACATGGATGAGATATAGGCCATCTGGTGTAGAAATGGGCAGGAAGGAGATACATCGAAGTACCTGCATAGGGTATCACTGGGGCCGATGTGCTCATGCCACTGGCGATTCTCTGTGCATCGGTAACTACTTGTAGCAACACACTAGGATGTGGTATGCAGTTGTGGGTTTCTGAAAAGTCAATTTCGTACCGTGTGTGCGTGCATGCGGGTGTGTGTGTGTGTGTGTGTGTGTGTGTGTGTGTGTGTGTGTGTGTGTGTGTGTGTGTGTGTGTGCGCGCGCGCGCGCGCGCCTGCTGTATGTGTTTCAACACTAGGCGGTGGCAGTTCGTAAACAACTGCGTGAGCTGTGTGAGAGGCAAGGCATTGAACTGAAGTCATGCGGCCAGGTAAGAGGATAGTGATGCGTAAGTTACATATTGCCCTTAGAACCATGCCAAGTGCGAGTAATACTCACCATTGTGCGGTTTCTAACTGAGTACACGGCTGAAGATTTGAGCTTTTATTGCCAGGCAGCGTATGCTGCATTTGAATATTCCCACCACCACCACCACCGCTTGTATTGGCTATCTCTGCTGAGCACTTGGTGTACTCTGTCCACTGGGATTTGGTGTTGTAGCCGGTGGTGGTGATATACTTTTTTTTTTAAGTACAGTGAAACCTGTCTAAGACGACCGCTCAAGGGACCTTCCAAACGTGGTCTCTGTTACCAAGTGGTCTCCTTATCCAGGGTCATTTGACTGGAAATGGCATCCTTTGGTACTGGTTGCAGTGGTCTTCTAGGACAGGTGGTCTCTTTATCCGAGTGGTCGCCTTGACAGGTTTCACTGTACATGAGTGCACATGCTACTTGTGAAGAGCATTGGCAGATAGCGAGATAGCTCAGCACTCTCCATGCCAACGACATTCACAGGTATATTATCACTAACTTACTAGTGCTTTGTATGACATGAGCAGGCGTGTCTATTGCCAGGAATTGTGTATATCATTCTGACGGTCGGAAGTTTGAAATTGTGCTTGTCCAAATAAGTTTTGCGACCACTGACATGGCGATGAGCCGTAAATCAAACCTATGGCTAACACTCAGTATTGGATTTCAATATTGTTTTGCCTTTGTGTTGCTGTTGGATTCTCGGTCTCGGTGTTCTCCAGAAACTTGACGCAGTGAGGTAAGGAACTGAGAGTGCCGCCAGTGCTCCTTGCGCTATACTGGTGTTGCCATGCATGTGTGCTGTGTAGTCTTGAACTGGAAAAAAAGGTTTTTAAAATAAATCGTGGTCTTGATTTCCTTTCCTTTTGTATGGGAGAAGTGCACCCTGATTAGAGACGGAGATGTTGTACAGAACAAACGTCTGAAGTGATGACATGGGTAGTGAAAACACGGATGAAAAAGACAACGAAACTCCGCTCATAGGCACCTCGGATAAGATTGAATTGGCGGAAATGGAAACTTTAAGCTTTTCTGAACGCAAGCAAGGGATCCTTGACGGCCACGTTGCTTGAAGGCTTTGTACAACAGAATTCTGACACTATGTGCCGCTGGACTGTTGTACGGTGATGGCTACAAGATAATAATTTCCTCACTGCAAACCTCTGTTTCAGTCGCATTTTGCTGAATAGCCAGACAAACTTTCGGTTCTCGAGGCAGTAGCTTCCGAACTGTGTGAATTGTTCTTGGTGCGCAGCTTTTCAGTGAATCATTCCCGCGTTTGGTTGTGGCCTTGGTACCTGGTTTGGCATCTTACTGCATGCTGAAGTACATCATGATGTGTTAACATCACCGTACAGTACCGCGAGACCGTCACACCATCTGGACTCCTTCATGTCCATGTTTTGCCTTTTTGGAGATGGGACGGATGGGCGGGTCCTGACTGTAGGCCACATGACATGTGCATTGCATGCCACATAGTCAATCCTTACTCATTTCACTTTCAAGCAGTGACCAGCTCAAAGCACGAAAAGTGGGCTAGTGTGGGACCATGCGAGGCCCTTGTACACTAAGATTTTAAACCATAGTTGCACTCGTCCACACGTTTGTTTCCCTGGTGTTGATAAGATTGTGTCATTCAGGTTGGTACGTTACGGTGCATGTAACTGGCATTGTTCTCCTGTGATGTCTTCGGCGCAGGCAATGTCTGACTCATGGACTGTTCATGAACACAGCTGAGCTGCAGCCCAGTGGGCAGTACTTGTCGGTAAGTCCTGGTTTGTTTTTCACTTTGATACTTCAAGTAGCTCAAAACGAAATAATTTGCCTCAGGATTGATCATATTTTAATCTTCAGCACCTCTCTATAGATGTATGAAGCAAGAAATGACTAAAAATCAGCCTATGCTTCTTTGATTCGTGTGAATTGACCTGCATGCTTTTTTTGTACGATGTTCATAACGCTACCCAAGACATGTGATGCTGCTTGGCTGTGGCTTCAAGTGTCATGCACAAAAGCCATCATCAGACAACATTTACGATGTTGCAACTGTGGTGGTGGTAGTCTAAAAGAAGAGGTTGGCTGTTCTGAACTTTTGAGCTTGCACGCCCGCCAACTTGTGTGAAACGTGACTGACTCGTGAGTGCCATCTTTTCTCGTCAGCTGGTCTTCACTGCTTTACTGAAGTATCTTTCTTGTGTGTGTGTGTGTATGACGTGCACCTTCTTGTGTCCTTGATTAGACGCAGACACGCAAGCCAGTGTTCATCCATCCGTCTTCATGCCTCTTCCACGCCAAGCCAGCACCCCCTTTCCTTCTGTATAGTGAGCTTGTCCTGACGACCAAGAACTATATGAGGTATGGACATCACTGGATCTAATACTGTGTGTATGCATGTTCTGTGTGCAAGCGTATGGATGCATGTGTGCATGGGGAGGGGTGTGTGCTTCAGTGCTTCCGTGGTTCTCTTTTCTTTTCAGAGTGCTTGTTGATGTTGTCTTCCCTTGTTAACCAGTACTATTTTTAAATTTTGATATGCACACCACAATCAATCAGATCTTTTCTTCCCCCCCCCCCCCCCCCCCCCCTTCCCCTCACTCATCTAATGGTGGTATTGGCAATGACGAGGTAGGTAAAAGTCTGGACAACGATGGTTTGTATGTGCTGCGGGAGGGCAAGTGTTTACTCAATGCAATCTTTCCGTCAGGTGTTCTTACAATTTGTTCAGGTTTAATGCCAATGGTTGGCCTGCCTTTCATCTGTGAGTAACAACAGCATAGCTGTTGTCTACTGTCTTCCTGTGTAGTGGATTTGTTATGGACGTTGTGACTGCGTACATGTATAGTGTTATTTTGGAGTTCATCGTGACCTACGTCCGCCTGTGTTCTGCTGGTGAACTCTTGTCCTTTTTCTGGTCTTAACTTACTGTTCCTCCTGGCTGCAGAAATGTGTGTATCATCGACAAGGCCTGGTTGAAGGAAGCCTGCCCCTTGCTGTTCTCATGAAAAGCGAGCGTGCACCTGCACTAGTGTCACTGAAGCTAGTCCTTCTGCGGGAGCTGATCATGTGCGGTGTTGGGCCTTGTGACGCTGCACAGCTGGTGTAACTACCGCCGAATGAGTGCACCGACAGCAACGCAGAGGTTTACAGTACGGTGGCCTAGTGCGGTGATTCTTCATAGCCTTTGACTGCGGCTTGGTTCCTGACAGTATTATATTACTGTACATAGCAGACTCAACAGTGGACATTCAGGTTTGCTGTAACTACGAGTTGAGTTGATTAGCACAAGGCGATCATCCTGATGATCTGATAATACTGTACATATTCCTGAATGACACTTGTAAATATCAGTATGTTCTGACTCCTGTCCTATGTGCTGTATCTGTACAGTATGTTGTAGATAGTAGACGTATTAGTAGTATCAAGAGTCCATAATCCCCATGGACTCTTGGTAGTGTACACTAGTGGTTGACTTACCGCCTGACAATGTGGCGTGTTCAGTGAGCCTGTTGACGCCACTCTGCTGCATTTAGACCACATGCATGATGTGCTTTTGTTCATTGCTTTCTTTGTACATTTTGTAAATAGTGTATGGCTATCTGGGTGTGCCTGCCTGATAATAACATGCTGGCTCGGTTCTCGTTTATCAATGTACATTATAGTTCAACAGTTTGCCATCTTGTCCCTGTACTATTTGGGGTTTCTTCCAACAGTAACGTTGTCTTTCTTTATATGGTACGACTGCCTGGCCTTGTGTTATGTGATGTTTCTCAATCCCCGGCCCTGGCAATGTGATTATGTACATTGAACTACATTCATTCTTGACTTATTTATACCAACTGTGGTGAACAGTCTTAACAATTTGTTGGCTATTTTCTCAGCGACAAGCCTTCGAAGCAGGGACTAGTAAAATACCATATTTTACTACTCCCTGCTTCAAAGCGTTACAACTGTCTACACACTGTATGGTGTTGTTCTAACTTTTCTAAAGGGACATGCCCTGGGTCGCCACATGTGTAATGCTGATACAATGGGGTGCACGCATTACACACGTGGCATCGAAGTATTAGTGTGAGGTTTACCGATAGCGATAACAGTAACTTAACATTCTGTATCAGCGGCTGATTTCGGATTATTCCTATTCCTGGTGATCCTGAAATACAGCTAACGTTATAATAAACATTGCCTCTTATGAAATATCCGATAACCGACCCACTGTCCAAGACCTCTACTATGAGCTGCCATTCATGCAAATCAGACAATCAGTCCCTAGCTACACAGGATATTATGTTGAGTAGCTCCGGCGACAGTGTATGGGAGAGGTATAGATGTACGGATATACAGGTGCGAGCTAAGTGGTTAGTTGCATGTCCATGCCTCGCTAAAGTGCTCTATAACTCGGCTACCGCGAGGGTAGTGCCAAATGACACAAGTTTGCAATACGGGTATAGATTTGACATGTTGGTCATTTTTGGTGTGCTAAAACATGCCCCTCCACTTCTGTGTACACCGCTGCTCCATATGAAATGGCTTTGGGGGCAAAGTCGCATATGACGGACTTGGTAAAGCACTCCTTGCAATCGCTTGTCATGTTGATTGTGAACCATTGCTTAGACCTGATATTGAGTCTGGATATCAGAAAACGACTCGAAAATAAAAAATAAAAGCACCCCTCAAATAAAATCATCAACAGGCCCCAGCAGGGACGAATTCTCTCATGTCTCAAGAAATATAGTATAGTTTAGAAGCATAGAAGTTAGGCATCACTGTTGAGCGGAACACCCATTGATATTTTGATCACATTACACTTCGAGAAGCTAGAGTAAGGGATCAAAACAGGACACCGTAAAACCCCAAACATCATGCCTTCAGTCGTCTATCTAATGTTAGACTCCTTGGCGATCAAGTGACGGAGTTGCACATCTGAACTGATGTGCAGCATGTCATGGGTTTTCAGTGTGACAACATGCCAGCCACGCGCTTCAACGGTGGCTTTCCACACGTGAAGGTCAATGTGAGCTTGCTGTAGTGATGACGTTGGGAGAGTGCCAAGTTCCAGGATGACAGCCACTGCGTGTGCACTGTTCTTGGTCAACCAGTCAGGTGTCACCGCCTGAACGCTGACGCCATTCCACCCCTGCATTTGCCGCTGCGCGTTGAGAAGGAACGCCGAACACCACACTGGGCGACTATTGAGCAACTGGCAGCAGACTGGGTAGACATGGTGTCCAAACACGCTTACAATCTTCTCAGCCTGCATTTTCGAGATGCCTAGGTGGTTCTGGTCAAGCCTGCTGTTGAGCGAGATGCAGCGACGCCGGTGGATCCACTGAAGCTCCTGGAGAAGATAGAGCGTGTGATCCTTGCGCAGCATAGGGTGCATTGGATTGACGTCAAGTACAGCAAGCAGGTCAGGTGGTATATCAATACTACACGCAGATGCAGCCCATAGCCAATATATCACACCACCAGCGGAGACAAGCTTTGCACCTTTGCACATAGTTAGATTGCATAATACAGCAGCCACTAGCTGTTCGTCCATGTTGCAAGAAAACAGTAAAAGATTGGCCAGAGAGGCCCAGACTGGCTCGGCTGGATCGGTCCAGTCCTTGATGTTGTGCAGTGCAATGGCAACTATGCTCCTCACCAGCCAGGAGTGAAACAACATGTTCTCGAGCACTGCATTGCACAAGCCGGATAGCCAACCGGACGAGCAACTCCTAACTTCAGACACAGCCTGTGCGAGCAGCCGAGTGATACTGCTTCGATGCTCTTTTAAGTTACCCCTCACTCCCGTAGAACACAAAATAGAGAGTAATGGCCGCACTAGATCACCGTCAACCTGGCCAATGTTGACTACACAGTGCTGCACAAATCTCTTGGTAAAAGCATTGGCGGTAGACGTCACAAGGTGAACACGTCCCCGTGTAACAATTGCTACCGCAATGTTGATGTCCAGCTCTGGTAGTTGCATGTTGTGCACGCAGTACTGTAATGTTCCACGCAGCACGGCTGCTGTGTGTTCTTCTGCCGCCTCTACGTACGCCAGCATTGCCAAGACAACGGTGTTCCGTTCCCGCGCACCGAGGGCCCCGGTATGCCACGCCTGCCGAACTTCAACATCTTTCTCCTTGACAGTTCTCGCGAAGACTGAATGATGGCAAACTGCAATCACTTGAAGTGCCTCGGGCAAAGAGAGCTTTGAGAGTATTGGGTCCTTCAGGTGCTGTTCTCTTGGCACGAGTTTGGCGCGATATCGTCGAATGTGGTCGCGTAGGCACCAGAAGATGGCGGCAAACTCGGCCGGCTCAATCAGCGAGTGTCGCTTCCGTTCCAGCACCGTGTAAAAGACCAAATCGGCCAGCTGCACGGTGTGGTGCATGCCGGTGCGCAGCGCACATAGCTTCGCCACAGATGCCAAGTCTGCGGCTGCGCATGTGTGCTTCTCCGCGGCCAGGCGGTCAATGAGCAGCTTCATAACTGGTGTGCAATCGACACTGTTCTCTGAAGCCTCACACAGGAGCTCCGCTATGTATGCTAAGCTGAACTCATGGAATGCATGGCAGACGGTGGCAACAAGGGCAGCAAAGCTTGGATAGTCCACGGCATTTGCATTCTGCATGTACTTTAGCACGATGGGGTTCCATTTCTTGTCAAATCCGCCGCGTTCTTGTCCGTGAGCGCACGAAACAGCCAGACTCCGAGAAAATCCGCCACGACCCATGCATCCCACCAGCGTCATGTATCGCATTGTGAATGTCCTCACGTGTTGTAGAAGACATAACCTGCTCATCGGTCGCTGGGCATCGCGTGAGGTGAGTGCACTACAGGCTGGTGATTCCCTGGTCCTGGATCATGAAGGGAAAAACAGGCTGCCCGGAATGATAGAAGAAAAGAGAAAACTGTTTTTCCTGTGTGACTATTTAGTCTTGAACGAGCTTTGCAGCGTATCCATGCCCAATCACAGACAAATCTCGTGGATCGGAGTCCCCTCCTAGATCCTGTACCCGATCTCCACGAAAATAGCAGCTATTGTGCACTATTTCACACACAGCGTTCAGAAAGGCTCGTAAAACTAAAAGTTGTTGTTCGGTTTTGGCCAGGGAGTCGTCAAATACGGTATTTGACGACTCCCTGGTTTTGGCATTTTGTTTGAAACATGAGGTGAGGGTATGTGACATCATGATGTGGACTGCTACCTTGACTACGACTAGTACGAGTCTACGCATACGACATGTCGACAGTGCATGCAGTGCAGTGCATGATGATTTTGCTAGTTTTTTTTGTTGCTGATATCGCAGAATGAAACATGCAATTTTCTAAATTGTAGATCATACAATCTCACTCATTGACCTATCTAAGTTTGAAAATGAGTAGAAAGCGATCCCGTCTTCAAGAAAAGGCCCAGCTTAGCCAGGAGCTGAATCGCCTCGCTGAAAAGCTTGGTGAAGGTTCGTCGAATAAGAAAGTTGTAACCAAACTGGCTTTTTGAGAAACTCATATTTCTACGAATTTGGTGCCTGTGCTCGTTCCTCAGCTTGCAGCGTGCCAGCAAGCAGTCCTCAGCAGCAATGGGAAGGGTACCTGCGGGTAACGTCATTGATTGAAGAACTTCTTCGTGCTCAAAAACCCAGTCATGGTATGGATGGCACTGCAATGTGTTGCTAATCTGTTGAATTTCAAGTTGCTACTGAAATACTTGCTGGATATTTTGTTTTGTTGCTGGCAAATACCCACGTACGTACACAGATGTTGCACATGACTTGTGTAAATGATCTTTGCTTGTGTTCTGTTTGATGCCTACTGTTGTAGGTACTGGTGTACTGTAGCTGTGTTGCCAGCCAGTACATACTTCGAGTAGTAATGATACTGTACAGTCATTGTATTGAAAGAATAACTTTGCCAAATACCAGTACTCCTGTTGAATGTACTTACAAATATAGTGTGGTGGCCTGTGAAATATGGAATCGTGTCCAGGTACAGCACCGTGCTTGTGTGCATCTATGACACCTGCACAGTAGGCTGTGGCGTGCCGGTCACTGTGCCCGAAACCGATGCCGTATTTCACTGCCCGCCACTACCGGTATAACTTTGATGATGTTGGCATCAGTTCATAAGGAAGCACACAAACTACTGCGAGAAGAAGTATTATTATACACTGCCGGGCTGTGAAATCCGACCACCGGCATGATATCTGCACCTCCGAGTCAAGCAGCCCTTGATGCTCTGCAGTTGTGTAATCCAGCTGACGGCAGGTGTCCACTACTAGTATGTACCTCACAATGCCATTCTCTGGCAAGCGGTTGGACTTTACTGATGACGAAGCATTAGCAATACTTTTGCGTCCCAGAATTATTATAGCAAAGCAGTCTTGAATACAGCACAGGCAATGAGGTCGAAAGGTTAGGAACGTAGGATACTTGAGTGAAACCATTACTCAGTAGTGCTGTCATAGTGCATACACGTCTGGACGTATCACATCAACCCTTATTTACCATCATGCCAGCCATATCTCTTGTTGCCAGCAGGGTCGCCTATCTATCCGGGGACCCGCTGGACTTGCTTTCTTATCATTGTGTTACCAAACTGGGAGCATTGCTGCTGTACACTTTCTATATGATCGCCATGCGGCAGAGTCAGCGGTGCGCAGTGAAGAAGAAACGCAGAAGCTTCACGAGGACTTTGGTGCATGGATGAAACGAAACGGTGCCGATATCAAGGATGTAAGAACTTAGCGCCAAAGGCAAAGAAGTATTTCCCTGTTTTCATGTCGTGTGTTACAGTGTTCTCTGCCATGATTGTGTGTTCACTCGATATCATCTTAGGCAGTCACATGCTGTTGTATATATATGGACGTGTATTTACGGTTCCTGATTCCCGATTCAATCATTGCTTCTCAGGTTTCCCTACGTCACTGTCAGACTGTGTTGCCCGGCAGCTTAGCTGCAAGTTAGCAGAGTGGTGGTGGTGGTGGTGGTGGTGGTGGTGGTGGTGGTGGTGGTGGCGGTGGCGGTGGCGGTGGCGGTGGTGGTGGGGTATCCAGGGTTTCTCGCAACTTTCGTCGAGTATGATTGTGTGGAGTGTAGTAATCATCGAGTATGTGTGGAGTGTAGTAATCTTCTAGCATGTGTGGAGTGTAGTCTTGAAACCAACCAAAAGTGCATGTAGTCCAGAACCACCAACGCTCTATCAGTTGGGCCAGTGCTGGCTGCTTCTCATCCCTGTCTACCAGCATACATGTATCAGCTTGGACTGTTGTTATAAGCAGCCTGGGTGTTGATTGCTTGTAATGGCTGGTGTCAGGTTGTCCCATTCACGATGGGAGACAATGGCATTTGGCTTCTCAACACTGACCATGCCTGAACGCTTGCCCTTACATTCTGGTGAAAGCGTGTCGTTACATGTTGTGTGTTTCACTGTTATTGGTGCGTTCATGATGTTTGTTTTTTGTAGGTGAAGATCAGCAAGGTCGATGTTGGTGATAGAGGTCTCATTGCCACACGGACATTAGAGGTTTGTTACCCACTCTGCGGTATTGCATGTGTACTTGTTCAGATGCTTGCTCTACTTTGAAATACATGTACTCGTATACATGTGCATGCAGATGTGTTTTTCCTTTCACCCGATGCACATTGGTGAAGTCGTTTCCACTAATGCACTGGGAGTCTGCATTGTGTCCCAATGCAACTAACGTTATGGTCATCGGAATCTGACATTAGTATGGTGAATGGAGCCCAATACTGCTTGAGAAGTCATACCTACAACCTGCCTTTGCGTGTGTTTGCTGTGTACACAGGCAGGTGATGTTGCGGTGACCATCCCAGCCAAGGTTATGATGTCGGTGCACAGTGCATTAAAAACCCCGCTTGGTAAGTTGCGAAGGACGTTGTTTTCAGTGGCAATCTGTTGTATTTGTCTTTGGCAGCTGTCCTGTTATCGTTACGACGTCTCCCCCTAGTTTATGAGTCTGAACCTGGCATATTTCTTTCTTTTGCTGTTTGTTTGTACTCCCTACCGATCTCCAGGCCGCTTAATACGGAGCGATGCACTCTGCAAGGAAATGCCGAATGTAGTGCTGGCGCTGCATCTGCTCAATGAGAAGCACAAGCGAGACTCCTTCTGGAAACATTACATCCGTATCCTCTTTAGTCTTTACCAATAGCGACCATGTTGCTGAGTAGGGGCAGTGACTCTTTGTGTAGGTTGTTCAATGGCAATTTGATTGGACGACAAAAATGGGTCCGATAGAGCATGGCGGAGAACCAGCTGTAGTTCGTATATTGTCAACTTGTATGCGAAGTAGTTTTTGTCTTCAGCTTTCCAGAACGATGCACATTAGTATTATTTTCATTTTGAAGTTTGCATGATGTTATAGTCTGTTAATGGATGTTGAATGTAGCACATCTTGAGATTTTTCTTTGCTCTATACTTCCTATTTGCAGCACTCCTTGATGCACCTGGTTGGCGTACAATATAATTCCATGGGGTGCATTAGTCACGAGCTGCTGCTGGTAGAATTTTGAAATCTTGGCGGAGTTGAGAGTCAGCATGTCATCTGTGTCATTGGAATGTATGTGGAACCTGCATCTTAGCAAAAGCCGGTAGCGACCCATTGAATGTGCATCACGTAAATGTAATGCTCATCCTGTGTCAAACCTTGACTAACTGTGATCAGATACACTTCCTGAGACTTACCACACACCGCTCTACTACTCACCCGAAGAGATGAAGCTGCTCCAAGGCACATCCGGCTTCAGCGACGCCGTCAGTTGTGTACGCAACATTGCCATGCAATACAGCTATCTGTTCAGACTAATCAAGGTATGTACTGAGTACATGTTTTTTAGAACACGGAGGCTCCACTGCAGCCAATTCATATCATTTTACTCCCTGATGAAGCCCCAAGGGCGAAAATTTGACGATTTCATTTCTTTTGAATAGAATTTGCAGCGTCAACGACCTTGGTGTGGTGGTGACTGATCGTGATATGTGCATGTTCCCTCATAAGCATTGCTACTATCTTCCAGCCTTTTGCCAGTGCCCTATTCTTCGTGTTCTGGCTACATGGAATGGAATTTTCTTGAAGTTATTGGTTATGTTGAGGGGTTTCCTCAGTTGTTGATGTCAGTTTTTATTTGGCTTGGTGGCTGTCATTCTTCAGAACTATCCCAATCTCCCGTTGAACGTCAACACATTCACATACGACGAATACAGGTGAGCTGAATGTCTTGCTGCTGCTGCTGCCGCTGCTTGCAGCAAACATTGACATGCACGTGGCTGCAGTGTTGTGTTGGGGTGTTCTTTATTCTTGCTATAGCACAGCAACTTTGCTACCAGATACACTTACAGCATTTTGAAACTACCTTTTACTACGATTGTTGCTGTCAAGGATCATGAAAACGGTCTCCATTGCATTGCCGCAGTTGCCTCCATCATCTAAAGCGGTGTTCGATTTCTTCTTGGGAATCCGTTTAATCCGACCAATACGATCATTATCCTGATTGGACAAATCAAACACCGCCAGTACCCATCGAGTTGCAGCTTTGATATCATTCAAACTGAAACTGGCCATGACCCATTTCCTCCGACAAGTGTTTTCGGTAGTTTCTAAGTTTGATAACGCTTGGCAATGTCTTTACTTTGCCTGGGTCAAACTTGCCCTGTCACAAGTTGTGTACCACATGCTTTCATTTGTTCCACTGGGGAAGGAGATTGAAGATGTTCTTCATATCCGTCATGCTGCATCTGCGCCTTGATCCTTGTGGGGGGGGGGGGGGAGGGGAGTGGTGGCGTTCCTACAGGTGCGGAAAATTCAACCTCCAGCCGAGTCTCACGCGAACAGTGAATTTTCTTCGTACTTCAGTGCCCTTGAATTTATGCTTAGGCTACATGGTTTCTTTTCTCTCCACACAGGTGGGCAGTATCGAGCGTGATGACACGACAGAACAGCGTGCCTCTGGTCGGGGAGAATGACGAGCGACAACGCAGCCTTGCCCTGGTGCCTTACTGGGACCTGGTCAACCATCGGTCTGGCGGTGCGGTACGTTCTTACTTCTTAGCCGACTGTGTACTCAGCTGACTGTACTGTGTTGTTGAGCTGTTCACTCAGCTGACTGTACTGTGTTGTTGAGCTGTTCACTCAGCTGACTGTGTTCTCTCGGAGCTGTTCACTCAGCTGACTGTGTTCTCTCGGAGCTGTGCACTCAGCTGACTGTGTTCTCTCGGAGCTGTTCACTCAGCTGACTGTACTGCATTCTTTAGCTGCTGGGGAAATGAGTGGAAGATTTTGATAGAATAGTATGTATGCAGCGAAGAGAAAAAAATCGTATGTGAGCATGTAACTGTTAAGTGTATATGTACAATTATGTACCTTGATCAAGCTGATGATCGTGTAGTACAGTCGAATGTCACATATCCGGTCGCCAGTTATCCGAGCACGTCGGTTATCCGACAAGCCCGGGAGTGGTAATTTTATGACTCTCAACAGTAAAATGTTTTTGGTATAATTATTATACGGTGTAATATGCATTTACTTGAAGTAGATGTGGTCAAGTATGCTAACATGTATGTGTACATGGAGCAATTCATGAATATGCATGAATATATTTGGGTATTGTGTATCAGTGAAATCCAGCCATATATGCACATAAAAAATGATATCAGTTATCCAACATATCCAGTTATCCAACATGACTGATTCCCGAAGTGGTCGGATAAGTGACATTCGACTGTACATGTGCTGAATTGATAATGGTTGTAAACTTGCCTGACATTCATCCTGAGTGCTCTTTGTTTGGTTTGTTTGCTGTTCTCGATTCACTATTCAATATTTCTCTCTTGCTTGTTGTAATCAACAGATCACGACGGACTTTGATGATGAGAATGACTGCCTGAAGTGCTTCTCTATGTGGCCATGCGAATCTGGCTCTCAGGTGAGATGACAATATGGTTGCTCTGGTCAGGTGCTAATGGAAAGGGGTACTTATTGTCGACTCGACACACTTCATGAGCTTTTCTCCGCTGGTATTTGCTAGTGCTTGAGTGCGTTTTATCCCGTGACGTCCGCTGTTAATGCCCACCTCCCCTATGCAAGTTGTACAGGTCTGTATGCACTGACCCCAAGCTCTGTCACCGGTGCAATACGTTACGAAATTGAAAGGGTGTCTCACGCCGTAGAGCAAAGATCGCTTTTCTACGGTAACCTATGTCCACTTTATACCATGGTACGGTGCGCAAGGCTGGTTTCAGCCAATCGGCGTCCTTTTGTCCAGATATGTAAGAGCAGCACTGCACATATGAATACGGTAGGTGAGCTGTGAACTCAAACACCAGGATAAAAGGAATATGTGTGTATACCGGCTTGTATAGCCATGGCTTAACAAGCGCAGATTGGCTGAAAACAGGCCGCACCGTACCATGGTATAATAAGAGGTTGTCTGTAAGATGTGCATCTCTGCTGGTCAATGATTACATGCACCGGCGGTGCATGTCTGTGTGTTTGTATTGCTGCAGTTCATGATGTACTATGGTGACCGTAGCAGTCTAGATTTCCTCATCAACTCAGCTTTTGTGCCAGACGAGAATGACCATGATCGATTCAAGCTCAAACTAGGTAAGTTGCGAGGGTATGTATGGGTGGGTGCGTGTATACATGTGTGTGTGTGTGTGTGTGCATGTGTGTGTGTGTGTGTGTGTGCGTGCGCGCGCACGAACGCATGCGCCAAGAAGCTTTGGCTGTGTAGGGGAAACCTGTGTTCTCCACTTCCTTGTTTCTTGTGTAATCTGCAGGCATCAGCAAAGCAGACAAGCTGGTAGCCAAGCGCTCTAAAGTGTTTGAGAGCTGTGGTCTCCCTGCTCACTTGTAAGTCACTAAATGCCCCCAGTAACTGTGCTGTGTGACTGTGGGGTGTTAGTTTTGTTCAGTATGCCTTTGGCACACTTGCATTATCGTTGTCAAATCCCCAGCTAGTACAAATTGCCGGTTGTGCATTGTACAGAATAATTTGCCTGCACATTTGGGAATGTTGGGAGTGTTATGAGTGTTTGGGAAACATGGATGCAGCGAATGGGATTTCGGACCACTTTGCTGGTGGGCTGATCTACTCACCTCCCACCGCTTTAATTAAGAGCTGCACCTGCGCCTTTGATCTTTGCAGGGTGGTGGTGTTCCTGCGGATGCTGAAAACTCAGTCTAACTGAGTCTCAAGCAAACCGGGGATTTTTTGGGAATGCTTCACTGCTGTTGATTCACTGCTGATAAGCATTGGCAGATTTGCTCTGTTCTTCTGTTGTTGTTGTTGTTGTTGTTGTTGTTGTTGTTGTTGTTGTTGTTGTTGTTGTTGTTGTTGTTGTTGTTGTTGTTGTTGTTGTTGTTATTGTCGTCGTCGTGCCGTCGTCGACGTCATTGTTGTAATCGTAGTCATCAATGTTGTGTGGAAATGATAAACTGACATGCCCATGCTGGTCTTCTGTCTCTGATCATAGATCAGGAATGTTCACTCTGACTCGGCCATCGAGGCCACTCCCGGTCGAAACTACTCTGTTCCTACGTGTGTTCTGCATGAACGAAGGTGAGCACCACACAGTCCACCTTGCTATGTCAGTCGTACACTGAACCTACCATACTCATAGATAATCACCTGTATGCATGCTGACCAGACAATGCTCTTCTACTTGAAAGTATCTATTTGGAGATCAGTTTGATGTGATATACTTTTGGCTGCTTGTGTGGATATTGATGACGTGATAGTGTATTCATTCGTTGTTAGTTCACAATTTTTCGGTGTACTTTTATTGTTGGTTCTCTGTTTCATACCTAAAATTTCAATAACCGAACAAACACTAACACACATAATCCAATAGGGAACTGCTTCTCTGTACCGAAAATTTCTGTTCACCGAACCTGGCCTTTTGCTCTCATACAGAAAATTTTGAGGACCTAAAATTTCTGAATTAAGAGTACTCCAGTACGGCTTATACTCCGGAAAATATGGTAGTGCATTTAGACCTTTTTAAAATCATGGCTTGCAGTGCAGGTTTGATGGTTTGTTGTTTGCATTGCCTGTGCTGTGTATTTGAAGATGAGTTGGATCGCTGTGCAACCGAGCAGGCCAAGAAAGAGCCGCTGCGCCTGCGTCAGATGCTGATGGACAGCACATCACCCTGGTCACTCAGTCTTCACAAACGCCTTTGGGCTTTCCTGAACACCAGGTAAGCAGCATGTGTCCGTATCGGCATTGTGTTCTGGGGCGTCTTGCTGTGCCTGTCACTCTCTGCCTGTTTATATCTGCCCTTCTATCTGTTCATTATTACTCTTCTCTCCTCTCCCTCCTCTTCCTTTTCCTGCTCTTCTTTTCCCTATCTCTGGCCCATGTGGACCTTTCACTTCCTGTTTGCACTGGTCCATTCATGCTCGATGTGCTTACAATATACACTTCATTATACCATACTCTGCTGGGTATCTAGGTGCCGGTATGCTGCTTGCCAGTTGCTACCAATCTGAATGCAATGCTCTGCATTTGTAGTGTGCGTACTTCCGTAACACTACATGACCCGCAAGTAAGTTGGTTTCGTTCATCACAGTCATGATGTTGTTGAACAATGCATGTGGGCATGTGGGCATGTGGGCATGTGTGCTCGGTCCTGGTGTTGGTGGTTTCTACAGGTGTGAGCTTCTGCTTCGCCAGTATCCCAGCTCTAATGAGGTATGTTCCACACCTGCTGTGTGCTGTTCTTGTTTGCCTTTTTTTCTTGTGAGAGAGTGTGTTTGTTATATTGGGGTGAATATGGTACCTACTACACACATAGTGAGCACCTCCATTGTGTGATTTATGGACTATGTATCATTGTACTCTGCGGTGAATTTCTTATGTGTTGCACAAGATGGACATGCGCACGTCGTCAACACACTGTGCTTTGTCTGTATGCGCTGTAGGCGGATGATCTCATCATTGACGACCCGTCCAGCTCTTTCCCAACGATATCAATCATGAAGTTCCGCAAGTCTGAGCGGCGCCTGCTCAATGAGATGATTGAGTTTGCACGTCACAAGCTTCAGCTGCTGGAAGCCGAGTAGAGTGTACGTATGCAGTATGGTTCGCTAGCAGCATTGATCGGCCAAGTTGTTGCCATGCGTTCGGCATGCACTGGCCCGTCGATGTGCAGCATTGCAGTCATGCTGCCCTGCCCAGTGCCCAGTGCAGATACACTTGATGTTGAGACTGCGCTGCGGTGCTACTCTGCTATCCTCGCCTCTGGCAAGTAACTTAGCATTGATTCCTACCCCTTGCCGCGTGTGCGTGCATGGCTGTGACTGTACGCTGTGCTGTACACTGGCCCTTGGTCATCGCAGACTATGCATACCCGATACTATGGTACAGCCGAGTCTATCTCCTTGCATATGCATCTGTTACTATTTTGTACATATAACACCACGACCCAAAGTGACCTTCGGGCTGGGGCTTGGAAAAGAACTCGCAATAGCCAGGTCCCAGACTGTTTCGGCCGCATCTCCGTGTACATTTGCCTTTCTGCGGCGCTCTTAGTTTTTACTGCCAACCGGGAGTCCACTTTTATTTCACTTATCCAGACTGGGCCTGATCTCATCTGGAAGGGTTTCCTTTCTCCCCCCCCCCCCCCTTCATTCTTTTCTGTACTCCTAGTGACCAGCAGAGTTCAGAATTCCTGACATGTCTTCTATTGCACGCAGAATGCATGAAAATCAACTCCCATAGTGCGGTACATGGTGACACCGTGCCCGCCTTTACTGCCCGCGCTCTTGCTGTGCTTTACCACCCGCGCCCTTGCTGTGCTTGGGCGGCCGGCTTTCCATTGCTCCATGCAACTCTATACATTAAATTTGTTGGTGTCTTTATTTTCTTAGGCCTCTGCGCAACTTCACTAACCAGGGCAGCTGCCATGCCCATCCATGGCTATAATTTTTTTTCCAATCCAATAGTTATTTATTCATTTCTTTTTCTTCTTCCGTCTATGTCGTTCTGTCTGTTTCTCGCTTTACCTTGTACTTGGTGATGTGGCTTCCCTTTCTTGATTTTCTAGTGTCATTTCAACTTACGTGCCATCATCACCGTTCACCAGTGCTGTGCGGTGTCAGGGTCCTTCTTTTTATGCTTTCTCCATGAGAATTGAATGTGGCGTTTGAGCAGACTCGAAGCAGCAAGACATAAGTTCGCTCTTATTTCAATGGCCAAGCGTGTTGTTACTGATGCCAAAGCGTAGAGCTCATCTGTTGTCTTGTGGTCTATTCATGGTCGGTGCTCATTGCATACGTTTTTTCTCATTATTTTTTTGTTTGCTGCCAGCCATCAGAGATGCAGCACCTAAATGTATTCCTTGTGTACCTGTCGGAGCATGCTGTGACGTGTGTGTAATGTGCATTGAGTGGATTGAGTGTGGAGCGGAACATGGCATCGTCCCTTGGGCAAGCATTTAGCCATATTGTAGGTCTGACTAGTCATTTCATGGTGTTATAATTATGTGTAAAGTGTGTGCGTGCATGCGTGTAATTCGTAATTACTCTACCTGAAATGCTGGATATTTGATGTACATATCTGATTGTGGCCAGCGAAGCACTTTCTACAATTACACTATTATTACAGTCAAAACTTCTTCAGGACGAACCATGACCAAGGGCCGACCTGTTTGGTTTAGGAGGCTACTCTTGTCATGCTTTGTATGAGAATCAAGCCAACAACAAAACAATCACAAGAACTGATAATGACGTACCGCTATTGCTTTTTTTTAGGGAGTAGTAAAATACATGTATACAGCTCCCTGCTTTTTACAGAGCAAAAGTTTTGTACCCAAAATACTTTTTGCGGGATTTCCTACCAATTTGAACTGTTCAATCATTGCAATTATTATTTGCATTCTTGTGCGTAGCATGCATGCAGAGAGCATGTTGCGCAAGTGTTGGTCGTTTTTAGTTTAGTAGTTTACTGAGATCTCGAGGATAGATAGATTCAAGGTAACATATCCCTCATGCTTGAAGTAGATGATTGTAATACATTACGAGTATAAAGAAAGCATCTGCTTCGCGTCGAAATGAGCATATCGCTAGGGCTGCACAATTGCCTCGCGGTTGGTGGGTATCGTTATTTTAGCATCATCCCATCATTATGCCGGCCAACTGGGCAGATTCAGGTGAGTTTATTGATCGTTGGATTCCTGGATACCGTGTAGAAACCAGTTGTCTGTGACAAGTCAATGAGTGCGAGCTAATTTTAAAAGTACTTTTCAGTTACAGTGTACAGTAATACAAGTTACGCTACACCCATGGTCAACACAGTACAGAGTTCTAGCCAGGAATAATGTAGGGGAGGGGGAGGGGGGGGGGGGGGGGGCGGGATAGGGCAGGGGAAACAAACAATATTTCACCCATTTTTCCACGTTCTACTGTTATAATTATAATATAATTTATATATATACACTCGACCGTCTCTTATCCGGGCACCTTGGGACCGGGGACTGCCCGTATCTCAGATTTGCCCGTACCTCAGGATAACTCCTGATGAGTCATCTACCATGTATCATATCATTTTTTGAAGAGTTTTTTTAGGCACATATTGCACATGTTCAGGATACAAAAGTATCCATTGATAAAAAATGTGTGGATTACACAGGTTGGCAGTGAAAAATAAGCAATTGCGCATACAAAAAAAGTTCAAACCCCCCAAATTTGAAGTATTTTTGCCATAGGAACTCAAGCTGAAGGTGACCGGTAGAGAGACGTGCCCGTATCTGAGGCGTCCGGATAAGAGACGTTTGAGTGTATTGCCTTGTCACGAAAAAATGCAGAACACCCCGTTTCAATGCATTTCTTCCATCAGTTTGCTGTAGTACATATCTATGAATCCTTCCCAGCTGAGAAATGTCAAGCGTACTGTGTACAGGGGTGCATGCTGGGCTTGGGTTTCTCATCTCATTCATGTTTGCCATTTCTAGCGAGTAGAAGAGTAGAACAGAATTCGAGTGAAATAAGACAGTAGATGAAGTGCACGTACACACCCCTACCTAGGCGCGTGCTCGGCGATGGGCACGGGGGGGGCACGTGCACCCCCCAAAAATTTTCAATCTGGGTAATTGCAATTGTAATGAATGCAAATATGCTCTAAAATTCAAGAAAGGTTGCAAACAAATTGCAGAAAATTGCCGGGGGGGCTCCCCTCGGCTCCCGTGCACCCCCCTAGTTGGGGGGCCGAGCACGCCCCTGCTACCCATGTTGGTAGATCATTGATGCGTACAGTCAACTTCGCTAATAACGACTGCGGATATAACGACAATTCGCGAATAACGACAGAATTTCCATGCCCAGCGCAAAGTCCATACTACCTGTATACATATAATGAGACTTCGGGTATAACGGCACTTCGCAAATAAGGACACTTTTCTGATGCCCGGCCGAGTGTCGTTATACGCAAAGTTGGCTGTAGTCCATATGTCTTCCTACTTAGCCACATGTAACTGTTATGGTGCAATGAACAATATTTTGTTGTATGAATGGATCACAAAATCCTGCAGCTCTACCGACTTTAACCAGTTTCGAATCTGGTAGAGCAATTAGAAGAAGGTAGGATCTCTCAGTCTTGAGGAGAAAAGTAAGAAAGACGGACCCTCCCTGGGATTTAAGGCAGCTACGATATCCTGCGACAGCCACAGATATGGAGCTGTAGAACTAAATGTACACGAACTGTGATGAGTTTCGTGTAAATTGTGGGGTAGTTGCTATGTCTCCCACCCTAGTTCTCACTACTGTGCTGTAGTCTTTACCGTCCAACACACAGCTTGTGTGTGTGTGTGTGTGTGTGTGCATGTGCGCGCGTGTGTGTGCATGTGCGTGTGTGTGTGTGTTCATGCGTACATGTGTGGGCGCGTGTGCACGTAAGTACACATCTGTGTACATGACCTTGGTGCACTCAGGTCTGATCAGCTTGCACATTTGTGTGGCTTGTGGTTGAAATTTTGAGAACTGGTTTAAATTGGTTTCATGTCTTCCTTGTGCCGTGCAGCTGATCTTGGGCCCAATGTTCTCCGGCAAAACGTAAGCTCTCTCTCTCTCTTTCTCTCTCTCTCTCTCTCTGTCTGTCTGTCTGTCTGTCTGTCTGTCTCTATCTATCTATCTCTCTCTCTCTCTCTCTCTCTCTCTCTCTCTCTCTCTTCTCTCTCTCTCTCTCTCTCTCTCTCTCTCTCTCTCTCTCTCTCTCTCTCTCTCTCTCTTTCTCTCTCTCTCCCCCCCCCCCCCTCCGGAGTAGCTCCGTACCCCAAAGAAAGAGCTGTTTTCTTTCTGTAATTTCTTTGAACAGGACTGAGCTAGTTCGTCGTGTCCGCCGTTACGACATTGCACAGCAAAAATGCCTGATGGTCAAATACAGCAAGGACACACGCTATGATAACCAGCAGCTGGCTACACATGACAGGTATGGTTTTGGATGTACTTTTAGAAGTAGTGTCTACTCTTATGTGATGGCTGATTCTTGCCGATGCCGCTGGTGCTGAGTTACTATAAGCGAATGTGCACTGGATCCTGATTGCATAAGTGCCAATGTTTTGCTCTTATCGTCTTCTGTTGTGATATCCCACGTGGCTTGCCTCTGCTGTGTCTGCGCTGCTGCAGGCTCACATACAACGCAATAAGCACAGCCCGGCTAATGGACGTGCATGACTCAGCACGCTCTTACGACGTTATCGGTGTGGATGAGGGACAGTTTGTAAGTTTCGTTCGAAATAAGGAAAATAGTGTCATGAGCTGGTTGACAACAAGATCATTAGACATTGGGGGTTTCTACAAGGTGTGGCTGCACCGGTGTCAGAAAGTGCAAAAGAGCAGCACCTTTGTATGGGGTTGTTCTTCTATATTCATCTCTGTAGTTTTCGCAAGGCACTCCAAGGAAGAGGCTGTAATTGTGTTTGTAGATGTGTGCTTCGTTTCACAACGCTGCACTCTTGTAAGTGCTATAAACCCAGCCGTCGAGACCCATGTTTTGACTCTTGTCTGTGCATCTTGTATAGTTTCCCGACCTGGCAGAGTTCTGCGAAGATTTAGCAACACAGCACAGTCGAACAGTGGTTGTGGCTGCTCTAGATGGTACATTTCAGCGTAAGGTGAGGGCATAGTCTCTTGTGTGAGCTTCCTATGTTGTTTACCGGGTTGATATGGCAGGCTGTGGGAATATGTAGTCGGTATGGGAAGTTCTCAGCTTTGACCGTATATTGATTTCTTCGCAGATGTTTCCCCAAGTGACGGAGCTCATCCCGCTATCCGAAAGCATCATCAAACTGGAAGCTGTTTGTGCTAACTGCGGGCAGGATGCTCCGTTCTCACGAAGACTATCGGATGAAACAGAGGTGAGATAGCCAGTACAGTGGTACCGGTACATGTATTCACTGCACGGTACCTTGTGTGTAATGTGCGGGGTAGTGACCCAATATTTCCTCAGAGATGCATTTTTGTTGCATGAAATGTATAGTTGTACATTGTACACTTTTCTACTGAACATATGCTGTTGTTTCCCATTCTCCTCTTCCCTGTATGGAAACAATTTCACGGTTTGTGTAGAGACTCGTTTAGACCGAGTTTTCTGCATCCGTAGGAATGCCGCTGCCCTAAAAAATCAAGCCTCGATATGGAAAGCAGTTGTTAGATCTCATCCTGTCTGGATTGTTTTCCCCGATGTGCTCAGCTGGAGGTGATTGGCGGGTCGGAAAAATACATGGCAGCATGTCGTCGTTGCTACAGGCTACCCGCATCCGAACTGAACAGGACTTCAACGTAGCTAGCTTGAGTGCAGAGCGACGACAGTAGCTCATATGACTTGGTACTACGTCACTGGTGTTCGTGACAATGATGGGATAATGATGATGATGATGATGATGATGGACGGAAGGGGAGATAGCTGGATGTGGTACATGCACTGGCGACGGGCAATCAACCGACCACTCCTTCGTTTCAGCTTCCCGTGTAAGTGCCCCCTGTGTTCTGACGGGGTGTGGCGCGTGTGTGGACGCAAACAAGCATACACACAGAAACAGAGGTGACTTGGTATTGCTCATGTGCTGGGCGCACACTTCAAAGTGTTCGGGGAGTACTGCAGTGTCAGCTGGCTTCCCACTGGCCAATAAGTTGGCCAAAATTCACGAAAATTGGTGATGACGAACTGCACCACTGGCCGCCGCCAGCATACCCCGGATTCACTACAAACCTACGTTTGGTGGCTCATTCGGAAATAATATGACAATGGATATCCCACACTCAGCATGGGTTACCACTTGACCAACCGACTGTATTTAGGACTTTAAAAAGTACTCCTTGACCATAGTAAGTAGTGATCATCACTGGAAGGAATGATTTAGGTTGTTGTCGTCATCGTCATTGTAGCGGCTGTTATTGTTGTTGATCATGTTTAGGGGTGAACTTTTATTGATTTGCTTCTCATATTAGATCCTTCCTTCCACATGGTGTTTATAGCATCACCAATGAATGAGGCAGGCGGCATGCTTCATTGACGAGCCATGCCCATCTTGACAGCAACAGCAATTATAGTATATTTCATCATTCATCACCGGTTCTCTAGCATGCCACATTGGCAAGAACATTACTTCAGTGTCAACACGTAGTCCAAGCACAGGCTAAGGTGCTATTTACTTGGAAAAAGTGCTAGATGCTTCAACATGTACTTTTACTTTTTCGAAGTAGTCCCATTTTCTTAGTATACTTTTAGCTTCAGCACTATTAGAACTGCTCAGTTTAGTTAAATATTAGCTACCAATAGGCAAGTGCAGCAGATGTGTGCATGTGTGTGGCCAACAGAACAACTACATGACCGCCGCACAATAGACACACACAGGCATGGTGCCCATTGTGGAGGCTGGAGCACCACCACGGCGGCACAAGAGACACTGCTCTAGATGAGAATGAGCAGGATTGGAGGAACGGTAAGATCATGAGCTAGTATTAATTAAAGGAAGAGAGGAGTGGGCATGATCTCAGACAATGAAATCATACTTGTGTTACTGCATTTCTTGGCTGCTATTCGGAATAGGCCCAGCGACAAAATAACAATCTTTTGTGTTTGACCATAATCATACATGACTTGCACCTACTATGCACATATCCAGTATTTTCTTTTGAATATGCTCATGTCACAGTTCGCATAAAAACCAGTATCGGAAATAGTGATCAGCGGCTCTCCCGAGCAGAAGCAGCGCTTCCTCAGATAAGAAGCTAGCGGTCACACTCAGAGCTGCATCATCGAAACTCAGCACCGTGCACCACTAGTCCCACACATGTATATACGTTATCTCAAGGGTTGTTGTGTGCTGGGTTGCGAGGAGACGAATGGTAGTTGAACAGGGTATTCGACCAGTCAAGCTACGCTTCTGAGTGCGAGTCGAATGCAGTCCATTTTGTCCAGAGCGTCCAAGCAGAAGTATGAACACGAGGCCTTCTGTACCGCTTGAGAGGTTCTGGTGCTCAAGACGGTTAAACTTTTCCATTTAGATGTGTCAACACGGCAAGCCTGGCACTATAATGCACAGAAATCCATTTTGCTCTTCTTGCCACCCGTTCGCTGCTTTGTTGGCTTTGTCGGTTTGATCTGGAAGCCACCGGGACGTGAGCCGCCTCCTGCGGCGGTGTTATTGCCAGCTGAATTCGTGCCACTTGATCCATTCTCGGCTCTAGCGTCAGTTGGCTGACCTGCAAGCAAAACAAAGCGTGCCGGTGTAAGCTCATAGTCCTTGGGAAGAGTAACGGAACTGCAGCAGCTAACAGTTACCTCATTTAGACCTACCTACCAACTGCATCTTCAAAGGTTTCTTGTACAGAGCACAGAGCATGAGTCTTCTATCTTACCTATCCACAAGCAACACTTCATTAACTTAATACTACAACACCCGGCCACTGTAAGTATCCACAGCAGAGCCTGCACATATTTGATCTATGATACAGAGCATGGGTATTCATTCTTACCTATTCTCTGCTGAGGTGCTGGTACAAAGTCGCGGTCGCGCTCCTGGAGATGTCGCTTCGTCAAGTACAAAAACACTGCAGGAACAAGAACGACAAGAGGCAAATGCATTATCTTATCTGTTAGGCCAACTGCAACCTACAGCAGCTCCATTAGTACACATTGTCCATTGTAGTACGAAAAAGGTGATATGCTGCAGGGAAACATGATCCCATCAATCGCGAGTGTAGCCATCCATACCATACACATGCCAATACACAACCACTGTACAGTCAGACCTCGCTTAACCGCACACATCTGTTTTCCACAAAAATATCCGGATAGGCGAGGGAACCGGATAACTGAACACACATACTGTATATGCATGTGGCATGTCAAAAGCGGTGACATTGTACATACATGTAGACGGGTCCTATGCAGTACAACTAGCGTGCACAGTATGTAAAACAAGCGAGAAAAATGACAAGTGCATGCAACTGAGTGCTGTCCGCATGCACCCAGCACAGGGGCCAGCAGGTCAAGGACCTCATTTGCTTGTACAACTAGCTTCTGCAAGCCACATGCAACCGGATACGACGAAGCTTTTTGTACACATTTTAACCAGTTTGTACACACAATCATGCACCGGTATGCGGATCGCGAGGTCCGGTTATGTTGTATGCATAACATATGCTGCACATTGGTAACCAGCGATTTTCTTCCGGATGGCGAGGGATCCGGATAAACGAGGACCGGATAAGCGAGGTCTGACTGTACTGGTTTCTCATATTGCCTAGTTCCAAGAGTACACAACCACTGTACTGGTTTCTCATATTGCCTAGTTCCAAGAGTACCGGTATGTAGCTCCCCACAGACTATATAATATAGTGTGCAACTACTTCTCATACGCCTCCTTCAAGATACATTTTCAGGATGACGTCACTTTATGATGTCATGTACCTGACACAGTGCACACCAAATTGGATTGCGCACAGTCAACGTTGCATCTCCAATGCATGCATAGTGCTGATTGCATCGTGACAAATGACGTAATGCTGAAAACGAGTTGTGACGGCTACCCATCAACAGTTGCATACTCTCTGGGGAGTTATGTACTCATGCTCAGCGGGTACCATCGCAAAGGATATTTCTCCCAGCCACCATCCTAACGCTCGTATACAGTAGGATGCTGATTATTTGAACGTCAACTATCCAAACGATTGATTATCCATAATGCCTGTTGGCACTGAATTGAAGGGACGAAACTGAATTCTTGGCTGATTTCTCCACCCGAAGCACCATTCAAATACTGTAAATATACAAATTTTCGGCAGCAATTTAATTTCGGCTATATTCGGCACCGACCCAAAAAAAAAAAAAAAAAATGTCACGGTTCGCGTGAGACTCGGCCAAAGGCCCAGTTTTCCGCATCCGCAGGAACGCCACCACCCTCTTGGATCAAGGCGCAGATGCAGCTCCTAAACGGTGGGAGGTGAGTAGATCAGACCCACCACAAAACGACCCAAAACGCCTAAATTAAAACGCCGATGAAATTTTTCACAGCATCTGTCGCACTATCATGCCCTCTACCCCACGCCGAAAATAAATCGCCGCCGAAATGTCAAAAATCGTGAAGTGCCGAAATTCTGCAGCGCCGAAATTTTGTATATTTACAGTAGTGCGCAGTATGTATGGCAACAGGTTGGCGTCAGCATGTATCCTCATGGTGTCCTTTCGAGGAGCTGGAGTGTGTCTTATTCCTGTGGTACTGCCGAAAAGAATGAGGAATGATGAAGACATGAGGGGATGTGCGTATTTTAGATAGATGTGTGGCCGCTGCCTTATCCAAACATGCTCCTCATGCGAACCCTCTGGAGACCGTCCCTCGCCCGAGGTGTGCGGATAATCGGTACTCTACGGTATTCATTTTGCCATGAACAACAATTCTCTCTTCCGCTGGTGAGACGTGCAGATTCACAACAGCACTCAGCTGGTAACTACTAACCTTCATTGACAGCTGGTAACTACTAACCTTCATTCACATTGTAGCTTTCCTTTACCGACGTCCGGAAGAAGCGGAGTTGTAGTTTTTTTGCAAGCTCCTCGGCTTCGTCCCTGTAGCGAGCAGATAAGCATACCCTTACCAATATGATTGTGAAAACAACAGGCATTGATCAGGCAGACCACTATGCAACAGTGCCAGTGGATTTGCATGCAAAGTTATCAGTAGGTTATTACAATAGTGAGAATTCCCAGATTGCTAGAGTGCTCAACACCGCAATAGGCAATGCAATACCCATGCATACGTGCCTAACTCACGTTCTGACTTTTGCTTCGTCGATCAGGTCGATCTTGTTCTGAACAAGGACCATGATGATGCTGCCCACCTCGTCTTCTACTTTTGCTTTCCACTTCTCAACGGCCTCGAACGAGTCCCGGTCGATTGTGGAGAACGCTAGAACGCATACTTGAGCACCTGGGCGAACAATTCACGCAAGAGAACATCACAGTCGACTGTTGTTATCAGTGGAGTTGTTTACCAATGAACATTTTTCGCCTTGCCGTTCGAGTTCACTGTGAATTCTGACAACTGACCTCACAGCTCCTCTCCTGTCAAGCAAATCAACTAGCAATGCTCTATGTACAATCTTAGCTTTAGTCATTCAATTATGGGGCACCATGTTGGATTCGACTACTGAAGCCAGTTTGTGAGAAACAAAATTATGAGAAAGTGACTTGTATTAAACACCTGCAGACTTCCACGTGGTGACGACGACGGCGTCACGCAGTTATAGATACACCAGATTGGTGTCTGTCACGTCAGCTTCAAGATTACAACCAAACCAGCCTGTTATTTAGAAGTGCTAGTAAGGACAATCCGCATGCTACTGCTGATTCGACGACCCACGCCGCTAATACAAATACAGAAGGCACTGCGTACTACGTTGTCAATCTGATTATAAAATCAATTATCTGAGTGGATCTCAGAACTAATTCCGCAGTATTGGACTCATTCATGCACACAGCTTGAGCACTTTATCATTGCACATGTTATACAGAGTGTTTCTCTCACATTTCAGTGAACAACAAAGTGTCAAGTGCTGTGTTCTTTCCCATGTCATCAATTGTTGGAACATAAACAACGTTTTCCCGGGAGGTGTAGCATCCTGTCTGGGTATACAACTTCTGCTGTACAACGTTGCCGGGAGTGCTAGTGGCACAGTGTCACTGTCAGCAATTGATCCACAGGGGTCAATGCTGCTACAACTAGCCAATTGTACAAATCAGACACGCACACATACTCTGTGCGTGTCAACACTACACCAGCACTAGCAGCACAGGTACATGTAATAATAACAGTTCAGTGCTACAGTTCAGGCTAGCTGCAGCTCAAGATTGCAATCAGCTGATCACTTTGCTGGACACTTACTTGCCCATATTGGCCATAACGGCTGCAAGCTATGTGTAGCAGCAGTTGTACAGGTGCACATGATGTTCTGTCATATCCAGTCCCATCAAGGCAAAATATATGTGACGAGTGCAGGTGGATATCCAATGTCATATCCAGTCCCATCAAGGCAAAATATGTGTGACGAGTGCAGGTGGATATCCAATGTTGCCTTTCTCTAGTACCCACTTGAAAACTACTGCAAAGTGTTTAGCTAGAAGATTAACACCCTGATCCACAACAACTACACTCCAAATATTTTATCCTGTCAGAGCGGGCACGCATCAAGACTCTGCTCAAGGCTCATGGAATAAATTGTGTATAAATACACCTCCTGTACGGAGAATATCATTGTTCCCCGCCAGTGCATTGTCTGCTAGTGCATTGTCTGCTAGTGCAGATCTGCACTGGGAAACTTCTCTGACCTGTGCCCAATCATGTATTTCCTGCTGAATGGGCAGTGCTGAAACAACGCATAACGAAAAAACACTAAAGGCGCTGAAAGGAAGCGCAGCAGCTCCCAAGCCCTTCCGACGAGATCTTGCTAAACGACCAGTGCCAATTCTACATCATGTTTCTCAACCTGTTGACAGTAGCCTAATTCCCTAGATCAAGTAAAGTGTTACTGTGTACTAGTAGTATTCTACTAGTCTCCCCAATGCCTTGTACCTTGTTGATGTAGTGATGAAGCATGCCAAGTGGTATAACAGGATTATTGGCGTGAACACAATGCAGCGGATATGGACATGGTGAGGACAGGGACATGGGCATGGTGAGGTTGGACATGGGAACTAGGCCATGTCACTGGGCCTGCTACTACTACAAGTAGTACTGAGACTGGCTGCCAATCACCAAAGTGGAGAAGGCAACACTTCAGTTCAGTCTGTGTTTGCAACTGCAGCACACTGTGTTTAAGTGCACAGCAGGGACAGGATGGAGTGTTGCTGGAGTAAGTCCTACTTCAAATCAGCAAATTTTCTTTAGTAGCATGCACATGCACGTACTGCAGAGATTTGTGGATTTGGGACTGCCTTCGACACACACCAGTAGGACATCAATTCCCACAATTTCTCTGCACGCTCTGTCTCATCAGGGGGCTACTGGCACAATCATGGTGACTCCTGGAACATGTCGCCTCCAACTGTGTTTCTGAGATTTTATTAGTTTAGTACACGTACCTACAGTAATTGGCTCAAACTGACAGCGCCACCATGATTCAACATCAATAGTCATAGTCATGATCATGTTCCATGTCATCCATTCTAATTTCTCGAATAACTAATGCTCCAGCAATCACGTGACAGAGATACATTGTACATTCCTAAAGAAAGCATTGTACCTGCCTCCACTGAATTCCATCAACGGAAACAAAGTTCCCAGTTTCAGTTTTCTCCCTGAAGCATAGTTACACACAACGCCACAACGCATGGCAATCGCCTAACCTCGATAGTATGATTTCGTGATAGCGTCGAACTCCTCCTGGCCTGCTGTGTCCCAGAGCATCAAGCGCACGTCCTCGCCTTCCACCCTGCAGTCGAACGCAGAGAACACAGACACGCACAGAACTTCAGAAGCAGTCGGCGCACACGTCTAGTCCTTGTTCTTGTTCATGTAGCACGAGTGACACGAGTCTGGGGCACAGCATGCACTGAAACATTGTGCTGCGACGTTCACCGCATAGACCAACAAATACCAACCAGTCCACAGCGACAGCATGAAACTCACGATAGCTGTCGTTCAAGAAAGTCCACGCCAATTGTTTTCTTGTAGTCTTTGGTAAAGATGTTCTTGCAGTAGCGCTGTATCATGCTCGACTTGCCCACATTACCATTGCCCACAACAACCACCTTGATTTCCGTCTCCAGTTCCTCTTCCATCATTCCAGCCATGCTGGTGGCGCTCAGTCCACTGTACTAGCGTTTGCAACAGACACAACGCTCGCCGCTCAGTGGGATATGGGAGAGAAAATGAGACTTTTACCACAATCAGCGATCTGCTTATTCCCAGCCTGCGCTAAACGGCGGTACAATGTACACCAGTTACACCTGCGCTGGCAGTGAGCGATCCAAAGCTAGATGCCTCCTCTCAAACAGTAACTGGCCTCCTTTTGTAATAACACTGTGTGCCGAAGGCGTCCTGGAGTGGTCTTTCGCGTTGCAACTGCTTGCCGAAGCGAAGTGCGTACTGGCGGCACTCGGTACCGCTTATGGGTCGGCGGAAATTGCGAGTTCCGCGCAAGACTGGGTTCACAGCTAGAGATGGGAAGATATTTATGGGATCAGTTTCCACAGCAAGCTAGAAAACAAAAGACGGGATGAGCATGCCAGATTCAGAACGAACCCCACTCAGAAACATGCTCACATCTGCGTCGGAACGACCCCTGATCTTCACTCTCCACCACTGCCAGTAGAGACCTACCGACCGAAAATCTACCGTGTGTCAACGGACGGCCGTAAAAATGATTGCCCAGAAAAGTGAAAACTGAGACTACGTCGACGATCGATCGTGCGAGGTCGCGTGGAGCTAGTAGGAGTTCGACTAGTAGGTCTACTATTGCGGACTAGCAGTAGATCTACGTGACGTTTTGAAGAGGACGTCGACGATCGATGCAACGGCTAGCTATACTAGCATACTGCATAGATCTACGCGTCGCTAGTGCGGACGCGGTTCTCGCCTTCTCGCGTGGACCGCATACCGCGTGATGACTGTTGCAGGGCCAACAACCTTGAACGGGGTCAACTCAGATAAGACTCTGGTAGTATGGACGAGGGGTAGCATGACCACCATTCAGGGAGTACTAAAAAAACCTACAAACTTTGTAGTACATGATTGTACAGCTGTACTCCATGGTAGATCTACTCCCTGAATGGCCTGATGCAGTGATGACCACTATTGGCACTAACTAAAAATTTAATAATTATTAATTTTATATTGTGACTTGATATGATGTTTGTTTTGTGTATCATGCACGTCATTGTACTAGTACATGTACATGTATGTGGTATCATGCATGGGCCCACGACTGGAATCTATCGTATGCAACTATGACAACTCATTTGCACCTCTGCCAGTTCTGGTGATCATGCCTCATGGTGGTGGGGAGTATGCTACCAGGTATTTCTACTGAAGCAATACTGGTACTGCCAGAGCAGGCTAGCAAAAACAAGTTTTCAACAAAGATGTCCGAACAGCGAGGGAATTGGATGACCCAAGCATCCGTCACGTTGTTCTCTCAGCGGCGCATTCGCCGTATATCTGCTCCACGCGGGGTCATGCGCCTTTGATTGGATAGTGAGGGGACTGGATAAACGAGGTCTGGCGGTAAATGTACTGCAATGGACCAACACAAACACCAGTCAACAAGAGCAAGTGCTGTATCAGTCATAGTGATTGTTTGTCAGACCACGTCGCCAAGTTTGTAATGTGCGAGTGAAGGTAGTGTGCGCGCGCGTGTGTGTGCGCACGTGTGTGTGTGTGTGTGTGTGTGTGTGTGTGTGTGTGTGTGTGTGTGCGTGCGTGTGTGCTACCATCACTATGTGCCGGACGAAGATGCTAGACTTGCTTGCTTCTTCGAAATTAGGAAAGGGAAGCAACATGAACTGATAACAGGCTAGTTCCAAAGCACAGGCTAGCTCACTGCATGACAAAACAATAGTCCGGTCACCGCGATGCACAGGCGATATTCATAAGAATCTGGGGAGATTCAACGAATTCTTCAAAAAGGATAGTAATATAGACCGGTGGTGATTTAGAATAAAATTGATAGTAAACATGCCACATTGCTGGAGCAACATGTTTTGATGTTTCTATAATTGATTTACACCGTAAATCAAGATCGCACAAGCGTGAAATGCTCGTCCGGACAATGATACCTAGGTAAGGCGTGTTTATGTAGTACACTTGTATCTACTTGAAGTAGTATTCCAATGGGCATTAATGTGCTCAAGCTGTATTGAATAGTCATGCACAGTGAAGCAGTGGTGGTGCTATGATGCCCGTCTTGATGTGGCAATGTAAGTCAGGTTAGACGTACCAATACTTCAGAATGTGTGGAGACGAATCAGCATCGGTTTGAGCATAGTCCATAGGACCATACAGTACATGTACTGCACAGCCTGCCATGCACATGTAGACAGGCAGTATGAACACCTTCGATATCATGCTCCTGTGGATGGTATTTTGTGCAATAGAATTGTGTATTGTAATAGGCAGGCCCTGATACAGCCATAGTCCAGCCAAACAGGCTCCGGACCTTGAATAGTTTCAACTGTGCTTTGGCAGACCGTCATCGAGACTGTTGTAAGAAGACGCGGCCTGCCTATAACGACCACTTCTCTGTGGATGCTCTCCTAAGCACATGGGCCCCGGTTACAGTACATAACTGGAACCCGGGGCAGTGTGCACATGTAACAGTATCCATTCCTGCCATCTCCATGGAAGTTTATATCCAGGATCACACAGTAGTGTTGACATGATGTGATTTGATGTGATGCACCGTGCTCAGTACTGAGGTGCAATGTTGACTGCCTGCACGATGATGCCCATAACCATACCAAAAAAGCTCCCCCACAGGATAATCCAGCCAAGATGAGGACGCAGCACTGCCTTCAGCATACGCGTGACCGTCTCCTGGTCCAGGTTTTCTGCACGTTGCGTGATGAACGCGTCCAGCTCTCGCCGAAATAGATGTACTGGCGTCTGCAAGGAATAAATTAGGCAGCGTACATATGCAGAGCCCAACACACACACACTATTAGAATAGGCAAGGTCACACAGCCATCCCACTCCTCCCATGGCATGTCCACAATCACCAGCCCTGCTCGTAGCCCCTTGTTGGCATGCCTTGTCTGGTGAGTCAAGTATGCTTCTCCCAATGCAAGGAGGCAACACAGTGACTGATGCAATCCGGTGGTGTACGATCCATCCCCACTACCTGCGAAGGCACTGAATACAGGATCACGCATGCGGATCAGGGACTTTCCCTTCTGCTTCCTTCGTATGCATCGCCTGCACGTACCTTGTTCAGCTGTCCCAGGGCAGTGAGGACTGCCGGAGCTAAGTCTGCGCTGGCGCCGATAATGGCGGGTTTGACTGTTGACTGGTCATCTGCCTTGACACCCACCGAGGCCAGCAGCTGACCCACCGGCTCATCGCGGAACTCATTGAGCCGCCGCTGAAGGATACTATCAACCTGGGAATAGTAAAATAACAAAAGCAACATCTGGGTTCATCTTCTGCTCGGACATAGATAGAATAGATTTGCTCACTCATTGCATGGTATGGCAACTATTGTGGTAGTACCAGGGAGTAGAGAAAATATTACTTTTATTACGACTCTGCTAGTACATGTACATAGTGCCCCTGTTACATTTATACTGCAGCCTAGGTAGACTGACAGAAGCTGAAAGTGTCAGGAAATAGCTGATACGTACCGATGTCAAATGTTAGGCCGGATAGTGTGTCCATCTCTAGCATTACAGGAACGTAGCATAGGGATATCAGGTGGTCCAGCTAAATAGGATTCTTGACCGGAAATGAGCATTTTTCGACAAAAGCCTCCGATATGCACACACTTTGCCAGGGTAAGTCAATTGTTTTAAATAGGGTCCAACTATGTCCAGACTGGCCAGACCGAGTGCTACGGCCCTGCATTAGTCCCAATAAATTGTACTTGAAGTTAGTGACTGTCAACTACCTGCAGTTAGCCATGCTCAATCGCCCACTCTGCAAGTTTTGATGTTTTGCATGTACATTGCACAATATGATATGCATAGCCTGTGATTGTGCTCTGTCAACAAGCAGTACTGCAAACTGTGTGACACATGCATGGTGTTGGTGATATCTCTCACCTCCGGGTTGGAGAGGAACTTTGCAATTTGTTGCGGCACATCGGCGGACGCAACGGCAGTTCTTGTCCGCTGGTTCACGTATCGGATGAAATGACGGCCGTCGAACACCGATGTGACCATTTCTTTCCGCAGACGAACTCGGATTTCCTTGAACCTTGCAGGCACAACCCTGTTGTCAAAATTAATTCACAGGATCAGTCATCGTGGGGAATTGCGCAACATTGACAATGATTTGGTCAGACATGCAGAAATCACAAGGATCAAGCATGCATGGAGAAGTCAAAAAGGGGATCATGACATTGTGAAACAACTGTGTGTTTGGTTTGCGGAAGCAGCACCTCCACTACCAGCTGCAGCAGCAACAGCAGCGGCGGTGGCGGTGGCAGCAGCAGCGGCGGTAGCAGCAGCACATTCCCCAATAGCCATGATAGCGCCGTGGATTACAGTCATGGCTAAAACATTTTTGCACGAAGTCCAATTCATACTTCATTCCGCATGAGGGGAATGCATCACAACACCAGTCGTGGGGAAAACTTGACTTGACTTGACTTGACTTGACTTGACTTGAGCTCAACTTGTTTGGCCCATCGCATGGCCGTTGTGGTACACATTGCAAAGCGTTTTCCGTGTCCGAACTGAAGTATGAATCAGGCTTTATGGGCTATACTTGAGCTTTGCAGTTTTTCTGAATTAACACTTTACTTGCAGGATGCAAACAACACTTGAAGTGAAATAGCCGCTGGGACGTAGACTATACGGCGTAGTACATGTTCATCACTGCACTTACCCACTGCCATACAGGAATGGTACCTTGGTAAACAGCATTGCCACAGCCAGCCAATTTGTGAAGCCGCCCATGAATCCGAACAGGCCAGCTGACAGGAAATAGCATGCCAGCCTTGAGTAACCTGTTGCAAAGAACGGTGTGCATGATGCAATGTACATGCTGGCTAACACAGTACTTTGAAGTACAGTGCTGCTCAATAAAATCCGATCAAGCGAGTCAATACTACACCGGGCGCTGTGCTCAGTGCCCCAGACCTACAAACACTGGGATGTGAAATGGTGCAGGGCGCAAACTTGATTCACGTGATGGGATTTCATTGAGCAGTGCTGTAGGAGATGTAGGAGATGGATGAGGCAGTTCAGACTAGCACTAGCATGTCCTAGAGTATGACTTTCATCGCAATGTTGAATCATCCTGATCTACCTCAATGGAAATCTAAGCTGTTATTCCTTGCCGCACTACGGCACTACGCACATGGAAGCTAACGTTACAATAATGTCTCCGATGGTTGAGTTTGTTATGACTGGATGCTAGCTAGTTACTTGAGAGTATTTGCCAACAATGCCTTTGAAGGCAGCACAGAAGACTGCTCAGGCACCGCCAAGCCATGCGTATTGTGTACTAAATCTTCATGTACAAGCTCGTGACCATGATTCATACCAGTGCTGTTACTACCGTGCCGTGTCCAGCAAACCTAGCCATAAGTTATTTAAACTGCTAGGCATCAAACCTGAAGAATGACGGTGAAGATGCCCCCCCCCCCCCCCACACACACACACTCCCTTCGCTGTGTACTGTACGCCTTCCCGGGACACCATGACTACAGATAGTACTGAGTGGAGCCTTCGAACTGCTTTATTGGAAACTTACCGTCTGAAGAGCAAGTTGACTTGTTGGACTGGAACAAGTTGAAGCGCATCACCAATCCCGTTGCAAGGATTAGTAGCATGACAACCAGGCTAGCATTTCCTCGATCCGTCAGCTGCACCAGCACACTCCATGCCTTTGCCGATACACGGGCGAGACATTTGCGAGTCCTTTCGCCTATCGCCACTCCAGGTCGCTGTGATGCAGAGATGTTACTTCCATCAGATGGGTCCAGCAAAGATTCCTGAAAACAAACCGTATAATTATACATGTATGCAGATCACCAAACAGTGTTCATCTTTTGTACAGGAGAACTTCCCCATCTACATACATCTCTATCTATTCACACTCAAGTGCAGGGGCGTCGGAAGGTAATTTAGTGTGGTACGGTCAGCCATCTGAAGTACAATTTACTCGTGGGGGAGGGGGTGGCTGAGCCGAAGATTTCGGAAAATTAGAGCCCAAATCAGTGCATTTTATTGATTCACGGGGTACTTGGGTCAAATAGTGGTACGGTCAATGTACGGTCAATACCGTAGTGACCGTACCGTGTGCGACACCCCTGAAGTGGCATTCCTTTTACAGGAGAATCATGTCTGTACACAGGTAGGCCTGGAAAAGGAGTGCACCATAATTCAGTCACTCTCCTCCAATCTGCTCTCATGCATAGTTAAAAGAATGCCTGTACTAGAAATGAGATTAGATTAGCTTGCACTCTCTGTGCACCACATATACGTTTAGAGCTGCTGAATCATTGTTCGTCTTCGCCGCTCAATTATTGTGGACAGACTTGTTCAGCCTGTTGGGTGTCCGTGTTCAAACGACAGAGAAAACATGGCTACTGTACTAGGATTGCTAGCTACACTACCAAAGGTATGGCGTCATGTCATGGACTGTACAATGTTCTGGTGATGATGATGTGTACCGCTAGCCTGCTGATTTCCCTGGATGTGCATGACACATACACTATGAAGTACATGCATCATGGTGTGGTATTCCACAAATTCCATTCATTGGGCAGATTCTTCACCTATTTTAAGGAGGAAATACTTTAACTTCTACTCGCATAGCAGTATTTGGTGGATACATACGAAGCTTGTCTACCTAAACCAACCAGTCCCTGCCATGGAGGCCGTGTCAGCCATGTCTCTCACCCAGCCATGCAGGCCGTGTCACCCATGTCTCTCACCCAGCCATGCATTACTAAACAGTGTTGTTGGATGTGCAGTTGAACCGTACCGGCGGCAATACCGGTATTACCAACTCACCCTTAGATACCGGGGCAAGGTGGCTTGTCCCCTCCAGGACTTGCTAGTGTTGCTGTTCGCCCTTGCGTTGCCATTCGTCCATCTTGGCTTACTGGCCACGCCTGCCTCTAGTATTTGCGAATCAGTGGCCATCCATTGATTTTCTTGGGGGCGGCCTGGCCCAAATCAACGCTACGCAGGATCAAGTAAAGTCTTTCGATCCCAGACTGTTGCTCTTCAACTTCAGAATAACACAGCAAACGCTGGCGATCGATTAGGTACATTTGGGGCGACGAAACGCGTGCGAATCGCTAGACAATCCGGTAATCAGGTAATGGTCTCAAGAAATACTAAAAGATAATTTCTGCAGGGAAGACAGATGACCACAATCTGTGACAAGAATAATTCTGGTGCAAAAATCCGCGTTCGGTCCGGTACCGCGGGAAACGTGTATTGTTAGTACAGTAAATATCGGATATAACGTGCCCCTTTGATTTTCGAAAATTTATCACTATATCCGGTGCATCACTATAGCCGATCATTTGCATGTTTGACCGACACATGGCACATGACTGCACATGAAATGATGCGTACACGCTGGAAAAAGCATGCTGAAAGTGCATGCATGCTCCGCGGACTGAGTACCGGTGCATGACACAGAGCAGTGCATGGCAGTGCAGTACGAGTACAGACTGTACATGTACATCAGGGAGTCGTAAAATATTATACGACTCCCTGATGTACATGTACTAGTACTTCGATACATCATGTGGCATGGCTGCTTCTTCAGCGTGTTCTCCAAAAAAAAGCCTGATCCGTACTCGCGTACTCGGTGTCCAACGAGTTGCGTAGAGCCAGACATGAGCGGCTGTGTACGTGAGCTAGCTGGCAACATCATCGTGAGAGGCAACACAGCCAGAAACGGACAAAAAGCGTGCAGAAAGATACAGAAAAGGACAATACCATACAAAGGGAGCGAGAGGTAGCGCAGCCAGAAAAGGACATGTGCATACAGAAACGGACAAGAGCATACAAAGGGAGCACATTGCAAGGGGTAGCACAGCCAGAAACGGACATGTGTGTGCAGGTAAAATAATGGGTTGGTGCAAAAAGAGATTATGAGTACGTCGAAAAAAACAATTGTTTTGTGATCATCACTCTTGATCATTATATGCGATATTTTCCTGTACATTTGATATGGTTTGCTTCCTGAAGTCCATCACAATAAGCGATATATCGGTATAGCCGATAATAGTGTATATAGTGATATTTTAGCTGTATTTTTTCTGATTTGATTTTGATTTTGACGTGTTCTATCACTATAACCGGTATATCATTATATCCGGTCACTTTATAAACGATACTTACTGTAATATTGTTACCGTCAGTGCGTCACGAGTGTGTGGTAGGATAGCCGTAACGTACAGTATAGAGACAGTAGAGCTACACTACAATGGTGTAGCCTGTACTGAGGCTGTAGGTCTACCAGGATGTGTCACGCTGTCAGTGAGCTGCGCAAGTGCTGTCCAGGTGTACCTGTAGCTGTCCTTGTGTTACCACTTCCCTCCCTCTAAATAATACAGCTGCATAAAAATATTCATTGGCTTGAGGGAAAGATGCAAACGGGAAAAGTCTGAAAGACTGAAGACAAATTCGACTGTCACCACCAGGACCAGGGCTAGGACAGGGTCGTAGGCCGGGACCTTCGCTTGATAATTGAGGCCCAGAAAATGATTATCATCTTTTTTTACTACATTGTGTGTTACAGCTGGGGATAGGACTATAATAGGAGTGACTTGCGAGGCAGTGGATCAATCGTGTAATTTCAGCGGTGTAGTGCATGTTGCAGACAGACTAATGGCGTCAGTGGTGATCGTTCTAGTCTTCATGGTGTGTGCGTTTGGTGATTGTGATTGGTCCACCCTTTAAAAAGTCTGAGGACGCAGTCCTACCTACAAGTACAAAGGCAGAATACTTACTAGCACTGGTATACAATGACGTACATGTACAGGTATCTCCTCCCACTGTAACCAGTGGTAACAGGCTATCATGGGTATCGTCTACTGGCTGTTGTCATGTGGCGACCTTGCATACGGTCGATTAGTAATCGGAAGAGCCACTGATATTAAATACAGTCGTGGCCGAAGAAATCCGACCAGCGAGTCAAAAGTAGCGCCACGTTTCCACTTCAATGACATCATGCATGTCCCCAGAACTGTTAGTGATGGGAGGGCGGCAGCGGCCTTGGCGCTGGTTTCTGCACGTGGGTTGAATTTCCTTGGCCACGACTGTACATAACATTGTACTATTGTATGGCATGGCACGCATCAAGTGCATCATCATACTCTACTCTAGGCTATGTCCTGCATCCTTCCTTGGACTGAAGGCTCATTCCGGAGTCATTGTAGATTCGGTGTACATTAAGGGCAGGACTTCTAGCCATCTAGGTTCTCCAACCTCACATCCACAATCATGTGAATCGTTATGCATGATGCAGTGTGCATGCTTATATGCAAGAGTTTGGCACCCTTGTACTGGGGTCAGCGAATAAACTACCCAGTTTGGATTCCGGTGGGGGGGGGGGGGGCTGGGGGGCTGGGTGACAGTCGAGTCTCGACGATTCAATGCATTCGAAGTTAGTTGTTGTCCTTGGCTTCAGGTACTGTAACATGTCTCATCTGCCTATTGTACCGGTGCTCATCTCCTCCCCCTCGTCTACTTTGCCTTCCCAGAAACAAGTCAAGTACCCCCCCCCCCCCCCCCGAAAAAAAGATGGCTGTCCTGAAGGTGGACCGTTTTTCCACAAAGTAGATCTACCGTCGGAGTCCGGCAGTGCCATGTGGCAGAGAAGCAGGAGGGCTAGTGAAATATGTGTACGTCTACCTTCTCCAGTGAGCCAAGCAGCATTCATCTCACTCCTGAAGTTCTAGAATGTGTACGTGTATCTATCTAAAGTGAGCCAGTGTGCGTGTTTGTTGCAATCGTCGCCATCGGTCAATTTCCCCTAGCATGAAGGTTTGTTTATCAACAAATCGTCGCCTTCGCGTAGTCAGGACGTGTCCAAGTCCTGTCTCGGACTACCAGTCCCTCCTCAGTCCTCACACGGCCTCACGCAGAATCAGAACATGAATAACTGCATGCGGCTAATGCTTTACTTGATCACAATACTACATGCACGAATCGAATGCCTGTCGAGTTTACGTCACAGCAATGTAAACGTGGGTCATTTCCCCAGTCATCGAATGCTGCCTGATCGCCCGACATCCCCAGTGCTCAGAGATTTACTATTCCTTCCCGGAGTGGAGCAGACCGCAATCGGACAGACCGCATTTTCACACGATCCTACCATTTACCCGCGTCCGATGACGTGACTAAGTCGGTGCACCGTTCGCCTATTGAATGTTCCGACATACACTCAATACGAGTGAAGGGCCTTGCTGGGTATTCGCTGCCACACGCACGCATATTGGTCATTCTGGACAATACTTTGATTAGGCGTAGCGCACTCCAAGCGTGTGAAGTGTCCTGCCTCCTGTCCAGACTCAGGAGCTGAGATGTCGTACTTGTTGCATGCCAATCTTCGTCGCCATACAGTCTGACACGGAGAGACACAGTCTTGACTTGAGCGTACGTGTAGCTAGAGGTTCGGACTAGTCAAGCCAAGTATGACTATGAGTTCAACTTGACATCTGTAGAGTGCAGGGCGGTCCTTGAAAGTCCCTTGTCATGCAACGCACACGTCTACCGCGTCCCAAGTGCTGTCTACGAGTACGAGAGCATATCCTGCATGTCGTGGTCACCGACTGATCAACTGAAAGACTGAGCACACTGGTAGCAGATCTACTGGATGGCAGTGGCAGCTTGCTGTGTGTTTGAACTCACTGCTGCTTGCTGTTCAGTTCAAGCGAATCCTTTCAAAGAGCTCGTTTTCACAGTGCACGCACCTTTTTCCAGAGGGCAGGGCGTGGAATCAGCCGAGGATACTCACACCTTCGTAGAATCTCACGGGCGGTTCGTGTGTGTTAGGAAGTGCGAAATCTCGCTAGCGCTTTCTTTATCGGCCGCCCGCATCGTGTTCACACCGTGCTCCTCCCAGCTCGTCGCGCGTTTAGCAGCACTGAAGCAGTGTGGTGTAACAGTGCGAGTGCAGTCGTTCCGGCACTAGGCCGGCCCTCGGCAGTGCATGCATGGCTTCATGGAAGAAAAGATTGTCCTTGTCGATTAATCACCGCCCGTCGATCGAGGAGCACGCTAGCGAAGGTCAGTAGATCTATACTCCCCATCACTGGTGCTGCAATCCTGGCTTGGAAAATGATACTCTTCGGATACCGTTTGGTCCGAAGGACGTGATAGAGAGAGAGTTGGGAGTTACTGGCTTCTGAACTTTCGGGGAAATATTTTGTTTCATAGTGCCAGGTTTATCGAATGTCCACGAGCGAGAAGTGCTACCTCTAGAGTTGTATACCCCTCCCCAGTGCTGTCAACGTCAGCAAAACAGGACTCTGGAGTATATCCTAGCTAGGCCTAATCCTAGCCCCAAAAGTATTACAATACTGCAGTCATATGTGAATTCAATGCACTTCCAAAGTATCAGTCTAATCGGCAAATTGTCCGTTTGAGTTCGCGGAGCTAGTGTGTTGTAGTCCAAGACATGATGACAACCTGAGGGGCAGTGCTGATTACGACCGTGGAGCATCACTACCACTAAGTCTTGCAGGCTGACCTGCTGGCGCATCGCAAGTCAAATCCTGGTCACTGCTCTCCTGGCGTATTGGCATGGACCTTGGTACCTGGGGGTGTAACCATTTAGCCTGTGGAAGGAGCTACTAATACTTATAGTAATAGTACTATACTGAGCCTTGCGGGGCAACGGCCATGGTAATGTGGTCAGTTTACAGGCATCTTCCCAGTTGCAGACCTGCTAGCATACAACATAATTATTGACAATAACTGTTACGGCTTGTAAACTGTAGTGTTCGCTTAGCAGGCTTAGATGATTGCACTGTGTACTGCTACTTCGCACGTGAAATAGGATTTGGAAAGTAACTAGTTAGTAAGTGAAATCTGGGTAGATGTGCACTTGTAGTGCTGGAGACCACACGTCCTCGTACCTTTACCTGTACATGAGGTTATCAAGACTAATTCTGGCACTGTCTGTATAATTATACGGATGGGTCTAGATTTCACATGCCACAGTTGTACATGATTGTGTGAGTTCGCTTCAATGGCGTACCCCCCCCCCCCCCCCCCCTCTCCCTCCCCGTTGCTGAAATAGTAATTTTGATGGAGACTGCAGGCTCAAGTCTTGGTTGAAGGACCCGTGCCTAATCTGGGACAAGTCCACTTCAGCTAAAGACATTGTGGTACCAGCCCTGCTTCAAAAGGTCATGGACCTTGTACAGTGGGGCTAACCATACTCACAAGCCCACCAGGGCTGTTTGTGCCTGCCAAAAATGGGACAAGTTGCCCCACTAAAAGGTTGGAGCCGTGTTGTACCAAGAGTACAATACCCTACCCCCCCCAGGGGTTATGATTGTACTCTTGGTTGTACGCATAGATGCTATTCTTGCGTAGAAGGGATGTGCACATTCATGTCAGGTTGTGGCAATATCACGATAGCATGCGTAAAGCAACGCCGGTTGTCGGGTACACTGCTGATAGCTGTAAGACCCTGCTGATAGCTGTAAGACCCTGCTGATAGCTGTAAGAGACCTTGCGACTCTGAATTACACTGGTCATTGCTTGTTAAATTGGCGGTTTTAAAAAGTCCTTGTGACCGGCATAAGCACATGATTACCAGTAGGTTGTGCCCTGTAGTTATGTTTGTATGGTGTGTTTAGCTGCAACTACACCTGCCTGTCTAAGGACAGATGATGATGGCAATCATGTTTGAGTGGAGATTGACTGCATCGTCTCCAGCTTCGTGCATACTATGATTGTACTATAGTGCTGTGCTTCTAAAGCCACAGGGACCTGCCAGCTGCTCCTACAGTCGTGGCCAAAGAAATCCGACCCGCGAATCAAAAGTGCCGTCATACTTCAATGTCAATTTCGTCATGTGCGTTAAAAAAAAACGATCCGAGGGCCGCAGGGACTGCATGAGCCTTGGCACTGCTTGCAGCACGTGTGTTGGATTTCTTTGGCCACGACTGTACATGGATATGCGACGGCAAAGTGATGGCAAGCAAAATCTCCTGGAACATTTGCTCGCCATACCAAACCTACCTAGGATGCCCTGCAATAAAGCCGTGTCTGTTGCAACTCCCACAGTGCACCCTAACAACATACTCTACCTCTACTTCTCAGACCTCGCTTATCCGGTTCTCTTTTATCCGGATTGCTCGCCATCCGAAAGAAAATGGCTGATTACAGATTTTCAGCATACGCAATGCATCCAACATAACTGGTGTTCGGTAATCCGGTTCCCTCACCTATCCGGATAATTTTGTGGGAAACGGACGTGTGCGGGCGAGGTCTGACTGTATCGACATGCCATGTTGATCTTGTGATTGCGTGTGCAGATCGCAGTCAGCCACAGGCCATGCAGGATGATGGAGGATCAGCACTCAACAATGAGGAAAGGGACACAGTTGAAGGTATCACAAGCAGCAAGAAGGGCTTCAGTCGTAGCAAGGTACGGTTGACAGACAGCACTCAGACTTACATGTTCACATCATCAGTTCTATAATGCTGTATTTCAATTATTCAGCTCGGCATCAGGTCAGTGTCTGCTCCAGAGCCGGGTGAGCCGGGTTATCGACCCGGTTGGGCGGCGCTTGGACCCGGTTGAAAATATAGTACCGGGTCACCTGTGACCCGGTGGGTACTTTTTACTACTTTACACGTTCGAACTAAAGGACTGACTACATGCCTTGTATGTGTGACAGATCATGCAGAGGCGCGCGTCGAAGTGAAAATAGTCAGTATCCGGTGTGTGCACGTGCTCAGTTCGAGCTTGATCGTTGAGGTGTTGTTTTTGGAAATAGAGCCTCCAGCGAAGAGGCAAATCCACAGGCCCTGCTTCCAGGACTCTTGGAAAACAGGTCGTCCATGGCTTGTCTACGACATGGAGACGAAAAAGATGACGTGCTCTTGGTGCGTGACGCACTTCATGTGTACACGTGTACCCGGCTCCGACCCGGTTGAAATGGTTGCGCCAGGTACACGTGTACCCGGCTGTCCTACAATCCTAGAGCAGACACTGCAGGTATCCTGCAAGACCACTCCATGAGATTGAGAGAGTTTGCAAATGAAAAGAAAGTTGGATTATACCAAACTTATAGCATGATCTATAACGGACAAGACAAGAGTCAGATTCTGCAGCTCATATCATGATGATGCCTGTCATAGTATGATAATCATAATCATGACATGAGCTGCAGAATATACATGCAGTGATATGGTTACTATCATACGTATGTGGTTTGTCTAAAAATCCGGCACTACGTGGGCATTCCAGTCGTATCAGGTGAATGTAGATTTGCGGTGTATGGAAAACAAGAAATGCCCCGCATACCCCCTTTACTGTAAACTAAACACACACTGCTGGCAGGAAGCATGTGCTTATCATGCCATTTTAGTGCGTAGCATACAAGGTAGCTAGTGGGTTCCGTCTTGGCACAGAGGGATCCCGGTTTATTACTACAATAAAGTGCTATAAAGAGCACATGACATGACTGTGCTCTTTATTGCACTTTGTAGTGAATGATGGATATATGGTTATCATAGCTAACTTGAGAACACCTTGTGCAATAAATGACAGGGTCGAGTTAGTACGAATGTACTGCATGTAGAAAGATGGAAGGCTGCCCTTTTTTTGGGCGCCTGTTGAACCCATTGAGCCCGGCCATGGTTACAGCAGAGAGGGCAGGGCAAGGTATATCCTTTAGACTTTAGCGGCTAGTGAGCAGGGGGCGGGGTCCCTCCTGGCTCCTGTCATGGGTGTAATGCATTGATTACTAGCTGGCCAGATCTCCGGGGGGGGGGGGGGGGGGGGGGTACACATTTTACTCCACTGCATGATCAATATATATTTCTCGCTGCAGAGTCACAAGGAGGTGAAGAGCACATCGCGGTCGAGCCTGGGCGTGGGTGTAACACTCCGTACAGGACTGAGTGTGAGTCCGGGTTCGAGGGCACGCAAGTACCGATCCGACAGTCAGCTGGGCGAGGGTGCAACGTCAATGAGCGAATCGTCGGAGGATGGCGACATGCGTGGCCTCACGAGTGCCTCGATGCCCAACTCTCCTTCTCGGGGTCTCTCTCCCGCACTCGACCTCAGTCGGAAAATGAGCAAACGTCAGAGACGCTTATCTCAGGTGAGTGATGATCACCACATCTGTGCTTGTTGCTACGAAAGTGCCCATAAAGGCTCGGGAGAAGTCAGTACATGCGGATCTGATGCAGGATGAGCCGCTCCACTAGCACCACTGATGACATAAGAGTTAGTGACACCAGAATTAGTCCCGGTGTCAGCCACACACAATCAGTAAACATTGATGCACGGGAAGTGTGGATCGCGGTTAGGCATTGGATCACGAGAAGATCAGTACGCAAGCCTGGGAGACATCATTGACAGTTGTTCTGTGGACTTTTGTTTGGTATGCTAGACTGAGCTCGGCTTTGGCAGACTAGAAACCTACGAGAAGCTGGAGCAGTTAGGGGAGGTAAGCTCTTGTGCAATGATATGAAGCTCTTGTACATGTACTGAGAACCTGTAGGCTGTACTGAGAAACGGGTGAATTGTCACACCGTTAATGTCTCAGTGATAGCATACACAGAATATAATATTTATGATGATGATGTACTCGAATAGGTACACTGAGTCATTCTAGTCGTGTAGGCAGAGTGGTGCGCCGGAAGGATACTTGGCAGTGTAACCAAGTACTGCGAAATCCTTTGCGTACTGACCAGTGCCATTTTGCAGAACGTTTCGTGGATTTTCTCATTCGATTTGCCGGTCTGAATATTCAGGCACACAGCTGCAGCTGAAATCGTATTTTCTACTCAACTACGGTTTTCCTAGTACGCTCTCGAACTCATGCTATGCACCTGCGTAGAGTTGACGAAACATTGATATAGGCATTGATATAGCCCCCCGCCGTTACTTGCACTGGACATCACAGTGTACTGGACATGATTCGACCACCAGGGTGAGGGTGAGGGTGAGGGTGAGGGTGAGGGTGAGGGTGAGGGTGAGGGTGAGGGTGAGGGTGCAGCTTATACTCCGAAAAAAAAGAGCGGCATGTGTAGTGTTGTTATAACTTACTTGTTGCTGATCTTAGCTCCGGTGTTCTTTGGATTGTTGCACCTCCAGGGAACGTATGCAACTGTATTCAAGGCGCAGAGCACGTGAGTAATGAGCGCAAGTACCTGGCTCTAAAGATACTGGATGTTGCTTGCAATGCAAGGCTCTGTGTCTTTGTAACAACTTGCCACTAAACCATGATAAGGTCCTTCTCCACAAGTTGTTCAGATTTCTGTTCATGGGCTCTTTCACTTCTAGGCTAACTGGATTGACGGTTGCAATGAAGGAGATTCGACTGGAGCACGAGGAAGGGGCACCGTGCACGGCAATACGAGAAAGTAAGCAGGGAAATTTTGACCCTTTAGAACGTTCTTCTTATTCAATCAGGTAATTATGATGACATCAGCTGTTGGTATCTATTTCCAAATCTTTCCAGTCTACTACCTGCTTACACTGGTTAGTTCTGGGTATCAGGTCCATGATCAGTCATGTTTGAAGGCTAAAATAGTCATGGGCATGCGCTGAGCATGTTACTGTAACATGTCACATTGCTTGTCACTGCTGTGTTCGTTGCGTGCAGTTTCGCTGCTCAAGGATCTGAAGCATGCCAACATTGTCACGCTACATGACATCATATACAGCAAGTCACTGGTGCTCATCTTTGAGTACATGGTGAGTGTGGGAGATGCATTGCTTTAGCAGCTACGATGGGCTGAGAGACGTGTACTATTGCTCCCATTACATGTACATGTAGCTATGATTATCTATACAAGTGTTCAATTGCATGCCCATGTGCATATACAGTTGCATGTGCATATACAGACGGTGTCTGCCCGCATTGGCTTGTAGGGTAACTTAGGGACAACATCACAATGTCAGAATCAATTCTCTTCTCGGTGCTGCTTCAAATGGTCTTGGCCTGAGGAGGCTTGACAGCATTTGAGAGATATTAAATCAAAGATTGCGAGCGCTATTTTGGACATGTGACATCATGTGGGCAGTTCAAAGTGGAAGAGTACAGGTTCGGAGAAAAAAAAGGAGGAACGTACTGTTAATGATAGTTTCAGAATGTCTGATGCTGGTGTTGCCGGTGAGCAAGAAGAGGCTCTGTATGTTATCGGTATTGGCAATATTGAAGGAAGGAACTGCTAGATAGAGAGATGCCATGATCATTCTGCTTTTTGCCACTGTCAATCTTCCAGCACCGTGACCTGAAACAGTACATGGAGACTTGTAAAGGAACACTGCACTTGACCAACATAAAGGTGAGTGTATTGGAGGTAGGGAGTGACAGTGTTCCGATGTCGGTATGTGTGTGCGGCGTACTGCTGACTCGCAGCGCAGTTGTTGTGGGATTGTATGTAGTCCAGTATGGTAGTTGCCCTTCAGTAGCCCGGCTGGGGAGGTCTGCAGGGTACGGAGTGTGCATTCCACTGTACTGTGCCTTCTTGGTTAGGTGTTTCCCTGACCCTACCCCATGAGTGAAGCTTTCACCTCGTATCATATGGTTGCCACTGTACAGCAGGCAGGTATCAGCAGAGGGGTGACTCTGCGTGAGCACTGTTTATTGTGCATTCCATCAGCTGTACTGGTCATGTGACATTGTACTGACCATTAGATCTACACAGTATGTCATCAGTTGGCCTGTTCCTTGTCCTGTCTATGTGTTTGCAGTATTTTGCCTTTCAACTTCTCCGTGGCCTTGCATACTGTCACAGCAAGAAGGTTTTGCATCGGTAAGTCTTCTTAAAATCGGGTTCACTGACTTCCCTGTACCTTTTCATGCCTTGATGTTGTTTTTTTGTCTTTCTGTTTGCCTGAAATAATCATGATTCATGTCGGTATAACCTACCCTGTGGTATAGCATTCTGGACATCCAAGGTACAGCATTCATTATACGTGAAGTCTGTGCATGTGCAGCACAGGTATGAAGAACACTAGGTTAGAAAGAGCAGGCCTGCCAGTGTTCTTGATTTCAGCCGATTAGCTTCTGCAAACCGCTTGCTCCAAATTTATCTTGCTGTGCGGAACTATGCATATGTTCACTCAACCTGTATAAGCCAGAGTATCCTAAACAGCTGTTGATCCTCGTTCATGATTGCCAGGTCAGTAGTACCACGAGGGAAGTGCTTTAACTACCTGGTGGACTTCCATTGCTAAGGGGTCGTCCGCAATTATCGAAAGTTTTTTCCAATCCGTAGTAGCTTCGAAAGTGGGTGGGTGGGTCAAGGCCAGTTACGGATTGAAAAACTTCCGAAATGACACGTGCGCGTGCCACGTGTACGTCTACGTGTAGCCCCTGTTTTCCACGCACGGCTGCGCGCGAACTGTCTACTACAAATATTTTTGTAGTTCTGGCAGTTTCTGCGCCCCCGCGCGCGCTTCCTTGGCTGCTCCTAGATCCTGGGCCGGGGATCATAAAGTTCGGCGCATTCGACGGCGAGTCGACACTTTCTATTTTTGAGTTTCACTGTCTCCTTCGTCCAGAGTACCGTCTTCCATGCACTCCTTTGAAGTCCTTCCGTCTAGCGCTGGCGCTGACGACTGTTATTGACTATGTCCAGACAGGCGACGTTGTTTGGAAAGGCGGTGAAGAAGCAGCCCTTTTTCAAAACCGCTGGTGACTCTGATTATTACAGAACAATAAATTGCTTGTGGCAGTTGTCCAAGACGACGAACAAGGATGTATTCTTTGCCGAAGCGAAAAAGGACTGATTGAGTTTGTTCCATATGTGTTGGGTTGTGTGTCCATCAATAATATTTTATTACGGACTGGGGGGGGGGGGGGGGGTGGGTGGGTGGGTGGGTGAGGAAAAATTTGAAGCTACTACGGATTGGAAAAAACATTCGATAATTGCGGACGACCCCTAACTAGTTATGTCACGATCTCACATGAGTATGATTATACTGTGCTCTTCTGTGGTTGTGTGCTGCCGCAGAGACCTGAAACCGCAGAACCTGCTTATCAGTGATACCGGCGATCTAAAACTGGCTGACTTTGGTAAGTACAATCATGTGCTCATTTGAAATGATACACATTGTCGTCTTGCTGACACCATCATCAAGTTATTCGACATTTATGTATTTATAAGGAAGTGGATTGCTCCTCACACCAGCGCTCGTGATTTCCCCGCTAACCTGACTTGGCACTTGACTGACTCACAACTGCCATCCAGAACACACGAAAAGTCCATCGAGCCTTTGACTGGGCAAACCTGAAAGAACGCCCCACTCCCTGCTCAAAAAACCGACTGGATTGTCTTTTCTAATGGCCCAAGCCTTGTCAAAAGCTTCAACTTTGCAAGCAATGATTTTAGCTGTATGAGACCAGCAGAATGGTCATGTGACTTTCCTTGCTCTCTGGTGTATGCCGTGTGTGTGTATGTGTGTGTGTGTATGTGTGTGTGTGTGTGTGTTTGTGTGTGTGTGTGCCTAGGTCTTGCCCGGGCGAAATCAGTGCCGTCTAAAACCTACTCGAACGAGGTCGTCACATTATGGTATGGATCATGATCAGTTGTACTAATAGGAGTGATTGCTGCATTGGCATTGAATCACCTGGTAATTGCCCAATTTGTATATAGCTTGTGCCTCGCACACGGTGCTTCAAGAGTTTCAGCTATGAGTGTGTCTTTGACTGCAGTTAGACGATGATTGCTGTTGCAGAACTTGTACAAAAGAGGCTGTTACCATGGCACTGTGACCATGAGATCTTTGCTGTACGGTTGTTGTTGTGTGTTGTACTTCACAGGTACCGGCCACCTGACGTCCTGCTTGGCTCGGTGAACTACTCTGGTACTATTGACATGTGGTGAGTCACGGTGGCAGAGTTGAAGGGTCTTCTTACCCCAATACACATCCTGTGTGTGTGCATGTGGTAACAGTGCTAATACCGGACTGCGACTTGTGTGTATGTGTGTGTGTGTGTGTGTATGTGTGTGTGTGTGTGTGTGTGTGTGTATGTGTGTGTGTGTGTGTGTGTGTGCATGTGTGTACATGTATCTGTTCAATACAGTAAAACCTGGTTTATGCGACCACCCCATGGTGCAAGCAAAAGTGGTCATTAAAGCCAGGTGGTCTTTAGAACCAGGTCCCACAGTGTCTGTGTGGAACTGTCGGTGCATGGAAAAACGGCCGTTAAGAGCAGGTGGTCGCTAAGCACAGAGGTCGCTTACACCAGGTTTTACTGTAGATCCATTGCTAACACATGTTGTAAGCATTAAAATGGTATGAATGAGGGTGTCCTTGGTGTGTCCATTGCAGGGGTGTGGGCTGCATCCTGTTTGAGATGGTTCTTGGTCGCCCGCCATTCCCTGGATCCAACGTTGAAGATCAGCTCATGCTCATTTTCCGGGTAAGACATGTCGACCTCTAGTGGTGTAGCCGCTGTTGCGATTGTACTTCATCTAACGTACTGTATGGACAACCGGCAATACTCGTTGCAGCAGAACTTGTATGAGTATCACGGAATTATATACAAGTTCTGCTATAAGAATACCACCAAGTACATGTTGCTTTATTTTACTGGCTCTCTTTACCCTAGCAATCACTTTTGACTTTCTGCACATGACCGTGACTGTGACGTGAGCTCGTACAATGTAGTTGTACGCACAAGTAACAAGCAAAAACATCACTAGTTGAGTGTGGTGTTCCGCAATGTTTCTTACCGGCATTCAGGCACTTGGAACGCCCACACCGACGTCCTGGCCTGGCATTGACAAGAACCAGGAATTCTTAGCAGGTAAGTCAAGTATGGCCGGTGCATGTCAGAGCGTTATGAATATGAATAGACTAGGAGCCAGGAGGGCAATAAGCCAATAGGAATACTGGCAGTTGTGTTGATGGTGGTAACGTTGTATCACTGTATACAGTACGCTGCACCGGGCAATCACAGTACTGCCGGGCGCCGAAGAACAAACTGCCGAAGAACGGCCCGAGGCTAGAATTTCACCATTAAAAAAAACGTCTAGCCTGGTTTTTTTGCTGATAAGAACGGAAATCGTAATATACACTTTAATGTTCACTCAGGCCGCCAGTCAGGCGTATGGCTCTGCAGAAATGTACATGTAAGACTGTACCATCGAATAAGAATGAAACTGCTGTGTTCGCTAAAAATAAGAACGGTCTAGGCTAGAACCCTGACCCCCCCCCCCCCCCCCCAGTTCTTCGGTGCCCGACAGTAGTGTAGGCACAGAGGTAGTTTGTTGTCTTGTTGTCCTGTGTAAACCGCTCTATGTACTGAGCACTCTCAGCACACTGGCTACATCCTCCTGTCATTACAGTACACAATGTTGATACAGTGTACTGTAGACCAATAGTAGCAATGCATGTACGCCTGTCTTCATTCCGTTGATTGACCGGTTCCCTAGTCATCAAACACTACGTATACATTTTGTCACGAGTGTAACATGACCGAGTAATGTTAAGAGAAACCTTGCGAAACAAGTAAGTTGTCATGCCAGGTTGCGAAACTGACTTCCGAATAACTCCAATATTACCACTCTCAGTTTGCAGTGAGACTGACAGTAGTATTTGCAGTGAAATTCTTACTTTTTTATAAGATTCGTCTCACACCAAACATGTGCATCACAAGTAGCCTCGTGAAATGATCTACAAGCTTTCTTGGGTGTGTGTGTGGGGTGGGGGCTGTGTGCAATGCATTCAACTGTGTCTATTCCTCTTTGTTCATCTCCCGTCGCAGTTGATTACCCGCCATATCTACGGCATGATCTTGGTACACTGGTACCACGGTGAGTTGATCAGCCTAGCTAGTGGGAACACCATATTGTGCTGGTTTGCCTCCATGACAAGTCACTTCACACACTGAAGCTTCCTTCAGTGTTTCCAACAGAGTATGGAGGGCCCTGAAATGTGTGCAAGCAAATATCAAAATAATTCAAACAGGCTTTTCTGAATACAGTAGTTGGGTGCAGCCGTCACATAATTTATACTTGGACAGTGTGTACATATGGGTAAAAAAAATTATTCAAAAAGTACTTACAGGTGTCATTAGAATGCATGCGACGTGTTAGCAGTCTTATGCAGTGTAGCTTGCTCTGCACACTTGATGCTCTCACATGAACACAGCACTTGTACTGACTGTGACTCATGATCGGACGTCACTTACATGCAGGCAAGTACTGTGAACACTGGTAGTTTCCATCTGTTGGTGTTGTGTGCCACAGTATGCACATAGGCTGTGTTTACATGAGGCGTTTCAACCCGGGTCAAGTTTCAACCCGCCATGAACACAGATTGACTGGGGCGCGTTTAAATGACGCATTGCGCTTGACCCGGGTTGAAATTTCGCCCAGGGTTGATTTCAACCTTCCCCTTGAGGGCGAGAAATCGTACTAACGCACTTCTGTGCGTATCTCACGCCAGGTTTGAACAGCACTGCACATGCTAATTTCGCGAAAAGATTCACGTGACCATACAGGATTCTAGAAGTGGACTTTTGGCGGCATATCAGTATTTGATAGTGTTTAAACCGAACACGGATTCTTCGAACGAATAATCTATCGAATAATTTCGCCCTCCATCGAACGAATAATCTATATTCTATCATACGCATGATGGCATTTTTCAACACTTTTTCAGCACTTTTTAAGTAGTTTTTAAAATTTTTTTTTGCTGATTGTCGGATTTTGTTATGTGGGGGTGCAAAACCGGTTAACCTGTACCGCCAAGAGTACATAACCCCCCAGAGTGTGCAACGCTTGATCCAGCTCTGCATAGGGTCTTGGTCGAAAGTGGTCAAAGACCGAAAATCTCATTCACTGCATCCATGTTTCCCTCGTATGGAAAGAACAGAAGTACATGTACATGTACATGTATTACTAGATACCGATAGGAGATTAAAGATTGGAGGAGAAGTGATTGAGAAGAAATACTACGAGCAGATCTACGCAGTGCAAATAATTATCAGTAGGGTCAGCACTGAGCATAGATCGTTTTTTTTGTTTTGTTTTTTTCGATTTCTGATAATTCCTACGACTATTCGATTATTCGTTCACCCCACGAATATTCTAAATTATTCGATTATTCGATTATTCGTTTCAACACTAGTATTTGACCCGGGTCAACTGTCTTTATGTAAACGCTCACCTATTTTGTCTTTCATGCAGACTTTCAACCCGGGCTGAACTCGACCCGGGTTGAAATTTCTCATGTAAACACACTGTCATAGAGTGTTCCTGGCACCATGCAGCCATGTCATCCGATTTTGTCAATTATTTTCTTTTGCACTGTGTAGCATGGAGCCAGAAGGCATCGCACTTATGGATGCACTCCTTGTGGTAAGTGAATGTAGGGGGGAGCCCCTTATCACACAAGTTCTTAGTGTGCCGACTTCAACTTCAGAGCAGTGCCCGGAATATGTTTAGGGTCTGTCCGTTATCGTTCTTGCCAGCAGTGTTGCCCCAAGCTGTGCGTGTTGTCTGCTCTGCTCCCTTCCTGTCTGCAACTGCCCCTCTTTTTGAACGCCTCAGCATTCAACCCCTGCAATCAACGTATTGCCGCAAACTCCTCCTGCTAACCTTTCGTGTAATTCATAATAACTGTAGTGTGCTTCTTCATGACCTCGTTACACCTCTGTCACACACCCGTCGAACGAGGAGCACAGATTTTCCCCTGCTTCTTTTCCCAAGGATCCTATCTGCCGCTGCCACACACAGCCCTTCATATCAATGTCCCGCTCTCTGGAATAAGTTGCCTGCATCTATACGATCACTGAAGAAACCAGGTCAATTCCGGACCGCTCTCTTACCCCACCTGAAAAATTCACTGCCTTACAAAATCCAAGTGAACTGAAAATGCAGCAGGGGCCCGATGATGGGGTCTGGTTACGTGTAAGTATTCTGCACATGGACGTCTTGATAATTGGTGCTTAGGTCTCTGCTGTCCATCTTCTTTTGCCTGTGTTTTGGAAATGCAGTATCGACCGGAGCTGAGACCAACAGCAAAAGAGGCCATGAAGCATCCTTACTTTGACTCACTGGGCGAACGCATCCATCAACTCTTTGATAGTGAGTTCAGGCTGTGTGTCTGCTGTAACTTGCTCTGCAGATACCTTCCAGAGCTCTACAATCAAGATACCTTCCAGAACTCTACAATCACTGCAATGCTGAATATGCTGAAATATTGCAAATGTTATTCTGCTGTGACCACCACAATGGCATACGATGGCATATTTCCGGGGGGGGGGGGGGGGGGGGGTAGTATTTACTGGCATGTATCTCGATCTTTGTGCTATAATTATTGTGTCTCGGTCTCTTCTTGGCTTGGTCATCATTACCTATGGCCGTGTGGCAATCCTAGTATCATAGTCTACCTTTGCCGTACTAGCGCATGATGGAGTGTGCAATGCTTGCATCCCCTCTGCTCATTCAGCTGTCAGTATATTCACGGTCGACGGAATCGAGCTCCAGCCTGATCCAGGGCGGCCTGCCGACGAAGCCCAAGGTACTAGTACTGTCCTCGTCTCTCTATCTCCTCCTCTTTTTCCATCAATAAATATACCGGTGCATGGCTTAGGTGCCGAGACAAGCTTGACACAAGTGCATGTTAGTGCCATTGGCTTCGCTGTCGTTGGTTCTATAAGTATGTTTGCAATATACTTCAAAGTATATTGTTGTTTAAGAAGTGCGTGTTCATCTACTGTCAACAAAATACCTACCATTTTTTGGTGCAGTAATTGTTGATCTTTAAGGGGAAGTTAAGCCTGAAATCAAATTTTTGCCAGTTGTAGTCTTCGGTGTGCTGAGGCATGCTGAAACGCTCCCTTCCTCCTTTATTCCAAATCGAACTCGCCGCTTCCACCGAAACTGGGTGACTGCGCCTTGCTAGATGGGGATTTGTATGCAAAATGTCACTAAAAGCGCCGTGTCGTCCTTATAAAAGCACGGATGGCCGCGATTGGCCCATATTTTGTAATCTTTTGGATGCTCAGTCGACTGGTTCTGTTCCGAGAATGCTGCGATGCAGCGTTCGGCCCTTATCCCCAATCGGACATGGTTGAGTAAGCGGTCACTAGCTCGCACGTACACCAGTCGCCTGGTCACCGTGCCTGCAGGCCACAACTTTCACACCAAGGTTCAACTCAAAGGTTCAAAGGTTCAACTCGAGTGACAGGAACGCGCCAAAACAGGCTGTAAGTTGTAGCCTGCAGGCGCGGTGACCAGGTGACTGGTGTACGCATGAGCACGTAACTGCTTACTCAACCGTGTTCGATTGCATCGCAGCATCGTAGCATTTCGGACCAAAACCAGTCGACTCAGCGTCCAAAAGACTACAACACATGGGCCAATCGCGGTCATCCGTGCTTTTATAAAAACGAAATTGCGCCTTTAGTGACATTTTGCATACAAATCCCTGTCTAGTAGGGCGCAGCGCCCAGTCAGTTTCGGTGGAGGTGGTGAGTTCGATTGCGAACAAAGGAGGAAGGGATTGTCTCAGCTTCCTCGGACCAAGACCATTCGACTCACCACCCCGAAGACTACAACTGGTGAAAATTTGATTTTAGGGTATACTTCACCTTTTAGACGAAAAGAGGACCAATGAGCTAAAAGTTACTCTATAATGTCCATTAACACCACCAGTTACTTTACAATCAGCTCATGCGATAACATTGCACGACACTGACGACCCCATATTGCCAGGTGTGTCTTTACCACCATATTTTATCAACTGACGACCCCTCCTATGTTATTTCTATAACTTAAGCTAGAAGGCTGTTGGAGTGTGTATCCAAGACATGCTAGAGCCGATTGCCAGTTAGGTGTAGAACGTCAGCACCATTGGTCAGTGTCGTGCAATGTTATCGCGTGAGCTGATTGTTTAGTAACTGGTGGTGTTAGTGGACATTATAGAGTAACTTGTAGCTCCTTGGTCTTTCTCTTTTCTTCTTATAACTTGATTAATCCTTGGCTTTCCACCCGAGTCTAATTGTTGTCTATGTTGCTATTCCTACCCCATGCTGCTATTCCTGCCCCATGTTGCTATTCCTGCCCCATGCTGCTATTCTTGTCCCATGTTGCTATTCCTGCCCCATGCTGCTATTCCTGCCCCATGCAGAAACCGAAGTAGTCATAGGCTCTGATACTACCACCACAACAGCAACGGACGCAGAGTTCTGACCTGATTCCACTACTGTCACGACGTTGACATGATGCTCAACGTCACGAGATTATTTGCAAGAATCATTTAGGACCAAGGTCAAGTACAGCGCTTTAACAGGTGCTGTATTTCAACAGAACGTCAATTGAATCGGTTAATTGTCGCAACCCCCCCCCCCCCCTACTTCCCAGGATAATCTATTTCCAAATGCTCTCAGACTTTTTGCTACCCGTGTGCCTGTGTGTGTGTGTGTGTGTGTGTGTGTGTGTGTGCTGTGGGAACTGGACTTGTAAAAACGTTGTAATTATCTTCTTTTGTGAAATAAGTACACTTGCTCTGCTAAAGGTATGATTGTTATCTCAATCGCTGAAGCTGACATTGAACTTTGCCGCTAAAAAGTATGCAAATGCATGGCTCCATAAAGTCGAAGATGATAATGCTTTGCTCAAAGAATGTACAAAGAAGAACTCATTGTTGATGCCAAGGCAAATTTTCTGCAATCTTGCCTGACTAGCATATGACCATTCACAGGTTTGGTGAATTGCTGAATAAACAAATAGAAACAGCCAATGTCATGTATGTGTTGTGTGGTCAAGGCAGATGACAAGGAAACAAGTTCCCGCTGCAAGCACACTAAATGACTCTAGAAAACTGCACTCCTACCTAGAACACTCTCCAGCATGACTGCCTGCTTTAGCTACTGAATGACTGACTGCTTGCATCGCATGTTGTGACTCTCAAACAGCTCAAAGAAAAATACACATGCATTGTAAGGGTTCCATTTTGCCATCCAATCTGCTGGGGTATCAAGTATGGATTCTTTTAACGAGACATGTCTCATGTCTGGACCATGATGACGCTTTCCATCTGTTGCTGCTACAAATCGCTAGCTGGCCTTGCAGCAGCTTGTTTGTCGTTTCAGTTTGCGAAGTCGTCCCTCGGACGTTTCTTGAATGTCGTCCAGTACCACTGCTCCCATCCTCTTCAACTTGATCAACGGCTCGGCGACAAAACGGGATGCCGCTGATGATGATGATGTATTCAGATCACCACTGCTATCCTCTTCCATGCTCTCCTCATCAGGCAGGTCCCAGCTATCTGTCTCATCAAATACATCATCTTCATTAGTCTCGGATTCCAGTTTGTCTTGCATGGCTTGAGCCTCGGCCTGTTGTTCAAGGCGAATGAATGTCTTCTTGATCATGTTTAGAAATGAGGACTCGACGTTTGTGCGATCAAATGCCGACGATTCGCTGAACATGAGGTTGTTGTCCACGGCATACGAGTGACCAGTCTCCGTTGGCACAGTGCTGATGTGGGCCAAGTCGCATTTATTACCTGCAGGAAACAAAGCGTATTCGACTGTGAGATAGTCGCTGTGCCTGGTGGCTACAGCGGTTGCGAGTGAAACATGCAGGTAATCTGGTTGCTACTACAGTCAGACCTCGCTTAACCGCACACATCCGTTTTGCACGAAAATATCCGGAGAGCCGAGGGAACCGGATAATCGAACACACATACTATTATGTATGCATGGCATAGCTGTGAATCAGTAACCAGGGGTTTTCTTCCGGATGGCGAGGGATCCGGATAAGCGAGGTCTGCCTGTACTACTACTGCTATGTGTCCAAGGCCAGCTCAAAAGCAATAGTAGAAGCAATAATCAATACTGATTGGCTCGCGTGTGTCCCAACCAACACCTACGAGTACTCTTCGTATACACAGGCGAAAGAAGGGAAATCCCCAAACCCAGTCAGCCATAGACACTGATGCATAGATTATGATCTGACTCAAGTACAAGGGAAATCCCCAAACCCAGTCAGCCATAGGACACTGATGCATAGACTATGTTCTGACTCAAGTGGCATTCCAGACCATTCAGTCTTGGTGCGTAAGACTAACCTAGAAGAAGTATGGTGGGGTCCTCCGCGTACTTCCGAATGTCGGAAAGCCACTTCGGCAAGCTGGCGAAGCTCTTCTTATCCGCGATATCATAGACCAGCACAGCAGCCGCTGCGTTTCTGTAGAACACCGAGCTCAGTGCTCGGAACCTCTCCTGACCAGCGCTGTCCCAGATCTAGAGATACGCATGTTGTGCGCAGGAACAAAACGAGAGGAGAACTGTTATTGTAATGGATGACGTTTGCAGTAGTCCCTCGGTTATATCCGCTTCCCATTGACCAGTTGTACCTTAGCTAGAGTATTATTGAAAGCATCTACACCCAAAAAGTATCATTACTAAGAGCGGTATGACACCCATGGCAGATGATCAATCTTGCCTGAGTCAATAAAGGAATAGTCTCCTTTGGTAGTATAGTCTCCTTTAGTAGTACAGTCGTCCCTCTCTAATTCGGCACCTGTTGTAACGGCATTTTCTGCTGGATAAACAAGGGTGCTGGATTATCAAATCCTGCCCTCCAACCCAGCCCACCTGCTAACATACATATTTGTGTCGTACGTCAAAACGCAGGGATTTTCTGTGTCAGTCCAAGTACTGTAATTTCACAAATTTTCGGTGTACTTTTATTTTCAGTACTTTCGGTGCGTCAGTTTCATACCTAAAATTTCAATACACCGAACAAACACTAACACACATAATCCAATAGGGAACTGCTTCTCTGTACCGAAAATTTCTGTTCACCTAACCTAGCTTATACCGAAAATATTGAGCACCGAAAATTTCTGAAATTAGAGTACTTTGTGGAATGCATGTCTATACAGTGCACTGATAGGATATTTCTAAGGGTATGTTACATGTGTACAGTCCATTCAGAAAAAGATGAGCGCTGGCTCTGGAGAGCTCCCGTGTTTGGTGATTTTGCCAGTGCCGCGAGATTCGAAACTTGAAAAAGGGTCCAAAAAAGGTACTTCAAATGGGTTTGAACCGCAAATGTACTGTTCTGCAAGTGGAGTGCATGGGTTTGATTTTCATGGTTTTCCCCCAATTCAGTGCTTTGGGGGGCAAAACCTGGCCGAAATCCTATTCTTGTTATGGCTTGCTCTTTGGAGAAATAGACTTCAAAACACACATTTGGAAGACCATTCCATGGGGGATTGTCAAAAATATTTTGTGACAAAAACTCAAAATTTGACCATTTATGGCCAAAAGCTAGGATATCATCTTTTTCTGAATGGACTGTAGACTGATGCTCCCTGATAAGTAGTTCATGCATTGACCAAACTGACATAGCTGTGCATGTGCACCCGTACGGTATGCGATGAACAACTGCTGGATAAGAAAACCTATGTACAGTTTGAGCGATTTGTTCAGAAAATTGCTGCTGGAGCCGGAATTCATGTAGTAGTAGTAGTAGTAGTAGTAGTAGTATTTATTATTTTACTAGGGCAATCCCCACAGACTGCGAGTCTTTTTACAGGGTACCCTAGGTAAGTGCGTGAAATAGAGCTGAATGAAGAAAGCCGTAAGTGCGTGAAATAGAGTAAAGAAAAAAGAAAACGGTGGCTGCATACTGTGCCATTATGTGTTGCAAAAGAGGCTGCGAAGAGTACTGTTGAACATTGCAAAGGAGGCTGCCTGGCGGCATGCTGCTGGAAGCGAATTCCACCTGTCAGCAGCCAGGTAAGGCAAAGCATAGAAACCGGACCGTGACGAAGCATTAGGCAGGGCTAAAGCCAGGGCGGACTGTCCCCTGGTCAAGGCATTGGTATGGTTGCTATTTGATCTAAGTACAAAAAGCTCGGCAAGTAGAGGGCTGCGGCGGCTATGTACACATTTATAGACAAGGCAAAATATCTTTAGGTTATAACGGATGGCGACAGGAATAATTTTGTGTGCCGGATTAAAGCGTACAAAATGAACTGAAAAAACCCGTTTGGTCAGAAAGTGTGCTGGTTTGTAAGGGTTCTGGATAAATAAGTGCCAGATCAGAGAAGGACGACTTTACAGGGCAGACTACCTTTGGAAAAATAAAAGATCTGTACGTTTGGACTCGGATGGAGAGCCAAGGATGAATTTATAGAAAAGAAATGGACCAAGGAACGACAAGTTACGCTATAATGTCAACTAACACCACCAGTTACTAAACAATCAGCTCATGCGATAACATTGCACGGCACTGACCGACGGCACTGATGTTCTCCAACCAACTGGCTAACAGCTCTAGCACATCTTGGATGCGCACTCCAACAGCCTTCCAACTTGGAAGGTTCTAAGTCATAATGACAACACAAGGGGGGAAGGTGAGCGCAACCAAGACGAGCACGAGCTGAAAGTCTCAGCTGTGAAGGACGTTGGAGGATGGATGTTCATGCATGTTGATGATGACACTGGCAAGACCATTGGACAATACGGTCAAACCACGATTCAAGTTAGTTGTAGAACGTCAGTACCGTCGGTCAGGGTCGTGCAATGTTATCACATGAGCTGATTGTTTAGTAACTGGTGGTGTTAGTGGACATTACAGCGTAACTTGTAGTTCCTTGGTCATTTTTCTTTTCTATAAATCTGTATGTTTATTGGAGATAATACGGTTTGTGAAAGCAGGTAGATAAGTGAAATCCATTACTTTGCTTCAAGTACAGTTGCGCTCGGTGATATACTAACTGGAGAATTCATCCCATTTTTGTTGGACTACAATTGTTGTACTTGTTTTCACGTGACAGCGTGAACAAGGTGTGAAAACATGCTACCTATCAGGCAAGGCTTACTAGTACCAATTGTTGTACTTGTATTGTCATCAGCAACATTAACAGGGGCTCCTTGTGGCCTTGACCATAATTATACTCACACACTGCAGATACTATCTACATCACTGTAAGCATATCACTACATCAGTACATGTACTGAAGTCACTTCAATTGCAGATATTGATTTGAATTCCTCCTACACTGTAGCTAACTCAGTGGCCCAAGTCACGTGAAATGGCTCGCCATGTACATGTGTATGTAGCTAAATTCAACTTTGTGCCTACTTTTTAAAAGAAGTAGTGAATTGCGCGCCATACCTGTAGCCTGACTATGACCGGCTGCTGGCTAGGTCCATGAACACAGACATGCCTGGTCATCATGTCGACACCAATAGTGGCCCGCTCCTCGGCATTGAAGATGTTGTGTACGAAACGTGACAGCAGATTGCTCTTGCCCACACCGCTATTACCGACTAACACAATCTTTAGGTGTGGTAGTAGGTAAGTCAGAAGGTAAGTCACAATATGCAGCACAAACAGAACAGAAGCCAGGAGTATCAGTACCCACGAATGATGATACAGTCTACGAAGACGTTTTCAAAGTCCATAGGCTCCTCGAAATGTCAAGATAGCATTGACATATTGACACGCAGTTCCATTGTTTGCAACATTCAGATCTTTTGGCCCTCAAGTGCCATACTCATAGCCCAAACCTACTGCCAAGACCCATCCATTTCCCTGGTATGCCTGATGTACATTTCACCCCAAGCAGGTAGCAGCCCCGGCCATACCTGCCAAATCAAACAAAATTAATAATTGTTACACATTTATGGACACAGTACCTTGAAAACGTAGTCGAACTTTGCGCTGTCCACCTCATCACTGTCGTCCACAAGCTCGACTATCGGATACTTGGCTGTAGCGTCATTCGGATAGACCCTTGTGTTTGGTATCCGCCTTACCGACAGTTTCCGAGGAAGTAACGGTGCGCGAGGAGTTGACAACATGCTGCTATTGCTAGCCGTCCAGTACTAGCATCCTTTAACCTTGCTCACGTCACCTCGCCCACACTGGCGACTTCGGGCCAAAGCAGCAACTCTCGACACGACCACGTCCAGAGACTCGTCGCTAGTAGTAGTAGATCTACATGGAAGCAAAAAACTCTCCAACAAATGATACTTCCACCACAAGGCTGATAAAGCAGTAACGACGTCTTTCAGAATGAGCTGTCGATCCCTACATTTCTTCCTGGCTTCTAATAGGACACACACGGCCAAAGTGACAGTAGCATCCACAAGCATGGAATCAACACCGCAACAAGTGCGTAGAGCCTAGAGGGTCTACACTAGTAGTGGACTCTATCAAGTATCACTATCAGGTAGCGCTAACGACTGAAAAGTATCACCCGTTCCGCTTCACTTCTCTCGTCGACCCCGTGAACCGGCGTGCTTCGCAAGTAAGTATTAGTTAGTGTCGAGTCGCACCAACCCTGGCAGCAACGAGTTACGTTACAGACCACTGTGCTCATGGCCATCATGGTGTTGTTGCCGTGTTGCCAACTCGAACATGATGTACCAAGTCATGTGCATCTACTGTTGATTCTCCAAGGCCAAGCGCAAAGACCTTTCACTGTGTTTTGAGTCTGCAGTTTATCGCCCGTAGTCCTTACTCGTGGTAACTGTCACGACCGTTATATCGAGTCCGTTGCCCGACACATGAAGACATGTAATACCGTGTGTTCGTTAGTTCGTAACGCGGATGTTATGTGTGAGGTTTACATGGTTTACTTCACCATTGGCATAACTCACTTTACCAGGCTACCTAAGTACCTTGGGCATGACTGTCATCGGTGTAGTGCAAAGCGCCCGGTATATCTACAAACTCAAGGAGTCAAACATAGTCAGTCCATAGCCCTATAAGTATTGAAATATGCAGGAATATTTGACTGCTTAGGTATCAATGCTCAAAGGGAATCAATACTAAGAGAGTGATAATAATGGACTCGGATGGAGAGCCAAGGATAGACACATTTATAGAAAGAAAAAGGACCAACTTCGTCCAAGGAACTACAAGTTACGCTATAATGTCCACTAACACCACCAATTACTAAACAATCAGCTCATGCGATAACATTGCACGACACTGACCGACAGTCCTGACATTCTACAACTACATGTAACTGGCTAACAACTCTAGCACATCTTGGATGCGCATTCCAACAGCCTGCCTACTTGGAAGGTTCTAAGTTATAATGATAACATAGAAGAGGACTTTCAGCTAGTGCTTGTCTTGGTTGCGCTCATCTTCCCCTCCTATGTTATCATTATAACTTACTTCAGTTGAACCTTCCAATAATTATGTTATCGCATGAACTGATTGTTTAGTAACTGGTGGTGTCAGTGGACATTATAGCGTAATTGTAGTTCCTTGGTCCTTTTCTTTTCTACAGAGTGATAATACAATGTCATTTGTCACCGCCTTAGTATTTGACGCCACTGATTTCCGTGATTCCTAAGCGCTCAAGTATAAATATTTGCATTGGTCTATAACAATAATATCGGTAATATGCTATACCACCCTTTTATACAAACTCTCATTCAACCGCAACGGAGATTTCAAGTTTATATTTTCAATATAAACCTAAAATAAACCTGAACCTGAATATAAACGTCTTTTTAGAGTGTAATGGAGGTTTGAATAAAGGCTGGTATAAATATACTACAAACTACTCCTAGGTTTAACGGTATAATTATGTCACATTTATGTGGAATATAAACTATCACACGAACCTCGGCTTCGCCTCGGTTTGTGTTCGATTTATATTCCACGTATAAACCAAAAGTAAGTTTGTACTACCTGCATGTACATGTATATGCAAACTGTCCAGCTTACAGAGCAGGACAGTCCTGCTTTGGACCAAATTTGTTTTATACATTTACATGGGAGACAATTGCCTTTGTATACATTATACTGTGGGTGTCCTGCTTTGGTATGTGGGAAGAAGGTTGGACAGACTCAGTATGATTTATGCTTATAGACTTCGTAAACTAAAAGACTTCGAACTGCTTCGGTTTTTTACTCGACTGCACGATACTCAACAGACCTAATCCGTAATCGGTCACTAATCTATGTTCAGCTAGGCTTACATATAATTACACACACGATCAGGCACTGATTTCTACAATGTATGCGTAAAAAGAAACGAACTAAGTTACTTTGTTCTTTCATGGACCTGATGATGATGAAAAGGGACCACAGTACTCGTACGATCGTACTCAGTGGTGAGGAGATCGGAGAGGCGAAACATTGACAGTCTCATGGACCATCAGCTACATGCAGCTAACCAGATATGCACATGAAGGACCATTGTACCGGCAGTATTACTACTACTACTGTAGTGTTCTTTCGACGATCGCTCTAACCGCCACCGCGCGCCAGTGCACCCCACATCATGGTTGGTTATCATGGCTAGCGCCTATCGCCTATCGGCACGTGATACGTAGTTGGTCAACAATGAACTTGTGTCATATTGCTGCGGTCGTCCAGTGCGCGGATCCGCCGCGCTTGTATTGTACGAGTCTTTGTATGTTTGTTGATTTTGGTTTCGCTGACCAAAAGTTTAAACGGACAAATACTTCTAATAACAATGGGGCGACTAAGGAGAGGCACAGTGCCATACATTTTAAGAAGAGAGAGAGAGAGAGAGAGAGAGAGAGAGAGAGAGAGAGAGAGAAAGAAAGAAAGAAAGATGGCATATGCACTGTATGTGATACCACTCCTATCAAGTGTTATCCCCTGCATTATGACTTCTGGCTTCATGCAGGGTATTTTCATTTTTGTCAATCAAGAACGCGATGTTTCACACAGCAGGGCTGTTCCCCCAAAACGGAAAAAATAGTCAACACCATGCATGATGATAACATTTCTCTCAAAAGATCCAACTCCAGACCCAGGGTAGAAGAAAGAGCTCTTTTGTAAGCTTGCATATCATTGCATACCTGATGAGTACAATTTGCCGAAATGTTGCAATAACTGATTGATTAACGATATACTGGTGCAAAGTTAATGGGAAAGAGCGGGTCTGCTCTAAACAACCTCTTCCTAGAAATATATTATATACATGTAGAAAAGGAAGTTGGTTGCTCCTACGTGAAACACACGCCTCCTGCCGAACTTGACACTTGACTGACTCATGACTGCCATATCCAGAGTAGCAGTTGGCGAATGCTCGAAAAAAATTGGCAGATTCTGCTCGAAAAGCAGTGAAACTGGCAGAACCATGCAAACCTTTATATATAATATGGCAGGCACTTCCGCGACTTCTGCTCCATTTCTTTATCCATGTACCAAACATGAAACATACATGTACCAGAAAAAGTATCCAATTCGGCCAATCTTTCTGCCAGCATTATCTGCCAGGGGCTAATCCAGAGCACACGAGGGGCCCATCGCACCTTCCACTCGCGATTCTTCTGCCAGTTCACTTCTGTGCCGCTCTTTCTGCCTTCGTGCCAATTCTGAGGCACGTAGCCGCACCTGCACAAGGTCTCAAGTCTCACTTGGACTTGTACTGCCACGAGCTTCCTCTCGATTTGGTTATTCCTCTCTTTCTTTTTTAGCCGCTGACCGCTGGAACTCAGTTCCGGCATTGGTCCGCCTTGCTGCTTCCCCAAGTCAATTTCGTATCGCAATCCTAGATTGGCTAGGGTGCCCCGTAAGGAGACCATAGGTCTGTGAGCACTGCCCTAGAGAAATGAATAAATACTACTATTCGCCAAATCTGCAAGAACGCATCTCTCCCTGCTCATACACAATGTTCCGGGGAATGCACCCCTCATCAGTCGAGCTTGAGTATGCTGAGGAAGATTGTGCCGATGAGCACCACTTACAAATAATAGAAAAGCTCACAGGATCGCTTTTCCAGTATACTATAGTGCTCTACAGGCCAAACCATAAGTAGGTTCACCAGGGATACAAACATACAGACACTCTCCGTTTCCATCGCGATAAACGCCTCGCGAGGCCTCAGGCTCAGGCAGGTCAATTAGGAGTACTAGAATTTAATTGATAGGGAAGGCCCTACAGACGTTGCCATCTTGTTACAGGGATAGCCCTTTCCCAAAGATGCTCGCCACTTTTTTTCGCAATTTTTGGCTGTTTTGGAAGAAATTGGAACTTTCGGAACTTTCTTCATTTCCACAAACTACTACAGTACTTCGAAATAGTACTTCGCAAGTTTTCCGCAACCGTGAGCAGAGAAATGGTATGGTCTATGAAGGAGACCATTGATTGAACTGTCCCCGGGGAAAATTGCGGAAAAAATCGCAAAAAACGCGGGGAAAACGCGGCATAATATGGCATAATTTGCGGTGAATTTGCGGTAAATATGCGGTAAATATGCGGTGAATAATATTGATGTGCGGCAATTTTCGGTGAGTATTGTAGTGAAATCAATCAGTTACAAGTCTCTGGTGTAAGCACTCGTCATATTTGAGTAAAAAGCCGCCACGATGAGACGTTGCTGACCGAACAGTGCACTGTGTGTACGTGTAGAGCAAGAAAAAAGTTCAAAAAACGCGGGAAAATCGCGGAAAACGCGGTCTTTTAAAAAATCGCAAAAAACGCGGAAAAAACGCGGCCGCGGAATCGCAATTTTCCCCGGGGACAGATTGAAGTGTCCGTGATGCACGGCTTCAACAAGAAGCGCTGAAACGTTGCATCACCATGCCAAGTGTACATGTACTTCTTGAAGAACATAGACATGTGTGTGGCATCACTGAGCAATGCTGCTATGAATGCGGTGTGCGAAGCGCCAAGAAAAAGGACAGTGACGAAGTCTGTTCATTTTTGTGCTGCGCCACAGTACAGTGTTGTCTTTCCGCTGCTATTTTGCTTTTAAAATTGCAAGAAAACTTGGCCTCTATACAGAGCTGAGTCTCACGCGAACCGTGAAATGTTTTGTTTTTGTTTTTTTTGTTTTTTTGCAAGTTTTGGCATCATTGTGTGCACAACAACTCGCTCATTATGAGTTGCGATATCAGCAACTTTTGAGCTTTTTCTGAAAATATGGATGCGATTTCAGCAACTTTCCCTTGTGTTGGCATGGTTGCGAAAAGCATAAGTAATTAGTTGCGAATTATTTTGGCATCTTTGGGAAAGGGCTATACAGGGAACCCTAAGTGCTCTTTACAGAGCGAAACAAAAGCGGATAGATGCTCAACCTGACGTAGCCTTCCGGCATTAATGTCATTGCTGTTGTTACGAAGAGTAGACGCAGGGGTCGGGAAAATGGGGAGGAGTAGACACTGGGGGTCGGGGAGAGGGAGAGTGCATTATAGGGTGAAAAATGGAAAGATGATGTACATGTAAGTTGTAACAGAGTGAAAAGGGGAGCCAGGGTGCACTCAGACGAGCCAGGGTGCAAGCGGAGAGGGAGTTCAGGGAGGGCTCAGACGAGTCAGAGGGCATTCGTGGCCGAGTGCCAGTCTCGACTGCGGAGAGACTTGTACTTTGAAGTAACAGTAGTTGTGGGCTAGGCTAGGCACCTTCCTTGAATGCCTGCATGACAGATTACAACTAGGGTGACGTCACAAGCCGGTCGTTGTGTCAGAGACGAATACTATGCTAATGGGCGGCCAGCGGTCGAAGTGAACGGTAGAATGAACAGTAAACATGCTACCATGCATACCAAAGCTGGGCCTACAATCATTGTATCTGTATTACTGTCATGTACATGCGTAGTACTAGTTCAGTAGTTGGCATCAAAACTAATAATTACTTTCAACAAAAGCACCAGTTTGCTGCAGATATTCCAGTGCTACCTTAGAATCCCGCGGATATTATTGGATATGCCCACCCGCGTAAGCCCATGCTCGCGCATAACTTATAATAAGCCCAGTACAGCCTGGATGGGAGCTGCTCCCTCCTATCTTGCACGCCTACATAATTGTAGACAGCATCCAACGCGGTGCGCATCATTGGTCCCGGGACGGAGCTGCAGAGCCTCAGCCTGCTACGGCGATATGTTGCTGCACTAACATACACGTACAAACTGCATAATTTTCATCGACTCTAGCATGCAGTCCTCCTAGGCCTTGACAGATTATGCTAGCATAATTTTTCGCATAATTCCTACCAAAATCGAATAATCGCATAATTCGAGGAAAATTGCATACGAATCGCATAAAATTGGAATAATCTGCCTGTTCGCATCAAATTCCATTCAGTTGTAATGGTCTACAAGTACAAGTAGATGCACCAGAAAATTGTAGGTTTACGACTCCCTTGATAACATGTCCAGTCCACTACAATCAGTGACGTATCGACGATCGTAGCTAGGTCGGACGGTACGTTGACCCCGTTGAACTTTTGCTACTACAGAACAACGCCCTCTACCAAAAATTCCCCTGTTATTTTGGACAGAAACATTAAACATTAGCAGCATATGTGAGCATAATGCGGCATAATATGATAACTTTTAGCATAAAAATAGCATAATTCTGCAATTTTTTCAGCAATGCGAAAAGCATAATTTCACGAAAATATTAGCATAATCTGTCAAGGCCTAAGTCCTCCCACCAAAGCTTGAGCCCCGTGACGCCACTCGCACTCGAAACGATCTCCGCACGGCCACCGGCCACAGTTACCAGCTAAGAAATCCCCTACCGCGTCAAGCACCAGACACCATTCTCCGCAGTTTCCCGTACTGTGTAATCCAGCTTTGGAATTCCCTAGGCCCTGCCATGCCGCCTGCTTTTCTAGACTCCGCCCCAAGTCGCAAAATCTTCAAATGTTTAAACGCAACGTCAACGAATACCTCCGCCGACAGGATTGGCGATGGTCCACGGACATTCTGCCTGTCGACCCACCTACATTCTAGTGCCCCGTCAACGACTCCCATTGCTACGAATGCGCTGCACACTAGCTGATGACTGTGCATCGACGCGCATCTCACCTTCCAGCCGCAAGTCGAGAAGGTCTGCGGTGCGGTGTTCGGCAAGATTGCCGCCTTCAGACATGGCCGAAAAAACCTAACACCTGAAGCGAAGAGGACGTTCTATTTATCCATTGTGCAATCGACTCTCTATGCCAGTAACGCTTATCTGCACTGTCTCAGCGCCACCCTGTTCAATAAGATCGTGACGGTCAGTCACATACATGTAGCAATGAAGAAGGTTTTTGGGTTTGACCGTATGATGTCTACTGAAATTGTTCTCCGCAAATATCATCTCTATTCTTTTGAACAGCGCATAAGAGTTTAAAAACTCTATGTTTTCGTGTACCGCTGCTTGACCCCACATCTTGCTAGTCCCCTTCTCCAATCCTTGTTCCAGCTTAGGGCTGCTGTGCCTGGACACCAGGCTCGCACGCGCGGCCAGGCACAGCGTGCATTAGTTCTTCCGCCTGTTTCTACCAGGGAGTAGTAAAATACAACTCCTGAAACACAATATGGCATGCGTTCCATTTCTTTCCTGGCGGCAGACAGATGGAATGCTCTTCCCACTGACTGCCGTCAGGCCCCTTCTCTTACTCTGTGTGTAAACATGGTAAAAATTCACCTTGGGTTCCCAGTAAAAAGGCAACGCCTGTTGGGACTCCCCTAGTAAAATAATAAAATCTACTCCTAATACTACTACTACTACTGCAGCGTGTAATGAATGAACATAATCATGATGTGCTTGCGTACTCTAATTTGCTCTGTATAACTCCGAGATAGAAAGCTCGGCGGGCCTTACTGTCCAGGTTGTCTCTGCCTCGCCTAAAAGTAAAAGCACCTAGCTTCATCACGGAGCTCCGGAGGTGGGAGATATGGAGTCGGAAGGTCAGGTGCTCATCGAGGTGGCGCCCAAGATACTTACATGTAGGTGACGGGGTGATGACAGTCGTGTCGCAGAGCACTGATGCAGTCACCGGATTCACTCGCACGATGGATGATCAGGAGTTCGGTTTTCTTTGGGTTTACCAGAACTTAGAGGGCCACGACCATCAAAATATGATTTAAGAGCGGCGAAATCTTCTGATAAAACGCTCAGCATGCTCGAGAGTGCAGGCCGTTGATAGGCAGGTGTCGTCGGCGTAGAGTAGAGAGTCACTATTTACACGTGTTGGTACCTCTCTTGTGTATATTGTGAAGAGGACAGGTCCCAACATCAGTGGGTCCAATGTTATTAGGCATTTTGCCTGTTTTGATTTCCACTATAAATAAAGTATACAACAACAACAACACCGTGAACACCGATCCTTGTGGAACTCCTCTTGTGCATGCGACGGGAGTAGCGGTCTGACCAGTTCGGCGATATTCAACCTGCTGGTATTCGGTTGGACAGATAGCTTGCAAACCAGGACAAGGCTGTGCCTCCGATGCCGCATTGGAAAAGATCATCCAGGAGGGTGTCATGGCGGATTCGATCGAAAGCTTTGCTCATGTCTAAAAATAACACACCGACCACGTTCCGCTCTTCCAAGCTACACTGCCATCTGTTTATGGCGCAGCTTAGCGCATCCTCAGTAGAATGGTGGGACCTAGGCTATAAGCATTATTTTAACTGCTGGGGAGGAAGAATGTTGAGGTCGGGGTTGTCTTCGATGTACTTTCTCAGCTGTTTCAGAACGATCTTTTCGAGGAGGTTTGAGACTATCGCCAGTATCGGGAGAAGGGAAATTGGTCTGTAGTTGCTGGCTTGACAGGGATCTCCAGCCTTGAGCAGTGGGGTAACCTGGTAACAGAGGCAATTAATTATTTTGTAAAGGTTCGATCGGGAAGATATCAGTGGCCAGTGACTCATTGAAGATGCAAGTGAGACTTCCGGCCAGTTCATCAGCGCATGTGTGCAGTGTATTTGCGGGGATACCATCCGAGCCTGTGGCTTTGGTGACGATTACCTCTCTCAGCAGTGCTCATGGTGCTTGGACCTCCTCATGACTAACACGTGAAGTATAGAATCAGACATGCATGTCAGGGCAGTATCGTTGATTCGCGCGCGGTACTGCGTAGATCTACGCGTACCGATAGGTGAACTTGTGACCTCGTCAGTTTCGGACATCCGCACCGCCACATAATTTTGGCATGCGTCCTATTCTTGTGGTTTCGCATCCTAAAAATGAGATATGTGGTGAGAGCCGGACGTGCACGCGCCGAACTACCTGCGGGTTATACCTTCAGCATAGCGCAAAGGCAAAAAAAAGGTTCGGTACTCCTTCTGTGCAGTGAAACCTGGCAACACCAACGCGTGATACTGATAGCACGCAGAAGGATTTTTCACGCGCCAAAATGAATAACACGGTAATAATGGATATGGTAAAGAGGCATGCAGGTGGTGAAAACCTAAGACTAGCCTAGATAAGAACAGTTCACTCCTTCCTCCTGCGTCCACAAAGCTCTAGAGTCAGCCTTGATGACTAGTTCAGTAGTTGTTAGACGACTGAAATCCCTGGGGTAGTATAGCAGACAGTCGTTTCCAGTGAGGCAAGGTTTATTCCTCCCGAGTCCAGTTGCGAGTAGCGATCGCTTCAGTACACCTTTCCTCTCTCACCGTTTCGTTGGCGTTGGGCCGCTATTTCGGCATGGACTCCTCTCGGAACTTCGCGATCTCTATTTTCATCGCTACGCTACTTGTCGGTAAGTGGTTTGGTTGACTTGCTGGCAACCCGTATTCCGTGTTGATGCGAAGCATACCGCTATCCGGATGCATCGCCGGTTTTTCACTTGGGCCGGGTAGACGGTGTTAGTACAGTAGTTCAGCGGTGGGAAGCCGGAATTAGTTTGTTGGGCAGTGCAAGAAGCATGGCGAATACCGGTATGACTTGTCGCTGCCATGCACAATCGTCACTGCCCCCCCCCCCCCCCCCGCGCTGGTAACTGACTGTTCAACGGTTGGTTGTCCTGCGAGGTTTGCCGTGCCAATCTTGAATTAATGATGGCAACGCGATGGAGAAAATTCGGTAATGATTGCTCTTGCACGTGCGACGACTTTCAACCAGATTTGTGTTCGCAAAGTCTTCCTGCACAGGCTTCAGTTTCTGTGTATTTGGAGGGGTATTCGAACCTTGCGTACAAAGTTAGTTTAGTTTTAGTGGCATTCCAAGCAATACATGACTGGGGTAGGCAATGACCACTTTGCGTGGCGATTGCCGGGTTTTTATAGCCAACCACGGCTAGCAAGGAAAAGAGTAAGAAGTCGAAAAGAAAAGGAAAAGAAGAAAATGTAGAAAAGAAGAAAACGAAGCAAATATGAGCTGAAATTGTGGTCTAAAGCAAGGCGTGCAAATTTAAACTCGGATGTTGAGCCAAAGTGATACGGTAATAAAACAGGTCGCGTAACGAAGCAGCATAACCATGATAACGATAGATGTGCAAAGTCATGATGCCTGGTTCGCTTATTCTTTTATTCCACGATGGCGTGACGCCAATAAGGATGATTGTTAAAGGGGAAGTTAAGGCAAAAATTAAAATTTCACCAGTTGTAGTCTTCGGGGTGCTGAGTCGAATGGTCTTGGTCCGAGAAAGCTGAGACGCTCCCTTCCTACTTGAATCCCAATCGAACTCGCGCACTTCCACCGAAACTGGGTGACTGCGCCCTACTAGATGGGGATTTGTATGCAAAATGTCACTAAAAGCGCCATTTCGTTCTTATAAAGCACGGATGACCGCGATTGGCCCATATGTTGTAGTGTTTTGGACGCTGAGTCGACTGGTTTTGGTCCGAAAAGGCTGCGATGCAGCGTTCCTCCTTTATTCCCAATCGAACATGGTTATCAGAAGCGGTCACGTGCTCCTGGGTGCCCAAATCACCTGGTCACCGCGCCAGCAGGCGACAACTTTCACACCAAGGTTCAACTCGAGTGACAGGACTGCACCCAAAAAAGGTCAAACAGGCTAGTAAGTTGTACCCTGCAGGCACGGTGACCAGCTGACTGGCGTACGCAGGAGCACGTGACCGCTTGTTCAACCATGTTCGATTGGGAATAAAGGAGGAACGCTGCATCGCAGCCTTTTCGGACCAAAACCAGTCGACGCAGCGTCCAAAAGACTACAACATATGGGCCAATCGCGGCCATCTGTGCTTTTATAAGAACGAAAGGGCGCTTTTAGTGACATTTTGCATACAAATCCCCATCTAGTAGGGCGCAGTCACCCAGTTTCGGTGGAAGTGCGCGAGTTCGATTGGGATTCAAGTAGGAAGGGAGCGTCTCAGCTTCCTCGGACCACGACCATTCGACTCAGCACCCCGAAGACTACAACTGGTGAAATTTTAATTTTTGCCTTAACTTCCCCTTTAAGTGCGTTAGAACTGGTACTAGCCAGAAACAACTAGATGGAAATTAACCGGGGGGGGGGGGGGGGGGGCAATAACGTTAGCAGGGGTGATCGAGATAGTTAAGTACGCGTTCGAGATATCAGAAACCAGGGGGATGCGCGGAGCAGGAACAGGTACTGCTCAAAAGAAGACTGGATGCATTGTTTCGGAAAGACTTTCTGCGAGGTTGGGTTGTCTGTCCCCGGCGAAAATTGCGATTCCGCGGCCGCGTTTTTCCCCGCGTTTTTTGAACTTTTCTGTTGCACTACACGTACACACAGTGCACTGTTCGGTCAGCAACGTCTCATCCGGTGGCGGCTTTGTACTCAAATATGACGAGCGCCGACACCAGAGACTTGTAACTGATTGATTTTACTACATACTCACTGAAAATTGCCTCATATCAACTGCAAACTTGCCGCCGCGAGATGATATCAATAATATTCACCGCATATTTACCGCAAATTCACCGCAAATTATGCCATATTATGCCGCGTTTTTTTGCCGCGTTTTTTTGCGATTTTTTCCCGCAATTTTCCCCGGGGACAGGGTTGTGATGTCGATAGGGAGTGAGTTGTAGAGGGTGAGGGCACTGTTGATGGGGGAATCTCGGTGCCTGTTTGTGTGTGCGTGTCCGATGGAGTAGCTTCTGTCCAGGGTTCACTAGTACTAGTACTACCCCGTGCATTGCAGCCGCAAGCAAAACCAGCTCAGGCTGAGAGTTCCCTCCATGGTTGCTTGTCCAAAGCGCGTATTCTGAGCCCACTCAGATCGGTCATCTGGTCATGGTCTTCAGTGGCATGTCTCTGGCAGCAGCGCTTGCCTTGACTGCCGTGGCCAGCTGGTTCGGTTTCATTCGTCCACGCACACCGGTGACATCTCGACGGAAGTACTTCTGTTAGCTGCTCCCGGCTAATGATGCCCCCTCACACCGGAACACAGGGGTTTTATATGATTGGATAATTTATAGAAGTATTCGAGAAGAGTGTAGACAAGGAGAACAGGACAACGACAACTCAAGACTAGACTACAACAGAACAGAACCTGGAGCATGCGCTCTTCTATGTGAGTGGCTCATTGCCAAGGGGAACGAGCGGGAAATACAAATAGTGAGTATTCAGGTCGTAGCATACATACACCTATTACACTGTGCCCCCCTAGCTAAAATTCACGTCCACGGGAATGAACGAAATACCTAGGAAACAACAAAAGAAAACAAACCAAATAATAAACTCAGTCCAGGACATAGTCAGCTAGTCGAGCAGGTGCAGTGCGGACACGGCCAGAACGACGAGAAACAGGAGAAGAAGTACGGACCGGATCAGACGACGGTGGCTGTAGCGGCGGAACGCAGCGCGGCAAATCATCATCAGGCAGCGTAATCGGGTCAGGACGAGAAGCAGTAACGGCAGGCGGTTGACAGTCGGGAGGACGGGAAACGGCTTCAGGCGGACGAACAAACTTGCCACTGGCAGCATCATATCGGGTGAAACACTCAGACAGAGCAGGATCAGCATACGGAGCAAGAAGACTCTGAGGCTTGTAACAATCCGGCAACGGTCCAGCAGCAGAGGAACCAGGAGGACGAACAAAAACGGCCGGAGGAATAATCTCAGCAGCCGGAGGAACATCAACAGCAAGTGGCACTTCATCAGCAGCTGACAACGGAACATCACGGGCAAGAGGCGGCGGACTCGGCGGAGGAGACGGGGCAGCATCTTGCGGCGGCGTTGGTGCCAGTGGCGGAGACTCACTGTGCACATGTGCTTCAGGTTCGGCTATCAAGCGCGACAGACCATCAGCATTCAGATGTTGGCGACCTGGACGGTAGACGACTCGGAATTCATATTCGGATAAACAGTCAAGCCAACGTGCTTTCCGTCCGCGGGGTTCCTTCAGGTTCCGGAGTGCAGTCAACGCAGTATTGTCCGTCCTGGCAACAAATGGTCGTGCCAACAAGTAGTGCCTGAAATACTCCGCAAAATAGACCAGAGCAAGGGCCTCACGATCGCTAGCATCGTAGTTGCGCTCAGCTTTCGTCAGTACACGGCTGCCGTACCCAATTGGTCGCTCAGTTCCATCCTGGATCTGGCTGAGGACTGCACCAATCGACACATTGCTCGCATCGGTGTCCAGAATGAATGCACCTGCTGAAGCTTCAAACTGGGGGTACGCCATCACCGGCGCACTGGCAAGCGAACGCTTCAGAGCCTGGAACGCCGCTTCGCAAGCTTTCGACCACGCAAAGCGAGCATTCTTGCCTGTCAGAGCAGTCAGCGGAGCAGCACGCTGGGCGAACCCACGGATGAAGCGGCGATAATATCCAGCGAAGCCAAGGAACTCGCGGACAGCTGTGACAGATTTCGGAGTCTTCCAGTTCCTGACCGCGACGAGTTTGGCCTCATTCGGGGAGATGCCCTCCGCTGACACGCGGTGTCCTAGGAAAGTGACCTCCTCCTGGAAGAAGGAGCATTTCTTCAGATTGAACCGCAGTCCAGCGGACCGAACTCGCGCGAACACGGGCAGCAGAAAGAGTTGGCCAGACAGTGTTTCGCTGGCATTCAGGACATCATCAAAGAACACACGGCAGAATGGCTGGGCCGGTGTGTTACATAAGCCACTCAGGACTGCTTCCATTACGCGCTGAAATGTCGCTGGGCCATTCCTGCAGCCCATCGGCAGAACATTAAACTCAAACAAGCCCAGTGGCGTGGTAAATGCCGTCTTAGCCTTGTCGCTTCCTTCCATTGCTATTTGCCAGTACCCTGACGCTAAGTCAAGGGACGTGAAATACCGACAGCCAGACAGGGAATCAAGCATGTCATCCGCCCGGGGAATCGGGTAAGCATCAGGCTCGGTGACAGAGTTCAACTTCCTGTAGTCGATACAGAGTCGAAGAGAGCCATCCTTCTTTGGCACCAATACTATGGGTGATGCCCACGGACTAATCGATTCTTGTATTATGCCTTGCTTTAACAGCGTATTCAGTAGATCTTGCAGAGCCTTCCGGCGGTGATATGGAATCCGCCTGGTAGGTTGTTTTATAGGGTTATTTTGTCCTGTGTTAATTTTATGAGGGAATATGTCACAGTAGCCATAGTCATCATCATGCAAGATAAATAAATCGTGGTTATCATGAAGTAGTTCAGTGAGCGTGCGAGACTGTTCTGTGGAGAGATGATTTTGTGCGTTGATATATTCATCGATGACTTTCTTGCGTTGCTCAGTTAGCGGGATCGGGTCGGGTGAAACTGAGGAAACCATAGCTTCAGTGTCGTCAATATGTTCACAATCTGTAGGAATTTGATGAAGTTCGGCAACA